CACACACACTCACATGAGCAGGCAGGCTAACACACGTTCACACACACTTGCACTGCTGGGGAATTGGGATGACACAAACACACATGACACAAACACACACACAAACTGACACACTCTCAAACAAACTGACACACTCAAACAAACTGACACACACACAAACTGACACACTCTCAAATAAACACACACACAAACTGACACACTCTCAAACAAACACATACACACTCTCAAACACACTCGCACAAGACCCACACACTCTCACACTGAGAAGCGGTGAAAACATGGATCCTAGAGCATGACGTGATGACTGACCTCAGCAGGCCTGTGTGGATAGATTGGGGGCCCTGTCTCTTATTCTGATGGGACCAGGTGGAACAGGACAGGGCTGCCCTTATCCATGCCTGCAGGACCCCGCCTGTCTGCCCTCCACACTACTACTACACTGGGCACCTCAAAACATCGACAGCACTTTACCATCGCGGGGTTATGCCAGCAAATCCCACCTCGCCACCAGCCGAACGCATGCTGCACCTATCCAACACACACTCTGACAAGCAACACATGAATCCTCCCACACACTGCAGTATGTGTTTTTTTATACTACTGGATGAAAAAAACATATAATAATGCAAACAACTGTAGAAACACATGAAAGAAGAATACAAATATTATTATTATTTTTTGGGGGGGCAGGAAAATATTTTAAACGTTTATTTCGATTGTTACGGTTTTAAAAGCCATATTTCTGCAATTTTTACAAGTGCTCTTGCTGAAACTTGCTGTTACAAATCATGTGGACTGTTCCTACAGAGGGAGAGAATGAGGGGAGGGGTAAGAAGACGTGTGTGTGTGTGTGTGTGTGTACCTCGAGGAGGGTAGCCATTTCCCTGCTTGCACTGTGTATGTGTGAATGAGTGTCTGGAAGAGAATGTATGAACAACCATTTTGAATCTCAACATCTGTTTTACGTTTATGCATCTGCATGTACAGTGGGGAGAACAAGTATTTGATACACTGCCGATTTTGCAGGTTTTCCTACTTATAAAAGCATGTAGAGGTCTGTAATTTTTATCATGGGTACACTTCAACTGTGAGAGACGGAATCTAAAACAAAAAGCCAGAAAATCACATTGTATGATTTTTAAGTAATGAATTTGCATTTTATTGCGTGACATAAGTATTTGATACATCAGAAAAGCAGAACTTAATATTTGGTACAGAAACCTTTGTTTGCAATTACAGAGATCATACGTTTTCTGTAGGTCTTGACCAGGTTTGCACACACTGCAGCAGGGATTTTGGCCCACTCCTCCATACAGACCTTCTCCAGATCCTCCAGGTTTCGGGGCTGTCGCTGGGCAATACGGACTTTCAGCTCCCTCCAAAGATTTTCTATTGGGTTCAGGTCTGGAGACTGGCTAGGCCACTCCAGGACCTTGAGATGCTTCTTACGGAGCCACTCCTTAGTTGCCCTGGCTGTGTGTTTTGGGTCATTGTCATGCTGGAAGACCCAGCCACGTCCCATCTTCAATGCTCTTACTGAGGGAAGGAGGTTGTTGGCCAAGATCTCGCGATACATGGCCCCATCCATCCTCCCCTCAATACGGTGCAGTCGTCACTCCAGGACCTTGAGATGCTTCTTACTGGTCATTGGCAAACTTCAGACGGGCCTGGACATGCGCTGGCTTGAGCAGGGGGACCTTGCGTGCGCTGCAGGATTTTAATCCATGACGGCGTAGTGTGTTACTAATGGTTTTCTTTGAGACTGTGGACCCAGCTCTCTTCAGGTCATTGACCAGGTCCTGCCGTGTAGTTCTGGGCTGATCCCTCACCTTCCTCATGATCATTGATGCCCCACGAGGTGAGATCTTGCATGGAGCCCCAGACCGAGGTGATTGACCATCATCTTGAACTTCTTCCATTTTCTAATAATTGCGCCAACAGTTGTTGACTTCTCACCAAGCTGCTTGCCTATTGTCCTGTAGCCCATCTCAGCCTTGTGCAGGTCTACAATTTTATCCCTGATGTCTTTACACAGCTCTCTGGTCTTGGCCATTGTGGAGAGGTTGGAGTCTGTTCGATTGAGTGTGTGGACAGGTGTCTTTTATACAGGTAACGAGTTCAAACAGGTGCAGTTAATACAGGTAATGAGTGGAAAACAGGAGGGCTTCTTAAAGAAAAACTAACAGGTCTGTGAGAGCTGTAATTCTTACTGGTTGGTAGGTGATCAAATACTTATGTCATGCAATAAAATGAAAATTAATTACTTAAAAATCATACAATGTGATTTTCTGGATTTTTGTTTTAGATTCCGTCTCTCACAGTTGAAGTGTACCTATGATAAAAAATTACAGACCTCTACATGCTTTGTAAGTAGGAAAACCTGCAAAATCGGCAGTGTATCAAATACTTGTTCTCCCCACTGTATGTCTTTTGGATTCTGAATGTCGGCTAAACGGGGAGGAGAAAGGTCACTACAGCACAGTCAAGGAGAGGTTTAAAGGGGGGTAAAAGAGTGGCGGTTGTAGCTTCAGCGGCCCTGTGGGTTGACTTGTTCCCCTGGTGGACAGAACGGTTCCCCTGGTGGACAGAACGGTCCCCCGGTGGACAGAACGGTCCCCCGGTGGACAGAAATGAAAGGATGAAAGAAAAGAAAGAGTAGAGGAGTGACCACAGCGCCAGCCTGACCAATCCCCTGTCTGGAGCCCAGTCCAGATCTCCACACAGCCATTAACATTGTTCCAGTAGCTGTCACTCCCTCTGAGCAGAAATATCCTGGAGAATAGCTGTCAATCATTTGTTCCAATCATCTGTTCACTTTTTATTTTGATGTAAAGATCTGTTTTTTTTAAATAATTTGAATGTTCCCATATTTAAGAATGAAAACTGTTAAATCATGGATGAATGATTATTTGTGATGAGGCCAAGCTAGACTCATCACAAGGTCGATATTGAAGGTTGTGGTTGGTATTTTTTAAGTAATGTAAGCCACAGACTAAGTCCTTTGTCAGTATGTCAGAGTAGAACCATGTAAACCAGGGTTGGGGTCAAATCAATTTCAATTCAGTCAATTTAGGAAGTCAACTGAGTTAAAGTCATGGATTGAAATGGAATTGACCCCAATCCTGGTGTGAACCAGAGATGCTGTATATAATGACAAGATGGTCTTGTCTCTGCCCTAACAATGGGAGTCGTCCCAAAGGCGGGAGGGCAGTCGGTCTGCTTATCGCTGTATTCCCTCGTGGACAGATTTTGACGGGAGTGGAACCTCTCGCTTTGCCTCTTCCTCTCTGTGTGAACCTCCCATGATGCACCAGTCCTGAATGTGTGTGTACACCCCGTCAGGCATATAGAGGAGTGATTGCAGGTGAAACAACCATTGTGGTCCACAGTCAAGTGCTGTGACATTTCATTTTTTAAAGATTCCTTCACTGAAGGAACATCAAGACATGTTTCTTTTCATTTATCTTTGTTTTTGATTTGTTCCTTTTGGTCCACCTATTCCATAACTTTGGAAGATGTCTCGTTTAATTATATTAAATATATGTGTGTGTATATATAAAAGTTTTAAGTATGTTGGTTTTTCTTTTGGTTGTTCATTTCGATCATTCATATGTTCCTTTTTTTTAAGTGTGTGTGTGCGCGTGTGTACTCATGCACAGCAGCAGGTTGATGTAGGGAATTGTAGAACAGCTCTCTAGTCTGCTTTATACCTGTATTCTCTAGCCTCTGTACCTCAGTGGTTTAGTATAGGCTGACTGCCGTACTCCAGGGCTGAGGCTATGGGAAACATCCCTTCTTGACTTAGGCCCATATTCAGGCCTGGTAAATGCAGCTTCAGAAACGGCAGGACCGGATTTCAGGAACAACCTCTCTGATGGACCTCTCATGTCTTTAATGTTAGAACGGCCACCAGGAGGTGCTGTTGACCTTTTGTAAAGTTAACACTGGCAGTAAAGCCACACTGTCTCTGCACCTTGTTGCCATCTGTCTCAATAAAGTGACCACACTTTGTCTAGTGTGTACATCTAACATGCAAGCCAACACCCCTGACCTCTCCTGTAGGCTTTACACACACAATCGATATTGAACTGGCAATGTAAATACCAAAAAGGCTTGATGATGATGAATGCATCATTTGTAGGCTAGAAGAGGGAAAATCCGCAGCTTCGTAGATAGAATTTGAGTTGTAGCTTTACAATGATTACCTTGCTTCTCTGTATTTTGAATGTGATCAATAGTCACGAATGTCATATCGCAATGCTGGTCTACCAAGAATTCTTAGCTTGTTATTGAGTTGAGGTTTAGCTGGGGTGGAGCTAAGGTAAGCAATCTTTTAGGGAGAAGACTATGTCATGGTAGACAGCTTCAGCCCCCATGTTGCAAGATTTTACATTGTAACAGGTGTTACCTGCTACAATATATGGTAGCTTATAATATTTGCAATTATGTGCCAGTAAAGACTTTTACTGAATAAAGTGTTTGCGTCTCTTTCTTCATTAGGGTTACTGCCCTTGAGCAAGGCACTTTACCACTAATTTCTCCCAGGGCGCTGCTTTGCAGAAGCCCCTGCTCCCAGCCTGTGACGTGTATATTGTGTGTTTGTTTGGGTACCGTGACAACAAAAAATGAAGAATTTCCATGCAAATAGACCAATAAAGCAAGCATTGTATTGTAAATGTTTTGAATTTAAAATTGACTGATATAGGCTAATTGACTTTTTGCCCAGTTTACCAAAGGCCTACTTGACCAACCCTACTCCTCATCAGCCAAATTTATACTGAATATGTAAGAGTGTACACTGATCAGGGATCAGTCACGCACATGCAAATCATGACGTCTACGTCCCCACCCCCAATTAGTAAATCACGTGTGTTTATTAGCCGACCCTCAGATAATGTTGACTGTTTTTTTTATCTCTCCGGTCTCATCTGCCGCCCCTCGTGGTTTCAAGTAGCTGCAGGGCCTCTTAAGTGAATTTGCTGTTTCCGGATCAAAACATCATGGCCAAGACCGGATTCTGCGATTCCATGCCACTGCTGGACTTGCACAAGAAGGTGAGTTTGAAGTTGAAATAGAATGCGTAAAGTTTTGTATATTCGACGTCCTATAATGTGCCCAAACATTTAAATGCGCGCAGCACAGGTGATCCACACCTGCGCGTTTGTTTATTCCTTCCCAAGTAAAACAACTGAATATGAACTTTCTGGGTTTGGGTGGGAATGGTTTCATAGAAAATGTGTAGCCCTTGATCATGACGCTCAGTTCCATTACATTACAGATGTCATTGGACGAAGGTATCTTCTGTACGGGGGAGATTTGTTAAGCGTGTTTTCACATATAGTCGTCTTAAAATAACCGATCTCAGACCTTTTTAGTATATTCTGGCCTTCTGTAGCTCAGTTGGTAGATCATGGCGCTTGCAACGCCAGGGTTGTGGGTTCGTTTCCCACGGGGGGCCTGTATGAAAAATGTATGCACTCACTAACTGTAAGTCGCTCAGGATAAGAGCGTCTGCTAAATGACTAAAATGTGAAGGTAAAAAAAAAACATGAAAAGGCAAAATAACTAGTTTTTTTGTACTGCCTTTGAATTAGGACTCAACTCTTTTGCCAGTTCACATTACCTTTTTTTATGCCTCAGTCCTCTTTGCATTCACATTGCTATGTTTAGAAACGAACCAAGCTCTTTTTCCAACATTCACTCAATGCACTCCGGGTTTTTACTAAGTGCAGGACAAGCCATTCCATCAGAACGTGTTATTGAACAGCTATATATAGCCTACCTAATTACATTTAGGAAGCTAATAGATTGCATTTAGTTAAAAGATGAGACATAACAATTTTAATCAGAAGCTACTATTAACTTGTAAATATTATTGGTTACAGAATAAATAGCAGAATAACAACTGCAGATTAAGGCTACTGCCCCTTTAAGAGCTATAATTGATTTTGTACCATATGTTGTGATTCTCACCAACTATGTTGTCTTCTCACACTATTCAAACGCCACAATCGAATAATCAGATTATGACGCTGTCTTGGCCTATAGATCAAATACTGCAAACAAATAATCTTTACTACAAACGTTTTGTACAATCACTCATGTGTGGTGCAGGAATAATGACAAGCGCACCTGGGAAGCTTTGTGTGCACATTGCCCTAAAAAAGGGAACCGGACCGAGAAATTCAAGCGAACCAAACTCAGACCACCTTTCGAGATGGTCTCAGTTCGGTTGGCTACGGGGGCTCTTTTGAGCGGTCTGAGTTCCTTTTGTAGTGTTCACACTGAACATACACTTAAGCGAATCGCACTGAGTACAAAAATTGGCTGAAAGGGACCAAGTGTGAACACCCTAACACACATTGCTTGTGGTACGGTTTATGAAACATAAATACCTTTCATATCCGCAATAAATACTTTTCTAAAAACAAAAGGTTAAATTGATACACACCTATATAGGGTTATGGTTTCTACATGGCCATATTTCCATGTCACAGCGCTTGTTGGTGGAAAACAGACGGAAGACTGAGGTGACTACCTTGTGTTAATTAACTACAGTATCTGCATATCCGAACACCTGTGTAAACGGATGACGGACGCCACAAACATGTCGTGACTAAAAAATACTGTTGGCTGCAACTGTGTACAGTAAGAGTGTATTTTGCATTTGTAAAATAATTTTGATGTGATATAAAAGTAGAGGAATTTATGTTTCTAGAACCGCAATTGAAAATTGGTTCACGTTTAGATGGAGTATTTGGCTGTTTTGGTGTGCCTATTATAGAAAAATAAAAATAAAGCCTTTTACAAACATTTCATGCAATTCTACGTACTTTTTACATATTAGCGGATTTTTTTTATTATCCCACACAAATTACCTAAATTACAGGCTAATAATGGACAGAGATACTTAAAAACTTTATGCCTACCTTGCCACCCCAGGCAGAGTACGCCTACCGACGCAGACAAATGTAAGCTTTAACTGCTGGCTACTCTTCTTCCATGACATAACCCAACGAGAGAAGGTCACACGTGTTTCCCTAAAACCTGTCTGGGTTTTGTTAAGTTGCGTCAATTCAAATCTGGTATAGGAACAAAAGAGGTCAATACACTTATTCTAAAATAGACTAGTATTTTAATTAATGCAAACCACTTCAATGGTAAATATGATGTTCGTATATACGGGTCCACTGAAATACCACGCAGGGCACTCAGAGAACTAAGCCATTGTTATGAGTTCTTCTTAAAATACTCTGACAGAGATAGTTCCCGCTCCCTGCTGGCCAATCAGAGTAGAGACTGAGCGTGGTTTAGACTTACTCAGCCAATCGTTGGCGCACAGGCTGGTCCCAGTCCCTTGGCGCTCCACTGTTGCCAGGCATAAGTTTGTTATCATCACAACCTGTAGAGTCATCACCCATAGACACTGTTCCCCTGTACTCCTTGTACCTACGTCCTTGGACGGTTCACAGATCACAAAGAGGCAGTGTTCGTGTCTGTGAGAAATACAAGTCTTATCTCATCCTACCCCCTAACGTTCCTCACATGAATCACAGCTTGTTATGTGAAACAATTTATATCAGTACAGTACAAACCTTTTATGTTTAATAATTAATGCATTCTTTCTAAGCTAGTCATCACATCTAGATCCCCACAGTTTAAACATCTTCTATTGTACATAAAGTGAATAGCTTAATCAATTAATAGTGACAGAATTATACTGAACAAAAATATTAACTACCATGCAACAATTTCTACGATTTTACTGAGTTACAGTTCATATGAGGAAATCAGTCAATTGAAATAAATAAATTAGGCCCTAATCTATGGATTTCACATGACTGGGCAGGGGTGTAACATATGTTAATCATACTCTCCTTGCATTGTGTTTAGTTCAAAGAAATCACCCCAGCCAGTGGTCCCAGTTGATCGTTTATTTATTATCTGTGATAAAATAGGAAACAGCACGTTAGTTCTGCAGGGCTTAATGATGTTGATGGCTGTCGATTGTAAAATATGTAGCATGAAAACTGTGTTAGCAGTGAGCTTATGTGACCATTACATCGGTGCATGCTAGCTAACACATTTATATACAGCAATCATATACCAAAGCACATCCCAGAAAGCCCCTCAATCCCTAACAGGTACCATATACCCACACATGTATGAATCAGGAATGTACAGCGAACTTGTACACATTGTAAAATATAAAAATGGAATACAGTATTCAGAACGTGACATATGCCTTGCATCATATTTTCATACTTGGGAGACCTGACGTTCGCGATCTCCCCATATCTGCAAGCGGGGCCAATAACAACACGCCTTATTGTAATCGGAATTGAACCAACCAATAAGAGTGCTTGAACATTAAATACACATTTATTTAAAGGCAAATGGGTGGGCCTGGGAAGGCATAAGCACAGGGGAGCCAGGCCCAGCCAATCAGAATGAGTTTTTCCCCACAAAAGGGCTTTATGACAGACAGAAATACTCCTCAGTTTCATCAGCTCTCTGGGTGGCTGGTCTCAGACGGTCCCGCAGGTGAAGAAGCTGGATATGGAGGCCCTGGGCTGGCGTGGTTACACGTCTGCGGTTGTGAGGTCGGTTGGACGTACTGCCAAATTCTCTAAAACAACATTGGCTCATGGTAGAGAAATGAACATTTAATTATCTGGCAACAGCTCTGTGGGACATTCCTGCAGTCCACATGCCAATTGCATGCTCCCTCAACTTGAGATATCTGTGGCATTGTATTGTGTGACAAAACTGTACATTATAGTGGCCATTTATTGTCCCCAACACAAGGTGCACCTGTGTAAAGATCATGCTGTTTAATCAGCTTCTTGATATGCAGCACCTGTCGGGTGGATGGATTATCTTGGCAAAGGAGAAATGCTCACTAACAGGGATGTAAACAAATTTGTGCAGAACATTTGAGAGAACTAAGGTTTTTGTGCGGATAGAACATTTCTGGGATATTTTGATTTTGAAAAATGGGACCAACACTTTTTACATGTTACGTTTATATTTTTGTTCAGAATAGATCACCTCCCAAGCAAAGTCAGCCTCTGAATGTCAAAGAAACGAAACAATGATATCCCAATATGCATCAGATGTAATGTAAGTTACTCGAATCAGGCGTATTGTGAAGTCAATAAATCTGATAAATGCATCATGGGCAAGAAACATTGTTTTTAATAAGAATCAATTATAATTTAGTAGTAGTAGCAAGCTATCAAAGTTGACCTCCGGTGCGCTTTCTCATCTTCGCGCTCTCCTTCTCAAACTGAACAGAACAAAGGCTACAGGCTAGTCTGCGCACAAGATGGTGTATTTTTTGGGGGGACTAGGACTAATCCAAAACTATTTTCGGAAGAAACCTTTGACTGTCCTCCTGAACTGTCACCGTAGCCCTACACATCACAGCCATTGGTTAAGAAGCACACACAAACTTTTTTTGATCAGCAAGAGCAGAGCAGATGGGCACAGGGTTGGAATATCTATTGCAGTGGGTAAATGCAGCCTAGTTTTATTTACACCATCCCAGCATCTTAGAAATACACCATCTTAGAAATATAACTTTGATCTGTGCTTCGTAGCCTATGGATCATTTGATTGAGACCACACAGGCGCACTTAATATTGCGCGCCCAGCGGTAAGTCTGAGATGAGGGGCGGCATCACTCACACATTGATATGTATGTACAGTACCAGTCAAAAGTTTGGACACACCTACTCTTTCAAGGGTTTTTCTTTATTTTGACTATTTTCTAATTGTAGAATACTACTGAATACATCAACTATGACATAACATATATGGAATTATGTAGTAACCAAAAAAGTGTTAACAAATTTAAAATATTTTATATTTGAGATTCTTCAAATAGTCACCCTTTGCCTTGACAGCTTTGCACACTTTTGGCATTATCTCAACCAGCTTCACCTGGAATGCTTTTCCAACAGTCTTGAAGGAGTTCCCACATATGCTGAGCACTTGTTGGCTGCTTTTCCTTCACTCTGCCGTCTGATTCATCCCAAACCATCTCAATTGAGTTGAGGTCGGGGGATTGTGGAGGCCAGGTCATCTGATGCAGCACTCCATTACTCTCCTTCTTGGTAAAATAGCCCTTACACAGCCTTGAGGTGTGTTGGGTCATTGTCCTGTTGAAAAACAAATGAGAGTCCCACTAAGCCCAAACCAGATGGGATGGTGTATTGCTGCAGAATGCTGTGGTAGCAATGCTGGTTAAGTGTGCCTTGAATTATAAATAAATCACAGTGTAACCAGCAAAGCACCCCCACACCATAACGCCTCCTCATCCATGCTTTACAGTGGGAACTACACATGCGGAGATCATCCGTTCACCCACACCGCATCTCACAAAGACACGACGGTTGGAACCAAAAATATCAAATTTGGACTCCAGACCAAAGGACAACTTTCCACTGGTCTAATGTCCATTGCTCGTGTTTCGTGGCCCAAGCAGGTCTCTTCTTCTTATTGGTGTCCTTTTTAGTAGTGGTTTCTTTGCAGAAATCCGACCATTAAGGCCTGATTCACACATTCCCCTCTGAACAGTTGATGTGTCTGTGACTTGAACTCTGAAGCATTTATTTGGGCTGCAATTTCTGAGGCTGGTAACTCTAATGAACTTATCCTTTGCAGCAGAGGTAACTCTGGGTCTTCCTTTCCTGTGGCGGTCCTCATGAGAACCAGTTTCATCATAGATGGTTTTTGCGACTGCACTTGAAGAAACGTTAAAAGTTCTTAATTTTCCGTATTGACTGACCTTCATGTCTTAAAGTAATGATGGACTGTTATTTCTCTTTGCTTATTTGAGCTGTTCTTGCCATAGTATGGACTTGGTCTTCTACCAAATAGGGATATCTTTTGTATACCCCCCCCCTACCTTGTCACAACACAACTGATTGTCTGAAAAGAAAATCCACAAATTAACTTTTAAGAAGGCATACCTGTTAATTGAAATGCATTCCAGGTGACTACCTCATGAAGCTGATTGAGAGAATGCCAAGAGTGTGCAAAGCTGTCATCAAGGCAAAGGGTGGCTATTTGAAGAATCTCAAATATAAAATATATTTTGATTTGTTTAAAACTTTTTTGGTTACTACATGATTCCATATGCGTTATGTCATAGTTTTGATGTCTTCACTATTATTCTACAATGTAAAAAATAAAATAAAAACCTTGAATGAGTAGGTGTGTCCAAACTTTTGACTGGTAGTGTATGTACACACTTTGCATTCAGAAAGTATTCAGACCCCTGACTTTGTCCACATTTTGTTACGTTACAGCCTTATTCTAAAATTGATTTTAATAGTTTTTTTCCCTCAATCTACACACAGTACCCCATAATGACAAAGCGAAAAAAGTTTTTTAGAAATGTTACCAAATGTATAAAAAAAACAAATAACTTATTTACATAAGTATTCAGACCCTTACAATGATACTCACAATTGAGCTCAGGTGAATCCTGTTTCCATTGATCATCCTTGATGTTTCTACAACTTGATTGGAGTCCACCTGTGGTAAGTTCAATTGATTGGACATTATTTGGAAAGGCACACACCTGACTATGTAAGGTCTCACGGTTGACCGTGCATGGCAGAGCAAAAGCCAAGCCATGAGGTCGAAGGAATTGTCCGTACAGCTCCGAGACAGAATTGTGTCGAGGCACAGATCTGGGGAAGGGTACCAACAAATGTCTGCAGCATTAAAGGTCCCCAAGAACACAGTGGCCTCCATCATTCTTAAATGGAAGAAGTTTGGAACCACCAAGACCCTTCCTAGAGCTCCAGAGTTCCTCTGTGGAGATGGGAGAACCTTCCAGAAGGACAACCATCTCTGCAGCACTCCACCAATCAGGCCTTTATGGTAGAGTGGCCAGATGGAAGCCACTCCTCAGTAAAAGGCACATGACAGCCCGCTTGGAGTTTGCCAAAAGGCAACTAAAGGACTCTCAGACCATGAGAAACAAGATTTTCTGGTCTGATGAAACCAAGTTTGAACTCTTTGGCCTGAAGGCCAAGCGTCACGTCTGGAGGAAACCTGGCAACAACCCTACGGTGAAGCATGGTCATGGCAACATCATGCTGTGGGGATGTTTTTCAGCGGAAGGGACTGTGAGACTAGTCAGGATCGAGGGAAAGATGAACGGAGCAAAGTACAGAGATCCTTGATGAAAACCTGCTCAGGACCTCAGACTGGGGCGACGGTTCACCTTCCAACAGGACAACGACCCTAAGCACACAGCCGAGACAACACAGGAGTGGCTTCAGGAAAAGTATCTTAATGTCCTTGATTGGCCCAGCCAGAGCCCGGACTTGAACCCGATCGAACATCTCTGGAGAGACCTCAAAATAGCTGTGCAGCGACACTCCCCATCCAACCTGACAGAGCTTGAGAGGATCTGCAGAGAAGAATGGGAGAAACTGCCCAAATACAGGTGTGCCAAGCTTGTAGCGTCATACCCAAGACGACTCAAGGCTGTAATCGCTGCCAAAGGTGCTTCAACCAAGTACTGAGTAAATGGTCTGAATACTTATGTAAATGTGATATTTCAAACAATGTTTTATACATTTGCTAACATTTTATAAAAACCTGGTTGATCTTTGTCATTATGGGGTATTGTGTGTAGGTTTATGGGGGGGGGGGACAATTGAATCAATTTTAGAATAAGGCTGTAACATGACAAAGTGGAAAAAGTCAAGGGGTCTGAATAATTTCCGAAGTGTGTGTGTGTATATATATATATCTGTGGAAAGAATTAAGAGACCACTGCAAATGTTTCTTAAATCTGCATCTCTACATGTATGACAGCAATTCCATACCTGTGTCTGTTGAATTCCAACACAGGCACACCTCATTCTACTGAATTAGGTACTGATTAGGTGATCACATGAACCAAATCTTATTTTTAACGAGGAAAAGTATAAAAACCACTGCTGTGGTCATCACTATCCTCTTGCAATAGGACCAGCTGGATGGCAAAAACAGTTAATAGTACCTCAAAAGTAATATTAATCAAAAAATAACTACTGACCATGCCAAAAGACTTGAAAAGGAAAGTTTTGAGTGAGGAAAAGAAGGGGTCAATCTGGCTTTACTGGCAGAGGGATACAGTAGGCCACAGGTTGCTTCCATCCTTATAATTTCAAAGACTGCGGTTCATAAGAACAAGGTCAAGCAGCAGACGTTGGGGACAACAAAGCTACAGACCGGCAGAGGGCGAAAACGACTCTACTGACCGGGATGACTGCCAACTCATTCGAATGTCACTCAACAACCGTAGGATGACATCAAGTGACCTACAAAAAGAATGGCAAACGGCAGCTGGAGTGAAGTAAATGGCGAGGACGGTTCGAAACAGGCTCCTAGGGGCAGGGCTGAAGTCGTGCAAAGCTAGAAAAAAGCCCTTCACCAATGAGAAGCAAAGAAGAGCCAGGCTGAGGTTTGCAAAAGACCATAAGGATTGGACCATAGAGGACTAAAGTAAGGCCATCTTCTCTGATGAGTCCAATTTTCAGCTTTGTCCAACACCTGGTCGTTTAATGGTTAGATGGAGACCTGGAGAGGCCTACAAGCCACAGTGTCTCGCACCCACTGTGAAATTTGGTGGAGAATCTGTGATGATCTGGGGGTGCTTCAGCAAGGCTGGAATCGGGCAGATTTGTCTTTGTGAAGGACTCATGAATCAAGCCACGTACAAGGTTGTCCTGGAAGAAAACTTGCTTCCTTTTGCTCTGACATTGTTCCCCACGCCATTGCGCCAAACCACGCCACACAGCCAGGTCAATCAAGGTGTGGATGGAGGACCACCAGATCAAGACAAGACCCTGTCATGGCCAGCCCAATCTCCAGACCTGAACCCCATTGAAAACTTCTGGAATGTCATCAAGAGGAAGATGGATGGTCACAAGCCATCAAACAAAGCCGAGCTGCTTGAATATTTGTGCCAGGAGTGGCATAAAGTCACCCAACATCAATGTGAAAGACTGGTGGAGAGCATGCCAAGACGCATGAAAGCTGTGATTGAAAATCAGGGTTATTCCACCAAATATTGATTTCTGAACTCTTCCTAAATTAAAACATTACTATTGTGTTGTTTAAAAATGAACATGAACTTATTTTCTTTGCCTTATTCAAGGTCTGACAACACGGCATCATTTTTGTTATTTTGACCAGTTGTCATTTTCTGCTAATAAATGCTCTAAATGACAATATTTGGGAGAAATGTTGTCAGTAGATTATAGAATAAAACAAAAATGTTATTTTTACCCAAACACATACCTATCAATAGTAAAACCAGAGAAACTGATAATTTTGCAGTGGTCTCTTAATTTTTTACATCTCAGGAGGGATTTTGTCCCACTCCTCTTTGCAGATCTTCTCCAAGTCATTAAGGTTTCGAGGCTGACGTTTGGCAACTCGAACCTTCAGCTCCCTCCACGTATTTTCTATGGGATTTCCAGGACCTTACTGTGCTTCTTCTTGAGCCACTCCTTTGTTGCCTTGGCCGTGTGTTTTGGGTCATTGTCATACTGGAATACCCATCCATGACCCATTTTCAATGCCCTGGCTGAGGGGGTTCTCACCCAAGATTTGACGGTACATGGCCCCGTCCATCGTCCCTTTGATGCGGTGAAGTTGTCCTGTCCCCTTATCAGGAAAAACACCCCCAAAGAATAATGTTTCCACCTCCATGTTTGACGGTGGGGATGGTATTCTTGGGGTCATAGGCAGCATTCCTCCTCCTCCAAACACGTTGAGTTGATGCCAAAGAGCTCCATTTTGGTATCATCTGACCACAACACTTTCACCCAGTTCTCCTCTGAATCATTCAGATGTTCATTGGCAAACTTCAGACGGGCATGTATATGTGCTTTCTTGAGCATGGGGACCTTGCGGGCGCTGCAGGATTTCAGTCCTTCACGGCGTAGTGTGTTACCAATTGTTTTCTTGGTGACAGCTGCCTTGAGATCATTGACAAGATCCTCCCGTGTAGTTCTGGGCTGATTCCTCACCGTTCTCATGATCATTGCAACTCCACGAGGTGAGATCTTGCATGGAGCCCCAGGCCGAGGGAGATTGACAGTTATTTTGTGTTTCTTCCATTTGCGAATAATCGCACCAACTGTTGTCACCTTCTCACCAAGCTGCTTGGCGATGGTCTTGTAGCCCATTTCAGCCTTGTGTAGGTCTACAATCTTGTCCCTGACATCCTTGGAGAGCTCTTTGGTCTTGGCCATGGTGGAGAGTTTGGAATCTGATTGATTGCTTTTGTGGACAGGTGTCTTTTATACAGGTAACAAGCTGAGATTAGGAGCACTCCCTTTAAGAGTGTGCTCCTAATCTCAGCTCGTTACCTGTATAAAAGACACCTGGGAGCCAGAAATCTTTCTGATTGAGAGGGGGTCAAATACTTATTTCCCTCATTAAAATGCAAATCAATTTATAACATTTTTGACATGCGTTTTTCTGGATTTTTGTTGTTGTTATTCTGTTTCTCACTGTTCAAAGAAACCTACCATTACAATTATAGACTGATCATTTCTTTGTCAGTGGGCAAACGTACAAAATCAGCAGGGGATCAAATACTTTTTTCCCTCACTGTATATGTGTGTGTGTGTGTGTGTGTGTGTGTGTGTGTGTGTGTGTGTGTGTGTGTGTGTGTATATATATATATATATATATCTCCTAATAAGCAACTCATTCTAAAACACTGAGAAATATTGACATTTCGTCAATCACAAATTACATGACCCTCCCCTGGACTAGATAAAGAAATTACTAAACCCTCCGCTTTACTGAAATTGAAAAAGCATGACCCTCCCCCATTTTCCTCAAGGTAACCATTTCTGTACATTTCGATCTGTCACTAAGATGTATTTTTGGCTGCCTCCAAAACAGGCTGCCGAAGAGAGACGAGCCCCCTTAAGAGCCTTGGCCAATGCCTGTGTGCCCAAAGAGCGCTGGCAGCCCCAGGAGGGAGAGCCCAGGGGGACCCACCAGAAGACTGAGCCAGAGCGCAGATGGGTACGCCACTTCTCTCCTTCTGCCATAGCCTGACCTCCCTTCTATTCCATTTCCTCTTCCGTCTGTTCTGGAGTGTAGTCATTAGTCCAAACAGTAAAATTTGAGTTTCTATTGGACAAATTCAGTGAGGTTCTATTCAGTTTGCTTCCATTTAAGAAATGTTTTGCAACAGAATCGGCGTAATGAATAGACCCCAGCTGCGAGGGCCCACATTCAAGTGCCTATACTCATTGCTGTGTCTCTCACCCCGTTGAATGCTCTTTCTAGTCTTTATGCCTCAAGTACGCTTCAGATCAAATCCTTTATTGAAGTCACAGAACAGTATGTGGAGTCTCCATATTAATGCACTCTTAACAATACCTTATGTTTTGACATCTTATCCTTCCTCTATGCCACGCTCTGTGTTAATTTAATTGTCCTGCTGTGTATGTCTGAGCAGGCCTGGAGGCTGCCTGTGTCGACAGACGATGGCATTATCATTGGCTTCCATGAGGACGACAGCCCCTCACATTCAGGTCACTGCAATATACTTCTGTACCAAATATAGCATATAATTGTATGTTAGCCTTGTGTCTGTACTAAGTTAACCCTCTCTCTACTATGGTCAGATGTATGTATGGAGGAAGAAGCTGTGCTGCTCTACCTCCATGGCCTCCAGGGTCTCTATAGCCTGCAGGCGTTGGTGCCTGGCCTGCTGCGTCATGAGACTGAGCTGGCCATGGAGACGCTGGGGCTTATCTATGACAGGAGCTACGCATGGGACATCTTCTCTGACATGATGGTGAGGGGGGGTGGGGGTGTAATAGAGGTGGAGCCATGTAATGAGTAACCTTGACTCAGACCCAGGGAGTCTTGTTAGATCCCAGAGTTAATTCCTAGGCTTTAGCTCACACTCTTGTCGCAACTTAGGAAAGTTGATCAAGATTGGGAGGAGGCTTGTATTATTAGTCCAGAATCGCTCTACATTTCAATTACATTTACATTACATTTACATTACATACATTTTAGTCATTTAGCAGACGCTCTTATCCAGAGCGACTTACAGTTAGTGAATACCCTTTATTTTTATAAAAAATTTTATACTGGCCCCCCATGGGAATCGAACCCACAACCCTGGCGTTGCAAACGCCATGCTCTATCAACTGAGCTACATCCCTGCCGGCCATTCCCTCCCCTACCCTGGACAACGCTGGACCAATTGTGCGCCGCCCATGAGTCTCCCGGTCGCGGCCGGCTGCGACAGAGCCTGGATTCGAACCAGGATCTCTAGTGGCACAGTTAGCCCTGCGATGCAGTGCCTTAGACCACTGCGCCACTCAGGAGCTTACAATCACTAACCACGTTTCCATCCACAGTTTATATGTGCGTAGAGTCATACCGTATAATTTTTTAAAAAATAAAATCACAACCGCTGTGATGCAACAGGATGTTTTGGTACAATTTTATAAATGCAGACAGATCATTTGTTCGTTCAACATGGTGGGATCTTTTTGTGTCGGCGAGATATTGATTTAGCAACCATTAACTTTGAGTCACGCGATGACATGGTGTGCCAAGACCGGAGTAGGCACAATTGCTATTTAACGCAACAGTTTTTGTGACAAAACTATCGGTAGAGTTTTCGGTACATGAGAACTTCAGAGATAAAGTAAATTTTGTGCACTACGTCACGCACTGATTTTGATCTGCAACGAGTCAGTTTGGTGGAAACACCACTGATGGGGAATGTGTTTGAATATCCGCATGAAAGTCTTTCGCCAATTGGATGGAAACCAAGCTAGTGAAGTTATTTTGTTATTCATTGACATGGTCTTCTTTTCCAGAGAAGTCAGTTGCGGTTCACCTTCCCCAATGCAGACCTACCCAGACCATTCACAAACGCCACCCGCGCCATTCTGGTCGACTGGCTCATCCAAGTCCATGTGAGTTGCCCTCGAGTCCCTCTACTATTTATCTAAAAGGATTTCCTGATTTAGGAAATGCGCACTTGACAACAGGTTGACCCTCCATAGTGAAGAAGTTTTTAAGTAGGTGCCCTTCAGCTTACCTAAGACAAAATGTATGTGGTAGAATTCACTGTGTGCTCCCCATCACTCCTTCCTTCCTCTTACAGGAGGTTTTCCATTTCTCAGAGGAGACCCTCTACCTGTCTGTCCACCTCCTGAACCGCTGTCTACACCAGATCAAGGTGAACACAGCCAAACTGCAGCTGCTGGGAGTGGTATGTCTCTTCCTGGCTGCCAAGAAAGAAGAGTGTCTTCTCCCTGAGGTATTCTACATCAGACCTGGGTCAGATACATATGGTGTTCTCCACCAACGTTTTCCCTCACTGAAGCCATTATGCATAGCTTGGTGTGCATAATCAAGTAAGCGTTGGATATACAGTGAGGGGGAAAAAAGTATTTGATCCCCTGCTGATTTTGTATGTTTGCCCACTGACAAAGAAATGATCAGTCTATAATTTTAATGGTAGGTTTATTTGAACAGTGAGAGACAGAATAACAACAAAAAAATCCAGAAACACGCATGTCAAAAATGTTATAAATTGATTTGCATTTTAATGAGGGAAATAAGTATTTGACCCCCTCTCAATCAGAAAGATTTCTGGCTCCCAGGTGTCTTTTTATACAGGTAACGAGCTGAGATTAGGGGCACACTCTTAAAGGGAGTGCTCCTAATCTCAGCTTGTTACCTGTATAAAAGACACCTGTCCACAGAAGCAATCAATCAGATTCCAAACTCTCCACCATGGCCAAGACCAAAGAGCTCTCCAAGGATGTCAGGGACAAGATTGTAGACCTACACAAGGCTGGAATGGGCTACAAGACCATCGCCAAGCAGCTTAGTGAGAAGGTGACAACAGTTGGTGCGATTATTCGCAAATTGAAGAATCACAAAATAACTGTCAATCTCCCTCGGCCTGGGGCTCCATGCAAGATCTCACCTCGTGGAGTTGCAATGATCATGAGAACGGTGAGGAATCAGCCCAGAACTACACGGGAGGATCTTGTCAATGATCTCAAGGCAGCTGGGACCATAGTCAACAAGAAAACAATTGGTAACACACTACGCCGTGAAGGACTGAAATCCTGCAGCGCCCGCAAGGTCCCCCTGCTCAAGAAAGCACATATACAGGCCCGTCTGAAGTTTGCCAATGAACATCTGAATGATTCAGAGGAGAACTGGGTGAAAGTGTTGTGGTCAGATAAGACCAAAATTGAGCTCTTTGGCATCAACTCAACTCGCCGTGTTTGGTGGAGGAGGAATGCTGCCTATGACCCCCAGAACACCATCCCCACCGTCAAACATGGAGGTGGAAACATTATTCTTTGGGGGTGGACAACTTCACCGCATCAAAGGGACGATGGACGGGGCCATGTACCTTCAAATCTTGGGTGAGAACCTCCTTCCCTCAGCCAGGGCATTGAAAATGGGTCGTGGATGGGTATTCCAGCATGAAAATGACCCAAAACACACGGCCAAGGCAACAAAGGAGTGGCTCAAGAAGAAGCACATTAAGGTCCTGGAGTGGCCTAGCCAGTCTCCAGACCTTAATCCCATAGAAAATCTGTGGAGGGAGCTGAAGGTTCGAGTTGCCAAACGTCAGCCTCAAAACCTTAATGACTTGGAGAAGATCTGCAAAGAGGAGTGGGACAAAATCCCTCCTGAGATGTGTGCAAACCTGGTGGCCAACTACAAGAAACGTCTGACCTCTGATTGCCAACAAGGGTTTTGCCACCAAGTGCTAAGTCATGTTTTGCAGAGGGGTCAAATACTTATTTCCCTCATTAAAATGCAAATCAATTTATAACATTTTTGACATGCATTTTTCTGGATTTTTGTTGTTGTTATTCTGTCTCTCACTGTTCAAATAAACCTACCATTAAAATTATAGACTGATCATGTCTTTGTCAGTGGGCAAACGTACAAAATCAGCAGGGGATCAAATACTTTTTTCCCTCACTGTATGTCGGGTTCTTCCAGACCTCCAAACACTGACAGTGGAAGCTACAGGAGAAGGGCATTGGGCAGGGTTGTTTTTGGACCAGGCCTTTCTCTAGTATTCTCCAACCCCCTCACTCTCTCCTCCAGGTGTCTGAGCTGTGCTTCCTCATGGAGAATGGCTACTCCAATAGACAGCTGCTCCGTATGGAGCGCCGGGTCCTCACTGAGCTGAAGTTTGAGCTTTCCCACTGCTCTCCGCTGCACTTCCTGCTCCTCTCTGCCTCAATCGCCCACTGCAGCGCCAAGGTGGGTGAATCCTCAACACTTTAACCCAGAGCAGAGTTTGGCCAGGTTTTAGAATGGATGCCATGTTGGCTATTTATTCTCTAAATGTTGGTGATGTAACAATAGGAGTGCCTCTGAGAGTTCCCTATGAAATGACAGAGCAGTGCATTTAACAGATGTTTTATTGTTTAGCATTCAGGATAATGTGTATCCAAGTTGGTGCCGTGTTGTGATGTCAACAAATTGCATATCTGCCTTCACTGGACATCTTCATAGGGATTTGAAACTTTCAGAAATGAACCGCACAATGCGGAAGCGTCAATTATCACTTAGCAAGTGCTATGGAGGAGAAAGTGGCGCCCTCAATGTTCAGACAGAAACCACATTGGCCAAATGACCCCTTGAACCTAGTTGCTAGTCAAGCTGCTCATATTATCAGGTCCACATGAACATGTTAGTAATCTTCTGAGATGTGCAGCACAACCGCAATAAAGACAACCTGGAACATCCCCTTTACTCGTCTCTACGTGCAGGTGGTGTGGATGGCCCGTTACCTGCTGGAGCTCTCTCTGCTGGAGGGACAGTGTGTGGTGTTCCTGGCTGCCCACCTGGCTGGTGCTGCCCTCTGTCTGGCTCGCAGGGTACTGCAGGAGCCCCCCACCCCAGAGGGAGAGACTGCCTGGTGTGTTGCCTCCAGTATCCATGTAGGCAGGTGAGGATAAGCTCTTTCTTGATTGTCCCCCCCAAAAAATATCATTGTCTCCACACTGATTGCAAATCTACTTGACATATGATACCCAATCATTTTCACTATCAGACTTTGAAGTGTAATGTACTTCTTCTGTTGTCTTTTGACGCCACCTCTTTCTCCTGTCTGCCTCCTTCAGTGAGACGACCCTGCTGAAGATAATGCTCATCCAGGCAGGGGCTGCAGCCCGGGCCCAGAGCAGAGAGACCCGCGCTACTTTCCTCAAGTACTCCACAGCAGGGACCATGCACGTCAGCAGCCACCCGACCCTGCTGAGTGCCCCCTGTCTGCTGGGCCTGCCCACTACACACACTTGAAGCCCCACAGTAGCCTACACATGAAGAGGAGAGTGGGGTGTGTGTCACTGTTTTTCTATGGGAATGGGCCATTGTAGGAGGAATGAGGATTACTTTATGATGAATTCAGGGAGGCGGACATCCTAATTGAGGACTGACTAGCAAAGGGTCCCCTACAGTCACCTTTTACCTCAGACAGACATTTCATATTGTAAACGAGCAAGCTTGAGATGAGATGAAGGCTTGCGAGAATACATTTGACCCACCACATCAAGGAGAGGTGTGAGGGGGAGGAAGGGGACATCAATATAATATGCAGTACTGAACTGACTTGTCTGCCTGTTCTGGACTGGCCAGTGCCACATTTATTTTATGCTCTTATCTTGGATCTAATTGTGAATCAAAAAATAACAAGTTTTGTCTTCCGATGACTGTCAGTTTTTTTTTTTACTGTTTCTTGTAAAATGTTGGGACAAAGCAGGCTTCAATTGTTTAAATGTGACATGGTTTATTGGAACTTTTTAATAATGTTAAATAAAGTTGTCTGCTGCTAAATGTCAGTCTGCTGGCATTTTTTGTAAGATACCTCTAAGTTTCTGCCTGCCCTTATTCATATAGCCTGGCTATCTAGCTGATGCTGTCTGGTCAGAAAGAGTATGACATTGTTGCCGCCCATAGCATTGAATGCAAGGGAATCCAGCGAGCATTTGACCTCCCTTGATATATTTTTAAAATAAAATAATAGCCAATCAGCATTGTGCTAAACTGAGTGAGCTCAGCTGTGAATGGTCCTGGCACACAAAAACCTGTCAAGGGAAGCCAGTTTGGATTTGGCTTGAGACCAATCACATCAGAAGCCAAACATCATATACAGCAAAAAAACGTTCATTGTTGCATATATTTGTGTCCTTGTCCTCCGGTGGCTAGCTAACTAAAATCATCCCTTTCCTAAATTAGCCATGGACAGAGATGGGTATTTGGTCTTGTGGTTTTACTTAATTCTCAGTACTGGCCAATGATGATAATGGTGATTCTGATACAACTATAAATTGATACATTGTGCCTCTGGCCTGAGGGAATGGAAGTTCAACATGTAGCTAGATGTAGTATGCTAATGTTAACTAGCTGGCCTGGCGCATCATTGCCAATGAAAGGAAGTTAGGCTAGCAAACAAGCATTTTAGCCAAGTAGCCTAGGACAACAAAAACTAAAAGCATGTACTGTATGACAGAGTCATAGACCGTTTAGGCAACATGAAAGATGATGGCATTGGCGTTTCTCTACAAGTAGGGTGAGTCAACATGTTTTTCTACTTGCACGCGCACACACAGAAATCTACCATGGACAGCCACTTATTTAACTTAGGTTGATTGGACTAAATCGTTTTTGGTATCTTTTAGTTGTCACTGTATTAGACTAAGAATAGGTGATTAGATTATGTTGAAGTTGAAATTGTGCTGGAATAGTGGAGGCGGCTCCTATTTTCTTTGCCACTTGCGGTAACTCCGTGGTTCTAAATCAATAGTTGTTTGTAGTCCGAAAATTTAGGAAACATTAACTTGCTTGACCATGCTGTAGGTCATGTAACTGTTTGTTACATGCAATATGTTTTGTGGACTTCACCGGACAGATGTTGCTCTCCAGTTTTGTAATGAAACAAATGTGTGGTTGAATTTATTCTGCCACTGTGTCTTCGTATTGTCTCGGCCTTAGCCTATATATCACAGTGTCAAGGCATAGTAACTAACAGGTTATAGAGCAAACAACGCAATTATCACAACACAGGTTGTAATAAGGCTTTTTTGGTGGGGGGTGGGGGGGGTCGCTTTGCTTACTCGGTGCCTTTACCCACGCACTGCTGCTGCTTGCAGAACTGCGCGCTACGGCACTGGTAACGCCTCGATCACACCGATGGTACTATTGCGTAAAATGGGACGCAGCATCATCTGGATATGTGTGTTACAAAACTTCGACATCCACCTTCTGCTACCATTTCTGTCAAGCAGTCTATGAGTACAGTTTGACGCATACATTCGATAAATCCAACGTCTGCACTACACAGAACGCACTGCAACTGCCGCTGCAAGGCAAACGCAGCGTTCCATTGGAAATGACTACTTCTGGTGTAGCAAAATGCCAGACACTACCCGTGTGATCGAGGCGTTATGATGTCTATAGTCTCTCTGTCTGTACCAACCGTGCTCGCGCTGCTTGCAGCATGTGCTCATTTGCCTAACCCCGCTTTCTTTGGCTCTGCTCACGTGCGCGAACAGATCCGTGGCATTCATTGGCTGAGAAGCATTCTATACGTCATATTTTGCCATAAGAGAGCCATATGGACGAGTTGTGGACCAGCTGACTGATGAACTATGGCACATTTCACATCTGAGAGACACGTGAAATGTAGCAATTCCTATTCTCCCATAGGGAATGCTAGAAATGTATTTTAAAATCACACCATGCTGCCCTATTGGTCTCATCTCATTAGTCCAGTCAACAGGCTGTTAATTTAGTGTAGCCTAGTCTATAGCATAACAAGTCCAGTAACCCAATGAAACATGGTTTAGAAATAACATAATAGTTTTGTCCCTATAGAATTATGTAGGATCTCTGTTAGTTCTTATGATATTCTGTCCAAACATCATGACTGTATTCACACCTCTCTTATTCAAGTCCTGACGTTCTCATGCAGTCACTTCAACACAGAACTCATGCGGTCCCACCCCTACACGTGCCCAGCAAACTAAGTAGTATTTATTATGCTAAATCCTCCCAGATTGGGTCTCGAGGGCAGCGCACGAGCAACTCCTTAATATCGACGGGAACAGTTTGTAATTCCAGCAAGGGGAGGGTCGTCACTAATTACCACAGCCACAAAGTCATAAACCACCCTGAAAATGTCTACAATGTATCTTCTTAAAATGTGATTTTAAACCTAACTTTAACCTTAACCATACTGCTAAACTTATGCCTAACCTTAAATTACGAACAAAAAGCTAATTTTTGTTTTCATGAATCTTTACAATAGGCCTATAACCAATTTTGACTTTGTGGCTGTGGCATCTAGTGGAAACCCGAGGGGAGGTCTAGGAAGCGGGGCCATTTTCAGGTTGGGTACCGATGATCAATTTTGGGACTGGGACTTGTCTTTAATGAACTAACCGTTAGACTACAGGTAGTCTTCACATCCCGGCAGCTAGTTTATCAATTGAATGAGATAGATGTAATATAAACGCAGCGATAGACGCGCAGAGAAGACATGACATAAGGAAAACGTTGAAAGATAGAGCTAGAAATGAGGTGCTCTAGTCAACAACAAGGCGAGGTGGAGCGATATTCAAGTGACGTGAACCACCAGTGGCAAAGAGTCTAAATTATTATTGGAGGTAAGCTGTTGGTGATTTTTTTTTTTTATACTTTGAGACTAAGACTTTTAAAACAATTTCATGTGAAAAGTGCACTGACCCAAGTTGCTTTATGTGGACGTTTTGACTTGATTTAAACCTGCTGACCATGCTTAACAGGCCTTTTTTATCCACTATTAAGAAGCAAATACATACAAATTTGACAAATATAGTTTTGTCATTTTCTTTCTTTGATTTATTTATTAGGCCTAATTATTTCTGATTTATTTCGTGCGTTTTGTATATGGCGTTTGTTAACGTGTACTAAAGCAATGGTTCCCAAGCAGGGGTACTAGGACCCCTGGGGGTACTTGGCCTATCCACAGGGGGTACTTGAGAAGACTCATGAGACCATAGGCTTACTGGTAAAATGCACATTAGGGGGTACTTCAGGGTACTCCAGGCTGAGCAAAAATCAGTTGGTGGTACAGTAACCGAAAATGGTTGTGAACCACCATACTAAAACAATAGAGCAAGTGTGTCTGCACTGCAGAAGTTGTGATGTTACATAAGGGGTAGGGGAGAAGCCCCGGGTTGTGACAGCGCACGTTTGATACACATCATGCACGTTTGTCCTAGTGGCCCTTTGTTTACAAAATAACACCACAGAAAGTTACCTATAAACAAAAGCTTAGCCAGAACGTAATGAAACCTGCCATTGGGTATCATCATGTACAAGAAAGTGTCAGTTCTCAGGGGCCTATATAGATGCAGAACATGACTTTGTGCCCCGCTAAAAAGCTTGCGTTGCAAATAGATTTCATTTAGTCAGCTATTGTTTATTACATCGATTTTTAACCAATCATTCAGCTTTCAAGTCCCATGGCTGACTTAAAGCTCTTCTCCATGAGACAAATGTGTTTTCCTCAACAGTTGAAATTCAGCTGACAGTGTGTGTAGTCTAGTGATCAGAACAGAAAGGATGGGGTCGATCGGGTCAGACTCAGGGTGGGGTTTGAGCTGTCATTGATTTTTCTTTCTCTTGTCCTGGACATAAGATACTGTCACTCAAAGAGAGAAAATGTAGAGATTGGGTAAAGAGAGAGAGATGGAGGGAGGAGAGATGAAAGTGTATAAACATGCCTGTCAGAATAGGGTTAAACGATAGGGTCGCACAGTGTTACATAAAGAACTGCACCCGCTCTATTGCTCTAAAGACTTCCCCACACACATATACATGTGCTAAATCACTTCTGAATCTCTCATGATCATTTGTATGTTAACCACCATGATTTACCATCTTCCATAACATGGTTAGTGTGCCGTCATGTCTGGTGATGTTTCATGGTGATGTTTGATTAGTGGGTGGATGTGATATTATCAAACACACACACACATAGCCCCCACTCCATCCTCCCGACACGCACGTACAGCCCACACACACGGGACCCTGATGTGTCTAGGAGTGAAGAGGAGGAGCCAGACAAAGGGAACGGGGCTGTGCAGGGAGAAGTGACTGAGGAGGACACATGAGGGAGGAGGAGCTAAATCTGAGAACACATGTCAGAGAGGTGGAGCTCAGGCTGCTGATTATGTATCCAGCAGCATACAAAATAATATGTTATTTCAAACCACAAACGAAAAACTCCTCACTCGATAATTTTCCCTTGTACTTGGAGCCAAAGTGTTTATATTTTTATGACAGGAGCTTTTTTTAAGTACCATAGGCCTATGCATTTTAAAACATATTCCAGGGAAATGTTACTCAATGGTGTGTATTTGGTTCTCCATCAGGGCTCAGTATGCCTCTGGAACAGGATTGTCTAAGTGGGCGAGAGCCACGTGCATCCAGCAAGAATGCCAAGGACAGGAGCAACACTGGCACCCTACTGGCCTCAAGGAGTACTGCAGACACAGAGTCCATCGGAAGAGGCTCTCGCTGCAGCTCTGAAAAAGATTCTGGATATTCCGGTGAGGGAGAACGTTCCGGACACTCACTCGCCCCAAAACGTGTCACCCACCAGCCCCCTCGCTCTTACTCACTCATTGTGATTTCTGTAAACTCTCACACTGCCAGACTCCCTCATGAATCATGCCACATGCTCACACATAGGCCAGGCAGTGCAACCAATCAGCCAGAAGTGTTGTATTTCTATATAGAGAAGGACACACGTGTAGTCTACATGCACACTGGCCCTCTACTCAGTAGGATTGCTGATAGAATTCCATGAATTCCTTCACGAGGAGTACTAGATTACTGTCCTTGATGATGTGTGAGTATGGCCTCACAGGTACCAGTGGGAAACTGTATAAAAGGAATCATGTGTCACATTTCTTGTGAGGACAGTTCCCATCCCCCTGTATTCCCGTTCAATCTGACTGTATTTCTTCAATTCTTTACACTCAACTCTTCCCTTAACCTGCTTCTCTCTCTCTCCCCCTTCTCTCTCTCCCCCTTCTCTCTCGCCCCCTTTCTCTCTCTCCCCCTTCTCTCTCGCCCCCTTCTCTCTCTCTCTCCCCTTCTCTCTCTCCCCCCTTCTCTCTCTCTCCCTTTCTCTCTCTCCCCTCTCTCTCTCCCCTTCTCTCTCGCCCCTTCTCTCTCTCCCCCTTTTCTCTCTCTCCCCTTCTCTCTCTCCCCCTTTTCTCTCTCCCCCCTTCTCTCTCTCTCCCCTTCTCTCTCTCCCCCTTCTCTCTCTCTCCCTCTTCTCTCTCGCCCCCTTCTCACTTTCTCCCCTTCTCTCTCCCCCTTCTCTCTCTCTCTCTCTCTCTCTCTCTCCTCTCTCTCATCTCTCTCTCCTCCTCTCTCTCTCTCTCCCCCCCCCTTCTTCTCTCCTCTTCTCTCTCCCTCTCTCCCCCTCTCCCCTCCTCGCTCCCTCGCCCTTCTCCTCTCTCCCCCTTCTCCTCTCCCCCTTCTCATTCCTCCCATTCTCTCACTCCCCCTTCTCACCCCTTCCGTCTCTCCTCCCTCCCTCTCACCTTTCGTCCCCTCTCTTCCTCTCCCCCCTTCTCTCTCTCCCTCTTCTCTCCCACCGCTTCTCTCTCTCCCCTCTCGTCTCTCCCCCTTCTCTCTCTCACCCTTCCTCTCCCTCCTCTCCCTCGCTCCCTCCTCCCGGCCTTCTCCTTTCTCCCTTCTCTCGTCGTCCCGCCGCGCCTCCCTCTCTCTCTGCCCCTCCCTTCTCCTCTCTCTCCCTTTCTCTCTCTCCCTCTCTCTCCCCCTCTCCTCTGTCCTTCCTCTCCCCCTTCTCTCTCTCTCCTCACTTCTCTCTCTCCCCCCTTCTCTCTCTCTCTCTCCCCCTTCTCTCTCTCCCCTTCTCTCTCTCCCTCTCTCCTCTCCCCCTTCTCTCCTCTCCCCTTCTCTCTCGCCCCTCTCTCCCTTCTCTCTCCTTCCTCTCTCTCCCCCCTTTCTCTCCTCTCCTTCCTCTCTCTTCTCTCTCTCCCCTTCTCATCTCCCCCCTCTCTCTCTCCCCTTCTCTCTCTCTTCTCCTCTCCCTCTTCTCTCTCTCTCCCCCTTCTCTCTCTCTCCTCCCCTTCTCTCTCTCCCCTCTTCCCCTTCCCTTCAGCCACTTTCCCCCCTCTCTCTCTCCCCCTCTCCTTTCTAACCTTCTCTCTCCCCTTCTCTCTCTCCCCCTTCTCTCTCTCCCCCTTCTTCCTCTCCTTCAGACAACAACAGCTGTACAGACTGGCTCCATGTGGATGGAGAGGACCAGGGCAGCAGCGTGAGTGAGCCCAGGGGAAGGGAGGGTCTTCAGGGCCAGGTCAAGCCCGAGCAGGCCCCTCTCCAGGGGAACCACATCCTGGTCCCCAGCCCCAGAGGCCCTGACCGCACCCCCATCCCCATCATCAAGAACGTGGTGTTCAAACAGGTGAGAGAGGTAGGAGACAGGCTTGGGGTCAATTCCATTTCAGTTACAGTCAATTGAGAAATTAAACCCCAATCCCTGGTGGGAGGAGGGAAATGGAGGAGGAGAGTATGAAACTGGGGAAAAACAGCGTAGGAGTTGGCCAATCATAGGACAGCAGAACTAAAAGGAGAGAAATAGAAAGCAGAAATAAATGTGGAGGAGGAAGAGGAGGTGACAGGTGGAAGAGGAGGTGACAGGTGGAGGAGTTGACAGGTGGCGGAGGAGGAGGTGACAGGTAGAGGAGGAAGAGGTGACAGGTGGAGGAGGAGGAAGAGGAGTTGACAGGTGGAGAAGGAAGAGGAGGTGACAGGTGGCGGAGGAGGAGGTGACAGGTGGAGGAGGAAGAGGAGGTGACAGGCGGCGGAGGAGGAGGTGACAGGTGGAGGAGGAAGAGGAGGTGACAGGTGGCAGAGGAAGAGGAGGTGACAGGTGGAGGAGGAAGAGGACATGACAGGTGGAGGAGGTGACAGGTGGAGGAGGAAGAGGAGATGACAGGTGGCGGAGGAGGAGGTGACAGGTGGAGGAGGAAGAGGAGGTGACAGGTGGTGGAGGAGGAGGTGACAGGTGGAGGAGGAAGAGGAGGTGACAGGTGGCGGAGGAGGAGGTGACAGGTGGAAGAGGAAGAGGAGGTGACAGGTGGAGGAGGAAGAGGAGGTGACAGGTGGAGGAGGAAGAGGAGGTGACAGGTGGAAGAGGAAGAGGAGGTGACGGGGACAGAGTGTGAGGGAGACAGGAAGAAAGCAGCTTCTGAATCATCTGAAAATGAGTTGTCTGATAAATGTCACAGTGAGCCAGGTCAGAACGACTTAATGGTTTTAGGGAGGTATTTGATGGCACCATAAGACTCATCCTTTTTCACAATCCTCTTACAGCAAGTCCCGTCAAATAAGTTGCCCTTTTCTTGACCGTATGTGTTAGTACGAGGAGTTGCCTGTCTTTCTCTCATCTTCCCTTTATCTTTCCTTTCGGCTTCAATTACCCCCCCCACACACACATACAGTATAACCTATTTTGGTTCAACCTTTTTAAAACTCTCTCCGTTTCCACTTTTCTTTATCCTCTTTCAGAATCAGAATCATCTTTATTACATTTACATGTACCAGGTATTTAACAATCTCTCTCTCTCCTCCCAGTCTGTGGTGGTAAAGAATGGCTCAGACCATCACTTCCAGAACCAGCTGAACTGGGAGAACCGAGGAAGAAATTCCAACGACTCTGGCCCCTGTCATGTGATCCTGGTCCAGCAGCCCAGTGAAGCCTCACCCTCACCCGCATCCCCAAAGCCCCACAGAACCCAGGCCCGGAGAGCTGACAGCACAGCCAGGAAAACCAAAAGCAGAACCTACCTGCCCATTCTTAAGTCCTACCCACGTATCGCCCCCCATCCCAGCAAGAAGCCCTCAGACAAGACCCCAGTGGACTCCCATGGCAAGGGGACTGGCAGTGAGGACCAGAGCCAGAACAAGAGGGATGAGGTGTCCACTACTACTCACTTACAGACGCCATCCAGGCAACACATCCGCAAGCAGCCAGACCCCAAGAGAACCTTATCTCACTGGAGGAGCCCTGCCTCCTCCCACTCCCCCAGCCCCCGCTCTCCATCTCCCTCTAGCCTTTCCAGCTTTGGCGCTCCCTCTTTGTCCAGCTCTGACACCTGCAACGCCTCCTCATCCTCCTACTCCTCCTCCTACTCCTCTTCCGGTGGCTCCTCTCCCCTCCCGGCCAGCAGATGGCCCCGCAGACACGGTCCAGGCCTGTCCCTGTTCAGTGCAGCACGCGACAGGTGCTTCCTGAACACGGTGGGCATCCTAAGCCAGTCAGGCCTGCTTGACATCACACTACGCACCCAGGACCTCCTCCGCCAGAGCAACGCCACAGACCAAGTCATCGCCCAGCTCCGCCAGCACACCCAGCTGCTGTACCAGGCCGCCAACAACAACAACAACCCCAATGCCAACACAGCCAGCGCGGGCTGGGAGAGGATACACCAGGCTATGGCTCAGTCAGGCTGCTACCCCAGCCTCAAGAACCTGGGGAGTGAAGAGGATCACCACAGTTATAGTCCAGAGCCAGGAGTGGGAGGGGACGCCAGTTTCAAGAGGGATTCGGTTGGCTCTAATATCAACACTCATACCCACAATTGGGTGCAGGCTCCGCCCCCGGCCCTGCCCCTCCTAGCCCCCATGTCAGATCTGCTCCCACAGTACTGCCCTGTTTCCCTGTCACAGCATTCTCCAGTCAGCGTCACCACATCCCTCTCTCACTCTGGGCAGGCCAGTGCCAAACCCCCTGAGACAGTCACCATCATGCCCCCTGACAGTTCCACCCATGGGGGTCTTCTCTAGCACCTGCCCAGGGAAAGGCACGTGGCCAGTTCCACCCATGGGGGTCTTCTCTAGCACCTGCCCAGGGAAAGGCACGTGGCCAGTTCCACCCATGGGGGTCTTCTCTAGCACCTGCCCAGGGAAAGGCACGTGGCCAGTTCCACCCATGGGGGTCTTCTCTAGCACCTGCCCAGGGAAAGGCACGTGGCCAGTTCCACCCATGGGGGTCTTCTCTAGCACCTGCCCAGGGAAAGGCACGTGGCCAGTTCCACCCATGGGGGTCTTCTCTAGCACCTGCCCAGGGAAAGGCACGTGGCCAGTTTGTAACCATGTAACAATAAATTCAGTTCATGCTCCAATGAACCCAAAGTATGTAGTCTGTATAGTAACATGTTTCCGACGGTTACCACAACTAGAGACAATAATAGCCTCCCAAACAAAGACAATAAAGGTTGTTTTTGCCTCTTCTTCAAAGACTGCTTGAGGAAATTCCTGGAGACGCTGAGGGGAAGAGGTTAAAGGTTTAATGACGCGGGAGACAATGTCAACACGGACAGCAGTACGCTACACTGTATATTGCTGCACAGCGTCTGAATGCTACTCCGTGCCTGCCATAAAAACTCTGCTTCAGCTTACCTTTTTGTAAGATGAATATCAAGACATGGGCATTTTGATAAACTTCACTCCGTATAGAGAAATTATACTGACAGTGTACATTATTTTTGTATTTGCCATATACACTGAGTGTACAAAACAGACTGACCAGGTGAATCCAGGTGAAAGCTATGTTCCCTTATTGATGTCACCTGTTAAATCCACTTCAATCAGTGTAGATGAAGGGGAGGAGACAAGTTAAAGAAGGATTTTTAAGCCTTGAGACAATTGAGACATGGATTGTGTGTGTGTGCCATTCAGAGGGTGAATGGGCAAGACAAAAGATTTAAGTGCCTTTGAACAGGGTATGGTAGTAGGTGCCAGGCGCACCGGTTTGAGTGTCAAGAACTGCAGCGCTGCTGGGTTTTTCACGCTCAACAGTTTCCTGTGTGTATCAAGAATGGTCCACCACCCAAAGGATATCCAGCCAACTTGACACAACTGTGGGAGGCATTGGAGTCAACATGGGCCAGCATCCCTGTGGAATGCTTTTGACAGTCCATGCCCTGACAAATTGAGGTTGTACTGAGGGCAAAAGGGGGTTCAACTCAATATTCCTAATGTTTTGTACACTCAGTTTATAACCATATCCTATGGTTTAAAGATGTCATTGAAACATAAAAGGCAATCTCATTCAGGGTCTTGAAGATCCTACCAGGAAATTATGTATTAGCATTGGTCTTTGATTGTTTGTTTTAGTATTGGCAAAGGATTGTGATTTTAGACTAAATACTGTATACAGTGCATTCGGAAAATATTCAGACCCGTTGACTTTTTCCACATTTTGTTACGTTACAGCCTTATTCTAAAATGGATTAAATCGTTTTTTTCCCTCATCAATCTACACACAATACCCTTATAATGACAAAGCAAAAACAGGTTTGTAGAAAGTTTTGCTAATAAAATAATAAAATAAAAAAACGGAAATATCACATTTATATAAGTATTCAGACCGTTTACTCAGTACTTTGTTGAAGCACCTTTGGCAGCGATTACAGCCTCAAGTCTTCTTGGGTATGACACTACAAGCTTGGCACACCTGTTTTTGGGGAGTTTCTCCCATTCTTCTCTGCAGATCCTCTCAAGCTCTGTCAGGTTGGATGGGGAGCGTCGCTGCACAGCTATTTTCAGGTCTCTCCAGAGATGTTAGATTGGGTTCAAGTCCGGGCTCTGGTTGGGCCACTCAAGGACATTAAGAGACTTGTCCTGAAGCCACTCCTGCATTGTCTTGGCTGTGTGCTTAGGGTCGTTGTCCTGTTGGAAGGTGAACCTTCGCCCCAGTCTGAGGTCCTGAGTGCTCTGGAGCAGGTTTTCATCAATGACCTCTCTGTACTTTGCTCTGTCCATCTTTCCCTCGATCCTGACTAGTCTCCCTGCCACTGAAAAACATCCCCACAGCATGGTGCTGCCACCACCATGCTTCACCGTAGGGATGGTGCCAGATTTCCTTCAGATGTGACACTTGGCATTAAGGCCAAAGAGTTCAAACTTGGTTTCATCAGCCCAGATAATCTTGTTTCTCATGGTCTGAGAGTCCTTTAGGTGCCTTTTGGCAAACTCCATGCGGGCTGTCATGTGCCTTTTACTAAGGAGTGGCTTCCGTCTGGCCTAATTGATGGAGTGCTGCAGAGATGGTTGTCCTTCTGGAAGATTTGCCCATTTACATTTTAGTCATTTAACAGACGCTCTTATCCAGAGCGACTTAGAGTTAGTGAGTGCATACTTTTTTTTTTCATACTGGCCCCCCGTGGGAATCGAACCCACAACCCTGGTGTTGCAAGCACCATGCACTACCAACTGAGCTACAGGGGGCCACATTGCCCATCTCGACAGAGGAACTCTGGAGCTCTGTCACAGTGACCATTGGGTTCTTGGTCACCTCCCTGACCAAGGCCCTTCTTCCCCAATTGCTCAGTTTGGCCGGGCGGCCAGCTCTCGGAAGAGTCTTGGTGGTTCCAAACTTCTTCCATTTAAGAATGATGGAGGCCATTGTGTTCTTGGGGACCTTCAACGCTGCAGAATTGTTTTGGTACCCTTCCCCAGATCTGTGCCTCGACACAATCCTGTCTCGGAGCTCTATGGACAATTCCTTCGACCTCATGGCTTGGTTTTTGCTCTGACATGCACTGTCAACTGTGGGACCTTATATAGACAGGTGGGTGCCTTTCCAAATCATGTACAATCAATTGAATTTACCACAGGTGGTCTCCAATCAAGTTGTAGAAACATCTCAAGGATGATTAATGGAAACAGGATGCGCCTGAGCTCAATTTTGAGTCTCATAGCAAAGGGTCTGAATACTTATGTAAATAAGGTATTTCTAAAATCCTGTTTTCTCTTCGTCATTATGGGGTACATTGATAAGGAAAAACCCCAAATTTAATCAATTTTAGAATACGGCTGTAACGTAACAAAATGTGGAAAAAGTCAATGGGTCTGAATACTTTCCGAATGCACTGTGTTTTTTCACAAAACCAGTTGTGTGTGTGTGTGTGTGTGTGTGTGTGTGTGTGTGTGTGTGTGTATGTGTCTCATCAAAGGGAGTGCCAATACACACATTTCTATGTGACAGTATGAAAGCAATCATTAGCAGGGTTGATGTGATCCTAACTTGGGTCATATTCATTAGGTACCGAATGGAATAAATCAAACTGACACAAGGAGGGACTGACAACCTGAGCTTGTCGAATTAGAAAGGCAAAACGTTTTGCTACGGTGTGCCCTAATGAATACGACCCCTCGATTGCTACTACGACCCCCCCGTGTAGCTCAGTTGGTAGAGCATGGCGCTTGCAACGCCAGGGTTGTGTGTTCGTTTCCCACGGGGGGCCCATTATGAAAATGTATGCACTCACTAACTGTAAGTCGCTCTGGATAAGAGCGTCTGCTAAATGACTAAAATGTAAAATGTATGTGACAGACAAAACACGCTTTATTTTTGAATCTGCTTTAATTTGTTGTTTTTAGAAAAACATCCTTTTGTGGGAAATGTATCAATGTTTCTGATGTCTAATATGGATTATAAAAATGTAATTGAAGGCAAACGTTGAGGTAAATTACTAATTTACAAAAATGCCATTAGTCAAAGAGTTGCTGTATATTGGCCAAAAATGGTCTTTCATAATAAGAAACTGACAGAATGAGAAGATGACCTTTTATATGTGACTCCATGTATTTATATATTCTTATTCCATTCCTTTACTTAGATTTGTGTGTATTAGATATTTGTTGTGGAACTGTCAGATATTACTTGCTAGATATTACTGCACTGTCGGAACTAGAAGCACAAACATTTCGCTACACTCGCAATAACATCTGCTAACCATGTGTATGTGACAATTACATTTGATTTGATTTGATTTGACAACTGCCACCATGTAAACTGGAGTCAGTGACTTCAGAAAGGTATGTCATGAGCTGCCAGTAACCCATGTTAAGCCTCGAGTGGGGATAGTTTTGTTTTGTACAATGACAATCTGCAGTGTCGCTAGGTTGCTTGATGCTCTGTGCTTGGGCTATGTCCTTTCAAATGTATGGAACATGATGACAATGTATTGAAACATGCATCATTGTTCATTATCAATGGTCTTCTCTCAACGTGTTGGTAAAGATACAAGAGTTCAGCTAGGTGTTGTGTTAAGATAAACGTTTAGTATACGAAGAGCTTTGACACAGAAGCTTTTCTAGGCGTGTGTCAGTTCATTTGTCCGTGGTTTCCCCTGCTGCGGTCATGAGTACCTCCATCTCTGCTCCAGAGGTCATGTGCGCCAGCTCAACCTTTCTCATCCGGGTCAACGGGAGGTCATGGTCTGGCCGACACAAATGGAGGAAACGCTGGGGAGTTGAGGGGAAAGTCAGCACATCAACATGTCAACTTTAATGGTTAATTATTTAAACTTCATTATTTATTTGAGTTAGTTGGTTTCTTCAATAATTTATGGTCATTTTGCAGTGAATAAATGATACCTACCCACTCAGTTTACCAACATAATTTAAGATCTATAAGTCCTCCAATTTGACCCTTTAAACATAATTATTCTATGACCAATCCATGAAGGAAACCCGGGTTTAAACTCCGGTCAACAGTCACACTCTCACCTCTCTAAGGCTGCCTGTCCCAGTGCAGATCTGCAGCAGGGCCCACCCAGGGACCAGGAGGATGGAGGAGAGGGCCAACAGCCAGCCCAGAACGTACACCCATCCTGGGTACACATACCAGCGGTTGAAGGTCAGGGGCTGGTACTCCACCAGAGAGCAGATGAACGACACCTGGAAGAGACGAGAGGGAATTAGGATTTCCTCAACATTAATGTATGCTTTTAAACATTTAGAGTAACTCCAGATCTGTCCTTGTTGTTGCTGTTGAGAACACTACCGTAATTTCATCTCTCGAAGACGTGAGCATGTGAATAGTTGCATGTGTAAAGCAAGTGAACGTTCAATTGCAACAGGTGCCATTCGTCAAAACAGCTGCGCTGCGATGAATTTGTAACCTATTGCATTGTGATAGTGCCATCTCCTGGTACCTTATAGAATTGCACAACATGAGTCCTGCATGTATCTCCTGGTACCTTATAGAATTGCACAACATGAGTCCTGCATGCCGTTACTGTCCATCAAAGCCTGAAACTCACCAGGGAAACCAGAGGGGTCATGTAGAGCCAGCAGAGCTTGAAGACGGGGTTAGGCCTCATCCCTGTCATGTCCTGTATTACCCCATACATACGCTCTGCACCTGGTGGGTTAGATTGGTTAGAGACCGAGACACGTTAATGACATTATCTAAATGTTGACATGTTGTATTGATATCAAGTTTATAATCTCAATAAGATTGATAGTGGAATGATACTGGTTTGCTTTCTATAGGATTCTATGGCACCACAGTGTTTATATGTATGTTTTATGTATATTTTATAAATTATATATTTTATTGGACATAAATCATACAATCATTGACAGAAATATATTCCAGGTTAGTCCTCATCAGCCTCACCAAATATCCATCCCATGGCCAGGGACTCAAACACAGAGAGGAACAGCAGACAGGTTCCGTTACAGGCGTAGTAGTCAAACAGCTGGAACACATACATCCCACCCTGGGGACAGGAGAAGAGAGGTGTGAGTAGGACAACCACTCTCTTTCAGTAGATGACAGCTAGAGATCTGAAACACGATTCTTGTAATTTCTATCTCTCTCTCTCTCTCTCTCTCTCTCTCTCTCTCTCTCACCTCTGTGACCATGATGAGTTGGAAGAAGAAGCAGGTGAGACAAAAGAGGAGGAGGAAGAGCTCCCTGCGCCCAGTCCGCCGCAGCACCGCGGGAAACAGGTCTGTTACTGACGTCATCACCACCTCCATGGCAACAAACTGGATGGGGGAGGAATACAGAACGCCATAGTAGAGTACATGCCTTTAACCTTTTAGAGATGAATGTGTGAACTACTGTGTGTGTACTGTGTAGATAATAGCTAACCTGTGTATCCAGACCCAGTAGAATGATCATGACGAAGAAACAGGCAGCCCACATCTGAGGCAGGGGCATCATGGCTACTGCCTGGGGGTACGCTATGAACGCCAGACCAGGACCTGATAAAGTGTGTGTTATTCAGAACCCAGTTTAAAATACAATGTATTTGTTTTACTTCATTTTGTCCTGAAAATAGAATAAAACCCTACTTTGTGCAGTACCTGACTCCGCCACCTCCTCAATGGGGACGCCCTGTTCATGAGCCATGAACCCCAGGACTGAGAAGACCGCGAACCCAGCAACCACACTGGTGCCGCTGTTCAGCAAGCATAGCCACAGGCAGTCTCTGAAACATACACAGACTCAAGATTCAACACACACAGTGTCAGCACACACAGTGTCAACACACACAGTGTCAACACACACAGTGTCAGCACACACAGTGTCAGCACACACAGTGTCAGCACACACAGTGTCAGCACAAACAGTGTCAACACACACAGTGTCAACACACACAGTGTCAGCACACACAGTGTCAGCACACACAGTGTCAGCACACACAGTGTCAACACACACAGTGTCAGCACACACAGTGTCAGCACACACAGTGTCAACACACACAGTGTCAACACACACAGTGTCAGCACACACAGTGTCAACACACACAGTGTCAACACACACAGTGTCCCATTGACCAGGCTGATGAGGATAAGAACTCACTTGTAGCAGTTGTTGTTGTAGGTATTGTAGGAGCCCAGAACGGTTAAGGAGCCCACACCCACACTGTAGGAGAAGAAGATCTGGGAGCCGGCCTCCATCCACACCTGGGGGTCAGAGAGCCGGTCCGGTTCAGGGTAAAGGTAGAACAGGACCCCCTGCAGGGCCCCTGGCAGAGTCAGGCCTCTGATCAGTAGTATCAGCAGCATCACGTAGGGGAAGGTAGCAGTGAAATATACAACCTGGAGAGAGAGGGTGTGTGTGGGTGGAGACAGGGAGAGGGGTTTAAAAACACAGGGACAGAAAGCCATGAGAGGAAAAGGAGAAGAGATTGTACTATTTCAGTGCTAAACAGTGAATATGCTGTGTGTGTATATATGCTGTGCACGCACACACACCTTGCCTGTTGACTTGACCCCTTTCCAGATGCAGAAGTAGCAGATTACCCACATGGCGATGAGACAGAGCAGCACCTCCCACCTGACACTGCCCACCTCCTCTATACCCCCCGAGATGGCCAGCACACGACGTCTAGATGGAGAGACAGAGAGGGGAGAGACAGAGAGGGGAGAGACATAGAAAGGGGAGAGACATAGAAAGGGGAGAGACATAGAAAGGGGAGAGACAGAGAGGGAAAGAGGGGGGGCCCGGGAAGAACAGAGAGGGGGGAGGGAAAAAGAGAGGGGAGGGGAAAAAGAGGGGGGAGAGAAAAAAAGGGGGAGAAAAGAGGAGGGGAGGGGGGGAAAGAAAAAGAGGAGGGGAGGAGAAAAAAAAGGGGGGGAGAGACAGAGAGAGGGGAAAGAGAAAGAGAGAGGGGGGGGAGAAACAGAGAGGGGGAGAAAGGGGGGAGAGGGGAAGACGAAGAGGGGAGAAAAAGAGGGGGGAAAAAAAAGGAGAAAGGGGAAAAAGAGAGGGGGAAAAGACAAAAAAGAAAGGGGGGGGAGACACAGAAGGGGGGAAAAAGACACAGAGGGGGGGGAGGGGAAAGCGGGGGGCCCAAGCAGGGGGAAAGCGGGAACAGGGGGAGAGACAGAGAGGGGGAGGGGAAGGAGGGGAGGGGGAAAAAGAGACACAGGAGGGGAGAGACAGGGGGGGGGGGGAAAAGAGGGAAAAGAGAAAAGGGAGAGGGGAGAGGAAAGGGGGGGGGAGAGACGGGAGCGGGGAGAGAGACAGAGGAGGGAGACAGAAAAGGACGGGGAGACAGAGGGGGGAAAGAAAAACCAAAAAAAAGAGAGGGGGAGAGAAAAAAAGGGAGAAGGGGAGGAGGGGGGAAGGGGAGAACAAAGAGGGGAAAAAAAGGGGGGGAGACAGAGAGGGGGAGAGAAAGAGGGAATAGACACAGAAAGGGGGAGAAGAAAAGGGGAAAAAGAGAGGGGGGGGAAGAGGGGTTCCCCCAGGAAAGGGGGGAGGGGGGGCGGGGGGGGGGAAAGGGAGGGAAACAGAGAGGGGGGGAAAAAAGGAGACGGGAAAAGGGGGGAGACAAGAGAGGGGGGGAAGGCCCAAGGGAGGGGGGAAAAGAAAAGAGGGGAGGGGAAAGAAAGGGGGGGGGGACAGGGGGGAAAAAGGGGAGAGGAGGGGAAAGGAGAGACGAGAGGGGGAGGGGAAACAGGAGGGGGAGAGAAAAATAGGGGGGGAGAAGATAGGGGGGGGGGAAGGGAAGTGGAAAAGGGGAGAAAAAAAGAGGGGGGGGGAGGGGACAGAGGAGGGGAGAGAAAGGGGGGAAAAGGGGAAAAGAGGGGGGAGGGAGACAGAGAGGGGGGGATGGAGAGGGGAGAGACAGGGAGAGGGGAGAAAAAACACAGGGGGGAGAAGAAAAAGGGGGGAGAGCCCGAGAGGGGGGGAGAAAAGGGAAAAAAGAGGGGGGGGGGAAAAGGAGAAAAGAGGGGGAGGGGAGGGGGGAAACACAAAAAGGAGGGGGAAAAAAGGACAAATTGAAAAAAAAGGGGAGGGGAAAGAAAAGGAGAGGGAAAAAAGAGAGGGGGAGAGGAAGGGGGAGAAAAAACGGGGGATAGAAACAGAGAGGGGAAAAAGGAAAAAGGGGGGGAAAAAGAGAGGGGGAGTTTAAGAGAGAGGGGGAGAAAAAACGAGGGGGGGAAAAAGAGGGGGAGAGAAAGTTTAGGGGCCATAAACCAGAAAAGGGGGGGGAAAAAAGGGGAGAGAGGAGAGAAAAGAGAGAGGGGGGGGAAAAACAGAGAGGGGAGGGGAGAAAACAAAAGGGGGGAGAATAGAAAAAAGGGGAGAAAAAAACAGGGGGAGGGGAGAGAAAAAAAGAGAGAGGGGAGACAGGAGAGAGGGGGGGAAGAGAAAAACAAGGGGAGGGGGAAGGGGAAACAGAGAGGGGGGACGAAGGGGGGGGAAAAAAGGGAGGGGGGGCCCGGGGAAAGTGGAGAGGAGAAAAACAGGGGAGGGGGGGAAGGGGGGGAGACAGAGAGGGGAGGGGGGAGAGAGGAGGAGAAAAAGAGGGGAGAAGGCCCCAAAAGAGAGGGGAGGAAAAAAGAGAGGGGGGAGAGAAGAGGGGGGAAGAAACACAGAGGGGGGGAGAGAAAAAAAGGGGGGAGGGGAAAAGGGAGAGGGGGGAGAGGACGGGGAAAAGGGGGGGGGAGAGAAAGAGGGGGGGAAAAACACAGAAAGGGGAGAGAAAGGGGAAGAGGGGAAAAGGAACAGAGAGGGGGGAAGAAAAGAGAGGGGAAGCCCACGGGAGGGGGGAAGCCCATAGAGAGGGGGAGAGGAAAAGAGGGGGGGAGAGAAAGAGAGAGGGGGGGAAAAAAGAGAGGGGAGAGGAAAAATTAGGGGGGGGAAAAGGGGAGGGGACAGAAAAGAGGGGAGGGAAAAAAGGGGGGGAAAAGAAAGAGGGGAAGAAAAAAAGGGGTGAGAAACGGGGAAGATAAAAAGGGAGAGGGGGAAAAGGAAACCCGAGAGAGGGGAGGAGACGGGAGGGGAAAAAGAAGGGGGAGAAAGAAGGGGGGGGAAAGACAGAGGGGAGGGGAGGGGAGGGGACAAGAGAGGGGGGAGAGACGGGGAAGAGGAGAGAGACAAGAGGGGGGAAAGAAAAAGAAGGGGGAGGGGAGAGAGCCCGGAGAGAGGGGAGGGGGGAAGAAAAAGAGAGGGGAGAGGGACAGGGAAAAGGGGAGGGGGAAACAGAGGGGGAGAAAAGAAAGAAAGGGGGGGGGAAAAGGGGACGGAGAGAGAGGGGGGGAAAAGAGGGGGAGAGAGACAGAGAAAAGGGGAGAGAAAAGGGAGAGGGGGAGAACAGGAGGGGAGGGGAACGGGAAGGGGGGGGGAAAAACCAGAAAGGGGGGAAAGGAAAAAGACAGAGAGAGGGGAGGGGGGGAAGCTGGGGGTGAGAAGAAGGGGGGGAAGAAGACAGAGAGGGGGGAGAGGCCCGGGGAGGGGTGAGGGGGGGGGGGGGGGGGGGGGGGGGGGGGGGGGGACAGTGGGGGTTTGAGACAGATATGGAGAGAGCCCGGGATGGGGTTGGGACAGAGAGTGGAGAGAGAGACAGAGAGAGGGGAGAGAGAGAAAAGGGGGGTTTTGGGGACGAGGGGGAGAAACAGAGGGGGGGAAAAAGGGGAGAGGGGAGGGGGGAGGCAGGAGAGAGGGGGGGGTGAAAAAGAAAAAGCACCCAATTTTCCACCTGACATGTCCACCTCTCTTATTACCCCCAGATGACCAGCACACACAGCCTAGAGAAAGAGACTGGTGGAGAATGTAGACAAACTGACATTGTCTTTTATGTTGTGGCCAACTGGAAGATCAAGGTATGTTGAATCCGTAAACTTACTCCCAGAATTCAGTGGCTGCAGAGGTTGAGTTCATCTGTCCGGTCCAATTGAAAGTACGGTTTTGAGAGGAGAAGTCAACACAGTCATCTAATGTGGTAGAGAGAACATAATGTTACCAATTAAAACTTGCTCTAACAATTCTTATGGTAAAGAATACCCTTTATATATATATATATTATATTTTTACTCCTTATTTTACCAGGTGAGTTGACTGAGAATACATTCTCATTTACAGCAACGACTGGGGAAAGTTACAAAACATTGTCAAATACATACAGTTGAAGTCGGAAGTTTACATACACTTAGGTTGGAGCAGGGGGCGGCCTGTTCAATAGGGCGATATGGGCGACGCCACTGCCAAACGGGAAAAGGAAGGGATTTTTTTTCTAATCAATTATATCACGGCAAACAGTAGTTATCAGTGTTTGTAATCTATACGTCTGATCTGCCACAGTGCCACACTGCCACTAAATGTCGAATCAGGCTAAAGTCGTGCTTCAAATGGCTCCACCCCCTTTTTGGGGCGATTTCAGTCAGATTGAAAATCGCCCCAGAACTTCTGTCATAGACTCCCATGTAAAATCTATTTTTTTCAAATTTCAGAGCCTTCAATACAATCTCAATGGGTGTCTGTGGGCTTGCACTTACGCGCTTTCGTCATACGTTACGTAACCATGAACGTAACTGAGAAAAGAGTGGATTGTTTGAAAGAAGTTCCTTTTTGTCGGCGAACAAATGAAGATAAATTGGCAACGAAACAATTAGGACCTCCCAGACCAAATTTAATAATTCAACAGGTTTCTACTAAAGGCGGGAAAGTCCTACACCCGAGGATTTTCCAAAAATTGGTACGAACGAAAAAAGACATTGCCACTCACTCAACTGGATGACGAGGGATACAGGCTAGCTGTCCGCCGCCACAACGATGAGGTTAGTGTTGATAATCACAAGTTTACTGGATGTGGATTATGGTGTAATAAAGGCAGTTTATTCAGAGGTAAATATATCTGGAATCGCGTTCACGGACCCGTTCGTCAAACTCTTAGGGAGCTATAAATTAAGCCCCATTACTTACCATATCAGATAAGAGAAATTGCTGAAGCTACATATATTTTACATCCTGGCCCTACATAGTTCACTATTTGCATCACTTACCAAAATATTACATGTGGTCATATATGCTTGGAAAGTGGAGATGCCATAGAACGTCAAAAAAGTAAACATTGCTGGAGACCACATTGCCGTTTTGGAGAAGACATCGCGTTTGCTAGCGAAGAGATTTGTTGTGGCAAATGAACTTGGGCTGGGAATTGCCAGGAACCTCACGATAAGATATATGCATCAGCATTGCGAGTCTCATGATTCTATACGTATTGCGATTCGATACTGTGATTTTATTGCGCCACCATATGTCTGTTGCAGAGGGATCAGAAAGCCATTGAGAACGAGTTTTGATCAGTCATGGAAATAAAAGTGCTGAAAACAAATTGGCTCCCAATGTGAAAAGATTGAGAACAAGCTATGAAGGAACAATAATGGTGTTTTTGGTGCAGGTACAGCCAACTAGCGCTAAAATATTGCGATATTGTCAATACAGTATATCGTAAAGTATCACTATGTAACTCGATTTCTTTCACCCCAATCCCTCAAATTAACGGTAAATAACTGAATGTTTGCCCCACATTTAGCTAAGATGATTAGCTAGCCAGCTAAAATGTTTTAGTTAGTTAGCAGTAGCATCTACAATAGTTTTACTGTCAATAACATGTCTCCAAAAATGACGTTGGTGTCTCCAATTGTGTTGACATTTTACAATTGCAATGCGCATCCATGAGTATTCCACTTTCGGTAGCTCAGCTGGTAGAGCATGGTGCTTGTAACGCCAAGGTAGTGGGTTCGATCCCCGGGACCACCCATACACAAAATGTATGCACGCATGACTGTAAGTCGCTTTGGATAAAAGCGTCTGCTAAATGGCATATTATTATTATTATTATTATTATCTGATAGCGAGCCCCCGAAACATTGTGTGCAGACCATTGTATGCAATAAATGAAGTAGGTTCAATCTAGTAGTTCTGATCTTCTGATTGGTCCTGATGAGTTGGGCGAGGTCCCCTGCAGGCTACTGTCACTGTTGCATTGGCTCTGAGTCGGGTTCTCTGTCTTCAAATGTTCAGCCTAAGAGAGGGGGATTTTTGTGTGTGTGTGTGTGTGTTGTTTAACAGTGATGATGTGTGGTGTGTGTGTGGTGTGTGTTTAACAGTGATGATGTGTGTGTGTGTGTGTTTGTGTGTGTGTGTGTCCTCAGAGCAAGAACTCGTGAGTTGGAAGAAAACTGACGAGGCCTTATGGCGTGGGTGTTGTCCTTGGCCACCTGCTGACAAGGCTGACAAGATAGGACCTTTTGTCCATTGTTATTGGATAGGAACAGAACTTATAACCAGCTCCTGACCTAAATAGATCTTAGCACAACATTTTACTCAACATATCATATTCCATATTCACTATAACAAATATATTTACTACGACATTAGCAAGAACCGCCACATCCTCAGCCGGCTAATCCAGTGTGTGAAGTTTTGCGGAGTGTTTGAGTTAGCTTTGCGAGGCAAAGATGAAACTGAGGGCTCCACCAACCCTGGTAAGCCAACACTTTTGAGATCAGTCAATAAATGCTTCTGGTATTGACTTATATGCTGCCCCTGTCTTCATGTTGTTGCTGGACATATCTTTTTTAAATGTGTGTAGGTCACCTAAATCATCAGAAAAATTTCCCCTCCTGAGAATTTTTTTCAGGAGCCGCCACTGGGTTGGAGTCATTAAAACTCGTTTTTCAACCACCCCACCAAATTTCTTGTTAACAAAACTATAGTTTTGGCAAGTCGGTTAGGACATCTACTTTGTGCATGGACACAAGTAATTTTTCCAACAATTGTTTACAGACAGATTATTTCACTGTATCACAATTTCAGTGGGTTCAGAAGTTTACATACACTAGGGTGACCATACGTCCTCTTTTTCCCGGACATGTCCTCTTTTTGGACCTAAAAAAATGCGTCCGGGCTGGGATTTCTAAATCGCCCAAAATGTCGGGATTTGGCTTTTGCTTTCTACAGTCGCCATTCATTGTGTGCGTTTTGGGGGTTTTGCATTGCTTTGACCTTTCTCTTTAGGTCCCGCCTTCTCACACGCCACCATTGGTCGGTCATGTAGGCCTACGCAAACATTGGTCAAACTGCATCTCAATCAGTTACCCTCACCATGGCAACAGCCAAGAGACAGAGCAGCAGCTTGCTTGTCAACAGTGGCACATGGCTCCAGAACAGCGTAAAAATGCCCAAACGCAAATGTAAAATCACAGACGATTTACAGAGAAAATTCCCGTGTTTTCGTCTTGGTCGGGATCCGTGTGAAGCAGAATGCATGACCTGCAAAGCTGGCACGTACGTGTCAGTGTCAAATAAAGGTGCTAGCGACCTAGAAGCCCACATAAGCTCCGCAAAACACAAAATTGCAGCTAAAGGAGAGAGTTTGTCAGGTAAATTAACTGACTATTTTTGTGAGAGCATGTGAAAACAGAAGATGCTGTTACTGCTGCGGAGGGAGTTTTTGCATTCCACACCACGAAGCATCACAATAGCTACAGATCAATAAACTGCACGTCTGCCTTGTTAAAAAAGGCTTTCCCTGATTCCGAGACTGCGCGAACATTTTCAAGTGCTCGTATTAAGACCGAAGCAATTGTTAACGCTGTGATAGCACCACATTCTGTCGACATAGCTCTGAAAGCACTGGAAGACATACCATTACTGTGGTGTTTCTGCTGATGGGAGCAATCACGGTGCTGTGAAAATAGTCCCTTGCTTATTCAGTATTTTGATTGGAAGAATGCTGGCGTGCGAAGTTAAAAAACACTACCAAATGAGACAGCTGATACGATCGCACAATACATCAAAGAAACACTGGGAAAGAATGGGATTGTTTTAAAAATGTATTGCATTTACAGGTGACAACTGCAATACAATGTTCGGGGGAATCCGGCGTGATGAAGAAGGAAATAATGTTTTCACAAACTTAAAGAAGTCATTGCAGAACAAGTGTTTAATTGGTGTGGGCTGCCCAGCACACGTATTGAACAATTGTGTTCATTACAGGGCAGACACACTAGATGTCGATATTGAGAACATCATCTTCAACATATGTCAATACTTTCACATCTACACTGTGCGCACAGAGAATCGGAAGGAGTACTGTGAATTGTTGATGTTGAATACAGAAGTCTCCTTTCTCACAGTAAGACGCGATGGCTGTCATTATTCCTAGGTATTGAGAGGCTGCTACAGATGTTTCCAGCCTTGAAAGCATTATTTTTGTCACTGGAAAAAAACACCCTCCTTGATCAAAACGTTTTTTGAAGATGAGTTCAGTGAAATCTACCTCTGGCACATGCACTCACTCATGTGTGTGTTTCATTCGCACATTCAGGAGATGGAAAGGGAGAGCAATTCAATTGTGGAAGTGAATAACCTTTTGAACAAAGTCCACACCATGCTTCTTGAACGCAAGACCAATAAACTTCATGTCCCTTAAAGTTAAGGGACTGTTGGCACAAAAGCACAAGGATGGACTTGGTAAGAATTGTGACCATTTCAGTGCTCAAGTACAGGGTCTGTACAGTTCATGCCTGGAGTATCTGGAGAAATGGAGGAGTTCTCCTCTTTCATGTGGATGGATCTGAGTGAGACACCTGACTGGAATGACATAGAAGCCTGTATCAAACCCCTGGGATAAAAGGGGGTGCCAATTGATGATGCAAAGTGCTTTGATCAGGTCACCAACCTGAAGAATTTCACAGAAAGGTGTAACAGTGATGGAGAGTTCAGTAATCTGCATGCACACAAGAAGTGGACCAAATATTTTGAAAGGTCCAAAAGCATAGATTTACATTCAGAGCTACTGAAGATTGCACAGTTTTTGTTTGCTATTCCTTCTCACAATGCAAATGTAGAGAGAGTTTTTTCACTGATGCAAAGCCAATGGACAAAGGAAAGGAATCACTTGTCTGTTGAGTCACTGAAGGGGCTTCTGTGTACACAATACAACTTTTAAAACATGTCTTGCAAAGACTTTCATGCCTACTTGATTGGTAATCAAGGACTGTTGGGAAAGATTCGATCTTCGGGAAAGTATACCAGAGAGCATCAGGAGGACTGACATAATTTTTGACAGAAATAGTGGATTGTTTTATGACAACTGTTTTTTATTTATTTTTATTTTAACCTATGGCCATGAAAAGAAACAGTGTCATGTAAAAGGTGTTAAAAGCTAAACTATGTTTTGTTGTTGTTGTTGTTCTATTGTTGAGGGCCAACAGTTGAATGGAAAGGATGTATTTCTTTATGTATTAAAGTTCAATAACATAGTTGCATGGTTGTGAACGCATTTGTATTTACCACCCACTGCAGTGTCTGTCTGCCTCCTGCTCCCACTGTCCTCTTTTTTGAAAACTAAAATATGGTCACCCTAACATACACTAGGTTGACTGTGCCTTTAAAACAGCTTGGAAAATTCCAGAAAATGATGTCATGGCTTTAGAAGCTTATGATAGGCTAGTTGACATCATTTGAGTCAATTGGAGGTGTACCTGTGGATGTATTACAAGGCCTACCTTCAAACTTTGTGCATCTTTGCTTGACATCATGGGAAAATCAAAAGAAATCAGCCAAGACCTCAGAAAACAACTTGTAGACCTCCACAAGTCTGGTTCATCCTTGGGAGCTATTTCCAAACGCCTGAAGGTACCACGTTCATCTGTACAAACAATAGTACGCAAATATAAACACCATGGGACCACGCAGCCGTCATACCTCTCAGGAAGGAGACGCGTTCTGTCTCCTAGAGATGAACGTACTTTGGTGCGAAAAGTGCAAATCAATCCCAGAACAACAGCAAATGACCCTGTGAAGATACTGGAGGAAACAGGTACAAAAGTATCTATATCCACAGTAAAACAAGTCCTATATCGACATAACCTGAAAGGCCGCTCAACAAGGAAGACGCCACTGCTCCAAAACCGCCATAAAAATGCCAGACTACGGTTTGCAACTGCACATGGGGACAAAGATCGTACTTTTTGGAGAAATGTCCTCTGGTCTGATGAAACAAAAATAGAACTGTTTGGCCATAATGACCATCGTTATGTTTGGAGGTAAAATGGGGAACGCTTGCAAGCCGAAGAAACACCATCCCAACCGTGAAGCACGGGGGGTGGCAGCATCATGCTGTGGGGGGTGCTTTGCTGCAGGAGGGACTGGTGCACTTCACAAAATAGATGGCATCATGAGGAAGGAAAATGATGTGGATATATTGAAGCAACATCTCAAGACATCAGTCAGGAAGTTAAAGCTTGGTCGAAAATGGGTCTTCCAAATGGACAATGACCCCAAGCATACTTCCAAAGTTGTGGCAAAATGGCTTAAGGACAACAAAGTCAAGGTATTGGAGTGGCCATCACAAAGCCCTGACCTCAATCCTATAGAAAATGTGCGCGCAGACCTGAAAAAGCGTGTGCGAGCAAGGAGGCCTACAAACCTGACTCAGTTACACCAGCTCTGTCAGGAGGAATGGTCCAAAATTCACCCAACTTTTGTGGGAAGCTTGTGGAAGGCTACCTGAAATGTTTGACCCAAGTTAAACAATTTAAAGGCAATGCTACCAAATACTACTTGATTGTATGTAAAACTTCTGACCCACTGGGAATGTGATGAAAGAAATAAAAGCTGAAATAAATCATTCTCTATACTATTTTTCTGACATTTCACATTCTTAAAATAAAATGTATTTGGCTAAGGTGTATGTAAACTTCAGACTTCAACTGTACCTATAACGTGAGTGAAATTCCCCTGGAGGTGAGTTGGAGTACTACGTACCAGTGTTCCAGGGGTTGGAGCAGCTGGCCCAGGGAACATACCAGTGTTCCAGGGGTTGGAGCAGCCGGCCCAGGGTACATACCAGTGTTCCAGGGGTTGGAGCAGCCAAGCCTAGGGTATGTACCTGTGTTCCAGGGGTTGGAGCAGCTGGCCCAGGGTACATACCAGTGTTCCAGGGGTTGGACCAGCCAGCCCAGGGTATGTACCTGTGTTCCAGGGGTTGGTCTAGCCGGCCCAGGGTACATACCAGTGTTCCAGGGGTTGGTGCAGCCAGCCCAGGGTACGTACCAGTGTTCCAGGGGTTGGTGCAGCCGGCCCAGGGTACGTACCAGTGTTCCAGGGGTTGGAGCAGCCGGCCCAGGGTACATACCAGTGCTCCAGGGGTTGGTGCAGCCGGCCCAGGGTACGTACCAGTGCTCCAGGGGTTGGTGCAGCTGGCCCAGGGTACATACCAGTGTTCCAGGGGTTGGTGGCAGCCGGCCCAGGGTACGTACCAGTGTTCCAGAGGTTGGAGCAGCCAGCCCAGGGTATGTACCTGTGTTCCCAGGGGTTGGTTGCAGCCGGCCCAGGGTACATACCAGTGTTCCAGGGGTTGAGCAGCCAGCCCAGGGTATGTACCTGTGTTCCAGGGGTTGGTGCAGCCGGCCCAGGGTACGTACCAGTGTTCCAGAGGTTGGAGCAGCCAGCCCAGGGTATGTACCAGTGTTCCAGGGGTTGGTCTAGCCGGCCCAGGGTACATACCAGTGTTCCAGGGGTTGGTGCAGCCGGCCCAGGGTACATACCAGTGTTCCAGAGGTTGGAGCAGCCAGCCCAGGGTATGTACCTGGGTTCCAGGGGTTGGTGCAGCCGGCCCAGGGTACGACCAGTGTTCCAGGGTTGGAGCAGCCAGCCCAGGGTATGTACCTGTGTTCCAGGGGTTGGTGTGCAGCCGCCCAGGGTACGTACCAGTGTTCCAGGGGTTGGAGCAGCCAGCCCAGGGTATGTACCAGTGTTCCAGGGGTTGGTGCAGCCGGCCCAGGGTACGTACCAGTGTTCCAGGGGTTGGAGCAGCCAGCCCAGGGTATGTACCTGTGTTCCAGGGGTTGGAGCAGCTGGCCCAGGGGAGCTGAGCGCTGAAGGAGAAGACCAGGTAGAACAGAGCCCAGGCCAGGATGATGATGTAACACATACAGCGTACAGGAGGATCAACTGCCCTGCATAGCCGATACCTGAGAGGGGGGACACATTGACAGACTGTACAACCACAAGATTTTCACATGGTCCCGAGTGGACAGCTGTTAAACTAACCCTAACTTTATAAAAAAATTAAAAAAAACGTGCCTTTCCTGCACTAAGACTTGCACTTTTCTTTTCTTACTAGCACTGACTTTGCTGATAGCTGCTCTACTGAATAACGGTTTTACTGACCATGACTGTGATATGTGGTTGTCTCACCTAGCTACCTTAAGATGATTGAACTAACTATACGTTGCTCTGGATAAGAGCATCTGCTAAATGACTAAAATGAGAAATGTAAATGTAAATGATAGAAGCATATACCTTTGATCTGTGAGAAAGTGTCACCAGACTTGGCACATATTGTGCCTTCAGCCTGCTTACATATTAACCCCTCTGTATTCACGCATTAACCTCTTCATTTAATCTTATCCAGTGGCACAGAGGCCAAAGCTGTCAATGTTTTTCCTCCTCCTAGAACTAGACCATGGATGTCTCAGTTAGGGATAAACATGACAAAGGAATACATGTTCGATTGTGGGAGTGACTTCCTTTCATTTGTAGTCAGGAGTTTGTGTCAACGTATTTTTTAATTCAGACATTGGATTAAATTTGGATTACATTACTTAGGATTCATTGGAAATCCACCCTAATTACATTGTTCATCAGTCCAATTCAGATTAATTTAAATAGTTTGAGCATCATGTATTCCTATGTTCTTCTGCCTGTCCTGTCTACAGCCCTGTTTCAATGTGACTCCTCAGTGGGTGGTGGTGTCATTGTGTTGCCATGGTGCCCACCCTCGGCCAGTGGGCACAGCCTCTTCCAGCAGGTGATGCCCCCCTCCTGAGTGTACTGTCCCATGGCTGTCTCCAGCAGGAACAAGGGCACACCCCACACGTCACCACAAACACCAGGTACGGCACCAGGAACGCCCCTGAGAAATACACACCACCAAGTCACTACTTGAGAACAAAATGATAGCTACGATACTGTACCTTATAGAAACAAGAGGAGAAATGCCATACTTCCATACCTTGTCTTTGTCTTGTGACCTCTATACCTGGTCTGTACAAACTGTACTGTATCAAACATACTGTATGATACAGGGATTTAAATGGTCTAAGTTGCCTCATTTGTTCAGCTGATCATCATTTGAATAACCTTGGCACCCTCTCCTTCATGGACTCACCTCCACCATTTTTGTAGCAGAGATAGGGGAACCTCCACACGTTACCTAGGCCCACCACGTTCCCTGCTACGGCCAGGAGAAACTCTGTCTTGCTGCCCCCAGTGACCTCTCTCCTGCATCTTCACCTTCGCTGATCCCTCCTTCCCCCCTGCACATCCCTCCTCTACCATCACCAACATTTCCTTCTGACCCAAGTCGTCACCCTTTCTTTTTTCGCCCTCTATCCAGGCTTTTCCGTTTGTCCCATCTCTCCCAAATGTCTGTCCGTCCATTGTGTTCTGGAGGCTGGTATCTATCCCAGGTTCAGCCAGTGTGACAGTAGCAGCAGGAGTCTGAAATGTACTCATTGACTCAGACAGACACATTCCAACTGCTACCGTTGAGTTTGGATGACTACAATCCTTCAATAAGTTACTAAAGCCTGAAAGGATCAAAGACATGGGCTCTAGAGTGCATCAATAAGTTAGCATGATGAGTTATTATTAACCTACATAATCTACTTAGGGTTCAAAACAATACAATTTACAAAAAAAAGGGAGGAATTGCATTCCATCTCCTTGCACTCATAAAGTTTTTAATTTCATTGAAATCAAAATGGCTCTTGTTTTGTCTCAAACCATTAACACTGTGCCATTCGTTATGTTCAGCCCTGTGATCATGATTCCTGACAGAAATGTACGTGTATGAGGAAAAACTGACGTGCTAATCGGTTGTCTGTGATGCAATCTTTGCAAAGGACCAATCAGTGTGTTGTACAACAAGGTAATCAGGGTGTGTCAACAAACCCACAGTAACAAAAGTGTGAATGGAAACTAGTCTCTTCACACTCAAGGTGCACACATCCATCTTTAGATGACGCGTATCTTGATTTGGGCTCTGCTTTGCAGCCATACCATACTATACGCAGGTGAGTGTATTTAAGGACATTTACATGGCACATGTATTCTTTACCTATTTACTGTATATTAATCATATTAACCATACAGTGAGGGAAAACATTATTTGATCCCCTGCTGATTTTGTACGTTTGCCCACTGACAAAGACATGATCAGTCTATAATTTTAATGGTAGGTTTATTTGAACAGTGAGAGACAGAATAACAACAAAAAAATCCAGAAAAATGCATGTCAAAAATGTTATAAATTGATTTGCATTTTAATGAGGGAAATAAGTATTTGACCCCTTTGCAAAACATGACTTAGTACTTGGTGGCAAAACCCTTGTTGGCAATCACAGAGGTCAGAAGTTTCTTGTAGTTGGCCACCAGGTTTGCACACATCTCAGGAGGGATTTTGTCCCACTCCTCTTTGCAGATCTACTCCAAGTCATTAAGGTTTCGAGGATGACGTTTGGCAACTCGAACCTTCAGCTCCCTCCACAGATTTTCTATGGGGTTAAGGTCTGGAGACTGGCTAGGCCACTCCAGGACCTTAATGTGCTTCTTCTTGAGCCACTCCTTTGCTGCCTTGGCCGTGTGTTTTGGGTCATTGTCATGCTGGAATACCCATCCACGACACATTTTCAATCCCCTGGCTGAGGGAAGGAGGTTCTCACCCAAGATTTGTACATGTACATGGCCCCGTCCATCGTCCCTTTGATGCGGTGAAGTTGTCCTGTCCCCTTAGCAGAAAAACACCCCCAAAGCATAATGTTTCCACCTCCATGTTTGACGGTGGGGATGGTGTTCTTGGGGTCATATGCAGCATTCCTCCTCCTCCAAACACGGCGAGTTGAGTTGATGCCAAAGAGCTCGATTTTGGTCTCATCTGACCACAACACTTTCACCCAGTTCTCCTCTGAATCATTCAGATGTTCATTGGCAAACTTCAGACGGGCCTGTATATGTGCTTTTTTGAGCAGGGGGACCTTGCGGGCGCTGCAGGATTTCAGAGTTTCACAGCGTAGTGTGTTACCAATTGTTTTCTTGGTGACTATGGTCCCAGCTGCCTTGAGATCATTGACAAGATCCTCCCGTGTAGTTCTGGGCTGATTCCTCACCGTTCTCATGATCATTGCAACTCCACGAGGTGAGATCTTGCATGGAGCCCCAGGTCCGAGGGAGATTGACAGTTATTTTGTGTTTCTTCCATTTGCGAATAATCGCACCAACTGTTGTCACCTTCTCACCAAGCTGCTTGGCGATGGTCTTGTAGCCCATTCCAGCCTTGTGTAGGTCTACAATCTTGTCCCTGACATCCTTGGAGAGCTCTTTGGTCTTGGCCATGGTGGAGAGTTTGGAATCTGATTGATTGATTGCTTCTGTGGACAGGTGTCTTTTATACAGGTAACAAGCTGAGATTAGGAGCACTCCCTTTAAGAGTGTGCTCCTAATCTCAGCTCGTTACCTGTATAAAAGACACCTGGGAGCCAGAAATCTTTCTGATTGAGAGGGGGTCAAATACTTATTTCCCTCATTAAAATGCAAATACATTTATAACATTTTTTACATCTGTTTTTCTGGATTTTTTTGTTGTTATTCTGTCTCTCACTGTTTAAATAAACCTACCATTAAAATTATAAACTGATAATTTCTTTGTCAGTGGGCAAACGTACAAAATCAGCAGGGGATCAAATACTTTTTTCCCTCACTGTATCTTTGCATAACATCTTTCAAATTAAATATTCTCTCTGCATGTTTTGTTGTTTTTCAGATGCTCAGGTCCTCCACCTACATCACATAGGGTCAGAGGGTGTAGCAGGTCTGCCAGAGTTCATGGGTTCGTGGAGTGTAGATGACAGAACCATCCTTCAGTATGACAGAAACACCATGCACATGGATGCTGACGCCCCAATACCTGATTGGCTCAGCAGAAACGAGGGTCTCTCACATTGGAGGGGAATGAACTTCGTCTCCAGAATCATTTGCAGGTTTTTGGGTATCACCTTGAAAACGATTGGGCAGCATGATAACCTTACAGGTGAGTGTTGTCGACTCAATGCATTTGTATATCCATTATAATATTATAATCTCATAATCTTGTCTATTTATTTACAAAATCACAAGTTACACAATGGGATGTCGTTTTCTATTCTTTCAATTTCATAGAAACATAATGAACTGTATGTATTTACACCTCCATATACAGTGAGGGAAAAAAGTAAGGTAACTTAACCCATTATGTCCCTTACAGCTTTCTCACGTTTCAGCGAGACCCAGTTGCTAACACCCGCACACAAAATATGGAAACCCCTTCTTACTAGTATACCAATTAACATCCATGCTCAAACCGCGTTCTGCATTTACCTCTATCGTAGGGTTTAAAAACTAACGTAACAACATTAACCATCCTAGATTGCCGTAGTAACGTCATGTTGGTTCAGTTTATCTATTACGATAGTATGTCCATAATACTTCTAACAAAGTTACATTATCCCTAGTGTTTGTTTAATATTCCTATTATTCTCTAAGTTCCCTTGCTTCACTTCCCTTGAATCTAAGACATTCGCTTCTCTGTGCGTCCTAAACAACATTGTATTTCCCATGTAGCTCAGTTGGTAGAGCATGGTGCCTGCAACGCCAGGGTTGTGGGTTCGATTCCCACGGGGGGCCAGTATGAAAAAAAAAATGTATGCACTCACTAACTGTAAGTTGCTCTGGACAAGATGCAAATGTAAATGTAATCAACTAAGATCGTAGTCACATCTCATATGAAACCATCACTCCTCCATTATCAGAATATAGCAGATGTATGTAACTATCCTTTCTACATAGGCTACAAGAAAGACCAAACACTTGCTGTAGTTTACCATCATATATTGAATGCATATCCGTATGATCAATATCCAATTTATTTATAGACATTACGCCTCCATTTTCAATCGTTTATTTTAGCAAACCCTTAGTCAACGCCCAAAAAGAAATAACTACCACGCAATCGTCTCTCTATACCTGATAAATAAGTGAGTATTTCTATTTAAACCACGCACCACGCTACAAATCTTCCATTCAACATCACCAAACCAAATACTTTGTAGTATCCATTCAAGCAACACATACCATCATATGAATTACACTCATAAATACAGATTTTAGTCAGTACCATGGAACCGATGTCTTTTGAAAAGACAATAAGTCCCACAAATAGCCCAACTACAATGGTTTGTGGTCCTAACCTCTGGTACATAATAACGACATAATTACAAGAAAATAGCCTTAAAAAAATCTTTCAAGTGTTTCTTTACAAATCTCTCACGTGCTCAAAATGAATAAATTAGCAGTCAACGAGTCAAATCCACATTCATTGATTTGGAAATAGATCTGGCGATTTTAATAAAACAGATTATGTTTTCCCTTGCGACATAATGAAATTCCTTTATTATATCATATTCGCTCCATAATTAGTTTTATTTTGATGGAAACCCTAAATTGGCTTTGTACAATATTATAACTTACGCCTTTAACCACTTTACTCCCGGTCAGTTTATTCCTTAAATCTTATCTCGATCACATTATCCAGCTACGGTACAAACTTAGAAAACCCATATTAATTACTTTTCCACCCACGACGTACGTCTACGTTGTGGGTGAGAAAGCCAATATATAATTATTATTCCAATTATTATTTTATGAAATCTCTAATAATCACCTACCCATACGTAAAATGGATCATATTTTCACATTTGTCACAAACTCCATATAGACCGTTAGAAACTTCTAGGTACTCACATCAAAGAATACTTATGTTAGTTTAACAATCCTCACTCAACCCAAATCAGCCTCTCAATCATTCTCCCAGCGGAACCAAAAAACAGACAATAATTTCCAAGGACACTGCCATGCCTGTCCCAGAAAACACAGACTTTCCACTACTCTCTAAAATAACATCAAGCTCTATTTACCACTCCTTGATATTCTATGACCTTATTATCTTATATATCGTAACTTCTTATCCAAACTTATATCAAATTATTATACCCATTTTTAGAACTGATTTTGCACCTTTCAGATTCAAATTACCTTCTGCTCTTTGTTCATAAGATAGCCAATTTTGTCCCATTCAATTACTTAACTTTACATTACTTTTACAAAATACTTATTCTAACTGCGGATTTGCCTGTAATAATTTCGTCATTTCCTGTCTCTCAATTCAAATTAAATGAAGCTCTGATTTACTCTTAATGGTGACTTTTTAAAATATATATAAACCGGTCTACTAAGCTGGCCATTCATTACTGTTATTAGTACATGCAATTATTAGTAATTAAACACTTATAAAATCTCCATCCTGATATGTATTAAAATGTAGTTTTCCTTTAAATGTAATTTTGGTGCTATGATTCAATATGTTACATTTCATCGGCTCCCTCTCCTGGCCACTTTGAGTATTTTACCATCTATTTCATTTTATGATGTTCTCCCACATCTAAAAGGTCCGTAACCTATTCTTTTATAATGTCTTACACATTACGGGACTAAAAACCCACTCTATTTCATTTTATGATGTATCCTAGCTTACATCAAGAGTGCCTTGCCCACTCTTTATGACCTATCTAACATCAAGGGTTTACCCTTGATTAATCCACTCTCTCTTCATGATAGATGCCCTGCACCTATTCGTTTGACCACTTATTGCCTTTGCTCAGTACTTTAAACACACCCTATTTTTGAATCATAACACCATGTCATAGTCCTGTTTGATATTCTCCTTACATCCCTTACATAACTCAACACCACTCATCATCCCCCTTTAAAATATAGAATTTTAAACGTCCGTTACAGTTCAGCTTTACCACAGATAAGCAGAATTTGACATAAACAAAAAAAATGAAAGTCTGCTTACCTGTTAGTTTGGCTGTGAACTGCATCCAGTTCGTGAAGACGCCAATCTGTTATGGTGAGTTTCTAGTATTGAGAAGTGAGGATGCAAGAATTTACTGAGACATTCTGTGGAGATTTTACCAAGTGTTTATTGGATCACATAGCCTTGCCCCATTGTCAGTTGAACTGCCCCATACACAAATCTCACATCTTTTATACTCTTGGTTATCCTTCCTTTCACATACATCTGGCAACCACCATGGGCACTCCCTTTCTCTGATGTTATTACCCTTTGCCCCAAGTCAGTATATCCTGTCCATCCATCATGTTATCATAAACATCACTAATCTCCTTTGACCTAAGGAATGTAGACTCTGTGGCACCAAGCCAATTATCTCATATCTGTACCTCGGTCCTCACGATCCTATGACCTGACATCATAACATTATGTCAGTGGTCAATGTGTCAGTGGTAGAGACAATGTTGACAACACTATAAACGTTGAGGTGACTTGATCACAACTTGCAGTTCCCCAGGTGCATGTTATTGAGAGAAGAGGCCTACGGATACCCTCCAAGGTGGAGGTCACGTGTCATGTGACAGGGTTCTACCCGCGGGCGGTGCAGGTGGAGTGGCTGGGGTCAGAGGGGCTTCCCCTGGTGGACGTGGTGAGCAATGGGGAGGTGCTGCCCAACGGAGACGGTTCGTACCAGCTGAGGAAGAGCCTGACTGTCCCACAGGGAGCCCAGTACACCCAGAGTTACAACTGCCAGGTGCTCCACAGCAGTGTAGCGGGGAACATCACAGGGCTCCCGAGTGGCGCAGTGGTCTAAGGCACTGCATCTCAGTGCTTGAGGCGTCACTACAGACCCCCTGGTTCGATTCCAGGCTGTATCACAACCGGCCGTGATTGGGAGTCCCGTAGGGCGGCGCACAATTGGCCCAGCGTCGTCTGGGTTTGGCCGGTGTAGGCCGTCATTGTAAATAAGAATGTGTTCTTAACTGACTTGCCTAGTTAAATAAAGGTAAAAAAAAAAAAAAACCTGGGGTAAGGGAACATGCCTTTGTGTTATCTTTCCATTTGTTTGTTTAGTAAGGAATAGACTGTTACCTAGAATATGAGGAAAATGTTATATAAAAATGAAACCTGTGCTCACGTCAGTGTAAAATGATCATTTAGAACATAATTTTGAAATGACCTGTCTTCTCTTTATATACAGTACCAGTCAAAGTTTGGACACACCTACTCATTCCAGGGTTTTTCTTTATTTTTACTATTTTCTACATTGTAGAATAATAGTGAAGACATAATAACTATGAATTAACACATGGAATCATGTAGTAACCAAAAAAATGTTAAACAAATATGTTTTATAAAATATGTTTTATATTTGAGATTCTTCAAATAGCCACCCTTTGCCTTGATGACAGCTTTGCACACTCTTGGCATTCTCTCAACCAGCTTCATGAGGTAGTCACCTGGAACGCATTTCAATTAACAAGTGTGCCTTCTTAAAAGTTAATTGTTCTTTCCTTCTTAATGCGTTTGAGACAATCAGTTGTGTTGTGACAAGGTAGGGTGGGGTATACAGAAGATAGCCCTATTTGGTAAAAGACCAAGTCCATAGTATGTCAAGAACAGCTCAAATAAGCAAAGAGAAACAACAGTCCATTATTACTTTAAGACATGAAGGTCAGTCAATCCAGAACATTTCAAGAACTTTGAACGTTTCTTCAAGTGCAGTTGCAAAAACCATCAAGCGCTGATGAAACTGGCTCTCATGAGGACCGCCACAGGAAAGGAAGACCCAGAGTTAACTCTGCTGCAGAGGATAAGTTCATTAGAGTTACCAGCCTCAGAAATTGCAGCCCAAATAAATGCTTCACAGAGTTCAAGTCACAGACACATCTCAACATCAACTGTTCAGAGGAGACTGTGTGAATCAGGCCTTCATGGTCGAATTGCTGCAAAGAAACCACTACTAAAGGACACCAATAAGAGACTTGCTTGGGCCAAGAAACGCGAGCAATGACATTAGACCGGTGGAAATCTGTCCTTTGGTCTCATGAGTCCAAATTTGAGATTTTTGGTTCCAACCGCCGTGTCTTTGTGAGACACAGAGTAGGTGAATGGATGATCTCCGCATGTGTGGTTCCCACCGTGAAGCATGGAGAAGGAGGCACACTTAACCAGCATGGCTACCACAGCATTCTGCAGCGATACACCATCCCATCTGGTTTGAGGTTAGTGGGACTATCATTTGTTTTTCAGCAGGACAATGACCCAACACACCTCCAGGCTGTGTAAGGGCTATTTGACGAAGAAGGAGAGTGATGGAGTGCTGCATCAGATGACCTGGCCTCCACAATCCCCCGACCTCAACTCAATTGAGATGGTTTGGGATGAGTTGGACCGCAGTGAAGGAAAAGCAGCCAACAAGTGTCAGCATATGTGGGAACTCCTTCAAGACTGTTGGAAAAGCATTCCAGGTGAAGCTGGTTGAAGGAATGCCAAGGGCGTGCAAAGCTGTCATCAAGGCAAAGGGTGGCTACTTTGAAGAATCTCAAATATAAAATATATATTGATTTGTTTAACACTTTTTTGGTTACTACATGATTCCATATGTGTTATTTCATAGTTTTGATGTCTTCACTATTATTCTGCAATGTAGAAAATAGTAAAAAATTAAGAAAAACCCTTGAATGAGTAGGTGTGTCCAAACTTTTGACTGCTACTGTAGATGTCCACAGTTCCCAAGACCCGATCCAGCTTCTGAAGGGCCAGTGTCTTAACAGTGATTGGCTGTCTATTGTTTCTGACTGTGTTGGTCTGTTGTGGAAGAGAGGAGGACCAATCAGAGAGACCACCACTGTGACTCCCAAGTCTGACCACGGTATGACGCAGTCAAGGTACTGCAGGCCACACATTTGTCACTGTTTTTCTCCAACTGAGAGGAAGGTGCTCAGTTGCTATAACTAGTGGCTGCTCAAAAAATAAAGGGAACACTAAAATAACACATCCTAGATCTGAATGAATGAAATAATCTTATTAAATTTTTTTTTCTTTACATAGTTGAATGTGCTGACAACAAAATCACACAAAAATTATCAATGGAAATCAAATGTATCAACCCATGGAGGTCTGGATTTGGAGTCACACTCAAAATTAAAGTGGAAAACCACACTACAGGCTGATCCAACTTTGATGTAATGTCCTTAAAACAAGTCAAAATGAGGCTCAGTAGTGTGTGTGGCCTCCACGTGCCTGTATGACCTCCCTACAACGCCTGGGCATGCTCCTGATGAGGTGGCGGATGGTCTCCTGAGGGATCTCCTCCCAGACCTGGACCAAAGCATCCGCCAACTCCTGGACAGTCTGTGGTGCAACGTGGCGTTGGTGGATGGAGCAAGACATGATGTCCCAGATGTGCTCAATTGGATTCAGGTCTGGGGAATGGGCGGGCCAGTCCATAGCATCAATGCCTTCCTCTTGCAGGAACTGCTGACACACTCCAGCCACATGAGGTCTAGCATTGTCTTGCATTAGGAGGAACCCAGGGCCAACCGCACTAGCATATGGTCTCACAAGGGGTCTAAGGATCTCATCTCGGTACCTAATGGCAGTCAGGCTACCTCTGGCAAGCACATGGAGGGCTGTGCGGCCCCCCAAAGAAATGCCACACCACACCATGACTGACCCACCGCCAAACCGGTCATGCTGGAGGATGTTGCAGGCAGCAGAACGTTCTCCACGGCGTCTCCAGACTCTGTCACGTCTGTCACATGTGCTCAGTGTGAACCTGCTTTCATCTGTGAAGAGCACAGGGCGCCAGTGGCGAATTTGCCAATCTTGGTGTTCTCTGGCAAATGCCAAACGTCCTGCACGGTGTTGGGCTGTAAGAACAACCCCCACCTGTGGACGTCGGGCCCTCATACCACCCTCATGGAGTCTGTTTCTGACCGTTTGAGCAGACACATGCACATTTGTGGCCTGCTGGAGGTAATTTTGCAGGGCTCTGGCAGTGCTCCTCCTACTCCTCCTTGCACAAAGGCGGCGGTAGTGGTCCTGCTGCTGGGTTGTTGCCCTCCTACGGCCTCCTCCACGTCTCCTGATGTATTGGCCTGTCTCCTGGTAGCGCCTCCATGCTCTGGACACTACGCTGACAGACACAGCAAACCTTCTTGCCACAGCTCGCATTGATGTGCCATCCTGGATGAGCTGCACTACCTGAGCCACTTGTGTGGGTTGTAAACTCCCTCTCATGCTACCACTAGAGTGAAAGCACCGCCAGCATTCAAAAGTGACCAAAACATCAGCCAGGAAGCATAGGAACTGAGAAATGGTCTGTGGTCACCACCTGCAGAACCACTCCTTTATTGGGGGTGTCTTGCTAATCTCCTATAATTTCCACCTGTTGTCAATCTATTTGCACAACAGCATGTGAAATGTATTGTCAATCAGTGTTGCTTCCTAAGTGGACAGTTTGATTTCACAGAAGTGTGATTGACTTGGAGTTACGTTGTGTTGTTTAAGTGTTCCCTTTATTTTTTTGAGCAGTGTACTTCTATCCTCAGCCTATGACAAGACAGAGAGATTTAAACCAGACTTGTAAAAACCTGTCATACACTTCCAGATAGGATGTGGACTGTGGAACACTGACGTACTGTACTGTACTGTACTGTACCATGCTGTGTTGAAATATTGGTGTAGTCTAAATTTATACCAACAAGGAAGTCAGATTGTATTTTTTGGTGTTAGGTTAGTGAGCTGGCTAGGGGAATTCCTAGTATGGTAATGAAAACTTTTATCATATGAAGCATTGATCACAACAACAATATGTACAACAACATTCATAGCTTTATACACAGAACACTAACAAACAAGCAACAATACAATATTTGTATATTTCTATGGCACATTGTCAATAAAATAAATTGAAAAAATGACATGTAGGCCTACAACTTATTAGTATAGTTTCCAGTTACAGTGGTTGTCATATGAGAAATTGAACAAAAATGTACTTTGTGGCCAATGATGAACACAGAGGTATTTTGGTAAGTTATTCCACAAAGTGAAATGTTTACGTTTGTGCACGAGACGTGTTTAACCTGCACTGTCCCTCAATCGTGTGTGTCTTGTAAAAGGCATTTCCAGTACTAGGTTGAGTGGTTTCCAGTGGTTCCATTTCCAGTGGTTGCTTGAGTTTGGTGTCTTTTACTGGTACCACAGCAGAGCTTGAGTTGTGTCCATACGCCCCTCACACTGACCTACAGTAGAACAGTCCAAATCAAACTCAAAACCAGATGTAGCTTGGCAGCCAAGTCTCTCATTTTCTCTACATATTAGTAGTTTAGCAAACGCTCTTATCCAGAGCGACTTACAGGAGCAATTAGGGTTAAGTGCCTTGCTTAAGGGCACATTGACAGATTTGGTTGAGAGAATGCCAAGAGTGTGCAAAGCTGTCATCAAGGCAAATGGTGGCTACTTTGAAGAATCTAAAATCTAAAATATATTTTGATTTGTTGAACACTTTTGTGGTTACTACATGATTCCATATGTGCTATTTCATAGTTTTGATGTTTTCACTATTATTCTATAATGTATGATTAGGTGTGTCCAAACTTTTGACTGGTACTATATATAATTTATAAGTCCAAAAATGGATGTAGCAACTACAGATTGACCCTTTAAGTCTATCAAACATGTAATCCGTTGCTCCCCAACCCTTCCGTCATCTAGTGGCCACAATAAACGAATGACACACAAGATTTGGTTCAGGACTCCATCACTGCAGGTGGCAGTACATAATCAAAATTAGCTTTATGCTTTTTTCAAACACAAAAGAAGAAGAAAATTGACGACTTCAAAAAGGAGATGGTCTCAATGAGGCTGCCCGTGCTCTCACAGACGGCAGAATGGGACAGATAGAAAGATGAGTCCACTAATTAACTCTATGCTCCAGCCCTGTTTGACACTCCGCTCAGCCCCCTCTGCTGACACAAACTTGTCAACACACATGTTCTGTCGTTTGACTCCAGCCTACTTCCTCTTTCGCTTCAGCTTACTTCCTCTTTCACTTCAGCTCATAATCTGTGTTCATGAATACACCAACGAGAACATGTTATTTGTAATATGATAACCACAATTGTAATTTCATTCATGCAATTCTCCTTCGTAGGTACGTTCATTATTTGAGTTATGCTTTTGGCTTTCTTGTCTCACCAAGTTGTATCATAGTATAACAAACTGAATGCAGTTTTACTTTGTCTACTTTTTTTAAAAGGCTTCAATAGGCTAAACCCAGCAAACACAACCAAATAAAATAAAATAAAATTGTTTGTGGACTATTTCCCACTGCACAATGTTGTCTTAACGTTGTCTATTGAAATAGGCTAATCATTCTCTTCATCTCCATTGCATCGCAACCCAAGGAACCTTGTATCCGAAAAACATCCAGTTAGTAATGATAGACGATGTCATTGTCTATTACTACAACAGCAGTGCTGAACAAGAGGCCGTGATGCCAAAATGGTTGAACCACCTTGAGGGAATTGAATTCTGAAATGTAATCGATATGTAATGGATACGTGTCAACGCGTGCTGTAGGTGCAGTGGTGGAATCAAACGCAGGACGCAGACGGATAATCCAACAGACTTGTATTAATGCCAAACACGGCAAACGGACAAACACTTGCCCGAAGGCGAAATACGCACGAAGGCGAAAAATGATACAACAGCGCACAAAACAGGTGCGAAATAACTCCAGCGCAGTGGAGAGAAGCTCAACCGAGCGAAAGACACGACTGACAAAAATCAATAACACACACCACCTGACAAACACAACGAGAACTAAATAGGACACTAATGACACTAAATGAAAACAGGTGTGACAACAATCAGACAAAAGCAAACGAACATGAAACATACAACGGTGGCAGCTAGTATTCCGGAGACAACGAACGCCGAAGCCTGCCCCGAACAAGGGAGAGAGGCAGCCTCGGCCGAAACCGTGACAGTACCCCCCCCTTGACGCGCGGCTCCAGACGTGCGCCGACTCCGGCCTCGGGGACGACCCGGAGGACGCGTAGCAGGGTGCGTCGGGTGCCCACGATGGAATTCCGTCAGGAGAGACGGGTCCAAAATGTCTCTCCTCGGCACCCAGCACCGCTCCTCCGGACCGTACCCCTCCCACTCCACTAGATACTGGAGACCCCCCATCCGACGTCTCGAATCCAAGAGGGACCTCACGGAGTACGCCGGTGCCCCCTCGATGTCCAATGGGGGCGGAGGAGTCTCCCTGATCTCACTTTCTTGGAGTGGGCCAGCTACCACCGGCCTGAGAAGGGACACATGGAACGAGGGGTTAATACTTTTATATTCAACAGGTAGCTGTAATTTATAACACACCTCGTTCAAACCTTCCCAGGACTTTAAATGGCCCTACAAACCGCCGACCCAGTTTCCGACAGGGCAGGCGGAGGGGCAGGTTTCTGGTAGAGAGCCAGACTCGATCACCAGGTGCGTACACCGGTCCCTCACTGCGGTGGAGATCGGCGCTCGCCTTATGACGTCGGAGGGCCCGCTGCAGGTGGACGTGTGCAGCGTTCCATGTCTCCTCCGAGCGCCTCGCCCACTCATCCACCGCAGGAGCCTCGATCTGGCTCTGCTGCCAGGGTGCCAGAACCGGCTGGTAACCCAACACACATTGGAAAGGGGTTAGGTTAGTGGAGGAATGGCGTAGGGAATTCTGGGCCATTTCGGCCCAGGGAACGTACCTTGCCCACTCCTCCGGCCGGTCCTGGCAGTATGTTCTAAGAAACCTGCCCACATCCTGGTTTACACGTTCCACCTGCCCATTACTCTCCGGGTGGTAACCCGAGGTGAGGCTCACCGAGACCCCCAACCGCTCCATAAAGGCCCTCCAGACTCTGGAGGTAAATTGGGGACCCCGATCAGACACAATATCCTCGGGTACCCCGTAGTGCCGGAACACATGGGTGAATAGGGCTTCGGCAGTTTGCAGGGCGGTAGGAAGGCCCGGCATGGGGAGCAAACGACAGGCCTTAGAAAACCGGTCCACAACGACCAGTATAGTGGTATTCCCCTGTGAAGGAGGAAGGTCAGTAAGGAAATCCACCGAGAGGTGGGACCATGGTCGTTGTGGCACGGGCAGGGGTAGTAACTTACCCCTAGGCAAATGTCTAGGCGCCTTACACTGGGCGCACACCGAGCAGGAGGAAACATAAACCCTCACATCCCTTGCCAACGTGGGCCACCAGTACTTGGCACTAAGACAGTGCACTGTCCGGCCGATACCCGGATGTCCAGAGGAGGGTGACGTGTGAGCCCAATAGATCAATCGATCCCGAACCTCGAGCGGAACGTACTTCCGACCCTCCGGGCACTGTGGTGGACTAGGGTCGGTGCGTAACGCCCGCTCGAGTTCAGCATCGACCTCCCACACTACCGGTGCCACCAGACACGACTCCGGCAGTATGGGAGTGGGCTCCACGGACCTCTCCTCCGTGTCATACCGCCGAGACAGCGCATCTGCCTTACCGTTCTGTGACCCAGGGATGTACGTGATCTTAAAAGTAAACCTGGTCAAGAACATATTCCATCTTGCCTGGCGAGGGTTCAGCCTCCTCGCTGCCCGGATGTACTCCAGGTTACGGTGGTCCGTCAAAATGAGGAAAGGGTGTTGAGCCCCCTCAAGCCAGTGCCTCCAAACCTTTAGGGCCTGTACCACGGCTAACAGCTCCCTGTCCCCTACGTCATAGTTCCGCTCCGCCGGACTGAGCTTCTTAGAATAAAAAGCACAGGGGCGGAGTTTAGGTGGCGCGCCAGACCGTTGTGAAAGCACGGCTCCTAGACCGGCCTCTGACGCGTCCACCTCTACCTGGAACGGCAAAGAGGGATCCGGATGCGCCAGCACCGGGGCCGAGGTAAACAGGTCCTTCAGCCTTCCCCTCCGGGGGATGGTCAAACACCGCCTTGAAGCGGCGGGAGAACTCGTTGTAAGTGATGGTGTCCGCGTCGATCCTCCTCCACTCCGCGTTGGCCCATTCCAACGCCTTCCCGGACAGGCAGGAGATCAGGGCGGACACGCTCTCATGTCCCGAGGGCGCCGGGTGCACGGTGGCCAGGTACAGCTCCACCTGGAGAAGGAAACCCTGGCACCCGGCCGCGGTCCCATCGTAAGCCCTCGGGAGCGAGAGTCGGACTCCTCGGGGTTCTGGTGCGGGAATAGGCTGACTGGCCGATGGTGCTGGCACGGAGGGTGGTGGTGGAGGCGTCCCCCAGCCTCGGATGGTGGTGATCACCTCCTGCAGTGCGGTCCCCATCTGCAGGATCTGGTCACCCTGTTCCCGGACCCTGTCCTCCAGAGTCGCCTGGGCTGCTGCGGCTCCTGCTGATTCCATAGTGGTGTGTTATTCTGTCAACGCGTGCTGTAGGTGCAGTGGTGGAATCAAACGCAGGACGCAGACGGATAATCCAACAGACTTGTATTAATGCCAAACACGGCAAACGGACAAACACTTGCCCGAAGGCGAAATACGCACGAAGGCGAAAAATGATACAACAGCGCACAAAACAGGTGCGAAATAACTCCAGCGCAGTGGAGAGAAGCTCAACCGAGCGAAAGACACGACTGACAAAAATCAATAACACACACCACCTGACAAACACAACGAGAACTAAATAGGACACTAATGACACTAAATGAAAACAGGTGTGACAACAATCAGACTAAAGCAAACGAACATGAAACATACAACGGTGGCAGCTAGTATTCCGGAGACAACGAACGCCGAAGCCTGCCCGAACAAGGGAGAGAGGCAGCCTCGGCCGAAACCGTGACAATACGGCTGTGAAAGTAACAAGTGAACATTACAATCATTCACATGGTAAGACAAAATATGTGTGCCAAGGCATGGCTATAGAGAGGTAAAATAATCAATAATATATTTTCTTAGTTGCAGTCATTAGCCTACCTTTGTAAGCTTGTAAGCTGATGTTTTTGAAAAATGTATGCACTCACTAACTGTAAGTCGCTCTGGATAAGAGCGTCTGCTAAATGACTAAAATGTAAATGTAATGCTTTTAACCAGTAGCCTATATTTGAAGAAAATGGTGCTGATTTATTATGGTCATTTTATGTGTTATACAGATAGATCATATTTACCAAGCTCATGGATGCTGTGGATGGAAGTCAGACGCAACCACAGAGGCATTTGTGAGCCATGCATATGACGGCAAGGAGATTGTCAGCTTCGATGTACTGACCAGAACATAGACAGTAGCTGTTTCCCTTTTTATTTTTGGCAGATTTGGAAGATCTTGTTAGGCTGGTCATTCATTACGAATCTGGATGCATCAGTTGGCTGGAGAAACTGTTACAATTTAGTGTTACAGTTCGAGAATCCAAAGGTAAGGACACACTAGATACTTCATTATTGGGACCAATTAACTGGTTCATTTTGTAAACCGCAACGAGGTGTGTGTTGCACTATCACTATGCCTATGTTCTCCTTTCGATTAAACCAAATAATTGACCCAGAGCACTAGCTAGATATGTTATTTGAGATGTGATATTTTGCAGACAGAATTCCTCTAGTCTAGTAAACAAACAGCATATGTCTGTAATGTCGAGATGTCTCATGAGGCCCTTGCAGTGGAAATGCAGACCAAATGTGTTAATCAAAAATGTTCCTCTCTTAAGTACCTGGGGTGAGTCTGTTTGAGAGACTGCCTCATGACAACTCAGCAGTGGAGGTCACGTGTCATGTGACAGGGTTCTACCCGTGGGCGGTGCAGGTGGAGTGGCTGGGGTCAGAGGGGCTTCCCCTGGTGGACGTGTTGAGCAATGGGGAGGTGCTGCCCAACGGAGACGGTTCGTACCAGCTGAGGAAGAGCCTGACTGTCCCACAAGGAGCACAGTACACCCAGAATTACAACTGCCAGGTGCTCCACAGCAGTGTAGTCAGGAACATCACAGTAACCTGGGGTAAGGCACCGGTACATTTCCCAATATAATTTACAATTGAATTGGCTGGAGATATACTACAGCATGCAGTGGAGGCTGCTGAGGGGAGAACAGCTCATAATAATGTCTGGAATGGAGTGTAATGGAGTCAATGGAATGGTATCAAACACATGAAAACCATTCCGACCATTATTATAAGCCGTCCTTCCCTCAGCAGCCTCCACTGACAGCATGTAGTATGTTCATACCTGTGATCTTTTTTTCCAGTTCCAAAGAAGAACCTGGCCATCAAGTTCATAGCGATAGGCATCATTGTATCTGTTACATTCATCTTTGTACTCGCTGTCCTGTTCAAGAGGGGTGTGATTGGGCCTTTCATTGCCTTTGTGGATCATTACAATTTAGCATGGAGGAGAGCAGTAGGTAAGAGTCAATCTTAACTCTTGCAACACTAGGTGTTATGTCTGGTCAGAGTAAAGTAAACAAGAGCTTAATGCCCCCTCAGCCACATATTTACGATTTTTCTCTCATGTTAATTCAGCTCAAAATCAAGAGGAAGAGGATGACCAACGATTAATTGAAAAAGTAATCTTCAGAAGTGGAGAGAGATGAGGTGCATGTAATTTACCGTTATATACTGCACTTGCAAAGTATAATCTAATAGTGTTTATTTCTGGTCTTCCAAGTGCTAGCTCATATTCTGAGCAATGAGGGCTTTGTATTTCGGTTTATGAAGTAGTTGATCTGTATACATTTTGTAAACACCAAATAAATTTTTCTCAACACCAAATAAATATCTGTATGCATTTGTGCTCTATATAAACCTAGATAATTTACTAATGTTAGACTTGCTGCTTTTGTTGTTGATGTTGTTTAAAAAAAAAATCCTGTTAATTGTTATTTTACTGTTACATTAGCTGCAAGATACACTGGAAATAACCAATAAACGTTTGAGCATATCATTGAAGGAGTGGTTAACATCAGGAAGTAGCTCCATCGAGGATAATTTATCGATTTGTTCCAGGGGTGGAGAAGTGAATAGTTTCGTGTGACTGTTAAACAGTAGCTGTGCGTGGCTAAAATCACCCGGGAAGCCAAGCCAGAAAAAAAAAGTCATAGTACAACCCAGGGACGGCTTGTTCAATAGGGCGATATGGGCGACGCACTGCCAAACGGGAAAAGGAAGGGATTTTTTTTCTAATCAATTATAAAAAAATAAAAAAATATATATATATTTTTTTTTTAAATAAATTTATAAAAAATTATATCACGGCAACAGCAGTTATCAGTGTTCACGTCTGATCTGACAGCCACTAAATGTCAAATCAGGCTAAAGTCGTGCTTCAAATGGCCCCGCCCGTTTTTTGGGCGATTTCAGTCAGGTTGAAAATCGCCCAGAAGTCTCTCATAGCCTGTCATGTAAAATCTATTTTTTTCACATTTCAAAGCTTTCAATACATTCTCTATGGGTGTCTGTGGGCTTGCACTTACGCGCTTTCGTCATACATAACGTAACCACGAATGAACGTAACTAAGAAAAGACCAGGTAGCAGCCTCAATCAATTCACTACTACTATCAAAATGGCTAGGCTTCAGTCCAACTCGATTGTGTCTTTGAAAGAAGTTCCTTTTTGTCGGCGAACAAATTAAGATAAATTGGCAACGAAACAATTAGGACCTCCCAGACCAAATTTAATAATTCAACAGGTTTCTACTAAAGGCGGAAAGTCCTACACCCGAGGATTTTCCAAAAATTGGTACGAACGAAAAAAGACATTGCCACTCACTCAACTGGATGACGAGGGATACAGGCTAGCTGTCCGCCGCCACAACGATGAGGTTAGTGTTGATAATCACAAGTTTACTGGATGTGGATATGGTGTAATAAAGGCAGTTTATTCAGAGGTAAATATATCTGGAATCGCGTTCACGGACCCGTTCGTCAAACTCTTAGGGAGCTATAAATTAAGCCCCATTACTTACCATATCAGATAAGAGAAATTGCTGCAGCTACATATATTTTACATCCTGGCCCTACATAGTTCACTATTTGCATCACTTACCAAAATATTACATGTGGTCATATATGCTTGGAAAGTGGAGATGCCATAGAACGTCAAAAAAGTAAACATTGCTGGAGACACATTGTCGTTTTGGAGAAGACATCGCGTTTGCTAGTGAAGAGATTTGTTGTGGCAAATGAACTTGGCCTGGGAATTGCCAGGAACCTCACAATAAGATATATGCATCAGCATTGCGAGTCTCATGATTCTATACGTATTGCGATTCGATACTGTGATTTTATTGCGCACCATATGTCTGTTGCAGAGGGATCAGAAAGCCATGAGAACGAGTTTTGATCAGTCATGGAAATAAAAGTGCTGAAAACTAATTGGCTCCCAATGTGAAAAGATTGAGAACAAGCTATGAAGGAACAATAATGGTGTTTTGGTGCAGGTACAGCCAACTAGCGCTAAAATATTGCGATATTGTCAATACAGTATATCGTAAAGTATCACTATGTAACTCGATTTCTTTCACCCCAATCCCTCAAATTAACGGTAAATAACTGAATTGTTTGCCCCACATTTAGCTAAGATGATTAGCTAGCCAGCTAAAATGTTTTATTTAGTTAGCAGTCGCATCTACAATAGTTTTACTGTCAATAACATGTCTCCAAAAATGACGTGGTGTCTCCAATTGTGTTGACATTTTACAATTGCAATGCGCATCCATGAGTATCCACTTTCTGTAGCTCAGCTGGTAGAGCATGGTGCTTGTAACGCCAAGGTAGTGGGTTCGATCCCCGGGACCACCCATACACAAAAATGTATGCACGCATGACTGTAAGTCGCTTTGGATAAAAAGCGTCTGCTAAATGGCATATTATTATTATTATTATTATTATCTGAAGAGAGCCCCGAAACATTGTGTGCAGACATTTTATGCAATAAATGAAGTAGGTTCAATCTAGTAGTTCTGATCTTCTGATTGGTCCTGATGAGTTGGGCGAGGTCACCTCCAGGCTACTGTCACTGTTGCATTGGCTCTGAGTCGGGTTCTCTGTCTTCAAATGTTCAGCCTAAGAGAGGGGATTTTTGTGTGTGTGTGTGTGTGTGTTTAACAGTGATGATGTGTGTGTGTGTGTGTTTAACAGTGATGATGTGTGTGTGTGTGTGTTTGTGTGTGTGTGTGTCCTCAGAGCAAGAACTCGTGAGTTGGAAGAACTGAGAGGCCTATGGCGTGGGTGTTGTCCTTGGCCACCTGCTGACAAGGCTGACAAGATAGGACCCTTTTGTCCATTGTTATTGGATAGGAACAGAACTTATAACCAGCTCCTGACCTAAATAGATCTTAGCACAAACATTTTACTCAACATATCATATTCCATATTCACTATAACAAATATATTTACTACGACATTAGCAAGAACCGCCACATCCTCAGCCGGCTAATCCAGTGTGTGAAGTTTTGCGGAGTGTTTGAGTTAGCTTTGCGAGGCAAAGATGAAACTGAGGGCTCCACCAACCCTGGTAAGCCAACACTTTTGAGATCAGTCAATAAATGCTTCTGGTATTGACTTATATGCTGCCCCTGTCTTCATGTTGTTGCTGGACATATCTTTTTTTTAAATGTGTGCAGGTCACCTAAATCATCAGAAAAATTGCCCCTCCTGAGAATTTTTTCAGGAGCCGCCACTGGTACAACCTATGTGTTGTGATAATTGCGTTGTTTGCTCTATAACCTGTTCTATGCCTTGACACTGTGATATATAGGCTAAGGCTGAGACAATACGAAGACACAGTGGCAGAATAAATTCAACCACACATTTGTTTCATTACAAAACCGGAGAGCAACATCTGTCCGGTGATGTCCACAAAACATATTGCATGTAACAAACAGTTACATGACCTACAGCATTGTCAAGCAAGTTAATGTTTCCGAAATTTTTGGACTACAAACAACTATTGATTTAGAACCACGAGTTACCGCAAGTCGCAAAGAAAACTGCCTCCACTATTCCAGCCCTATTTCAACATCATCTATTCACCTACAGTATGCTTAGTCTAATACAGTGACAACTAAAATATACCAAAAACGATTTAGTCCGATCAACGTAAACTAAATATGACGTGACTGTCCATGGTACTGATTTCTCTCTCTGTGTGTGTGTGTGTGTGTTTGTGTGCGTGCGTGCCAGTGCAATTATTATTTTTTTAAACATGTTGACCAGTGGCGGTCGGTGCCGTTTAAGAAGAGGGTGGATTATTTTTTTTTTTTCATGAGCATGGCCTTATTTCTATTACAGCATATTGGATGACTGTCATTCATATTCCATTCACCCAGTTCAATGTAACATCGATAGGTTTAGGCTACTACATGAGGTTGCTACAACCTAGCCTATGAATTAAAGTTTACAACGTAGGTGCACACAGGTCGAGATATTTTTTTTACAGACAGTGATACATGGACAGACAGTAACACATTCAATACCGCCTTGCACACTCTTGCCTGCATCTAGCTTATCTAGGGTGTAATCATTAATCCAACAGTTGCAAACGAGAGTTTCTATTGGACAAATCCAGGTATGTTTATCCTCGTTTCGTTCCGTTTGTGTCTGTTTAATAAACGTTTTACAACAGAATCGGCAGAATAAATACACCCCTGATCACACGTAAACACAGTTCACTTTCATAGCAGCCACGTTGTATTCCTTCTCGCATCTATGCGCTCTCTCACCTTTTCCCTTCGCTTGTGGACTTCAATGCACAACACATCAGCTGTATGTGACCAAGGGAAAAAAACGTACCAAGCCAAACCATATCGTAACCGCTACACACAGCCTACATCGTTGTCACCATATTAGCTAAAGTAACATCATAGTCAACATAGCTAATAGAACTAACGCATTAGTAAACCCGTTACAATCATGCAGTAACGTTACAGTGTACAGTTCAATAAGCAGTTTAGCAGTTACACCGACGGGCCCTGGTGGCAATAAATTAGTAAAACCAAAAGCTTCCCTTGACTTGCAAGAGTTCCAGTGTTGTGTTGTATAGTCATAGCCAGCTAGCTAACATAGCATCCCTCTCTTTGAGCCGGGTGTTGAGTAGGCTAAACTAGCTAGCTAGCTGCATTTACTAGCTAAGTAAGCGAAAGTGACAAAACAATCTCTTTCTCTCTCTCTCTCTCTCGCTTCGCTTTCATTTTGAATAAATACATTTGTTCAAAACTGTTCAACTATTGTATTTCTCTCGCTTGAGTCAACTACTCACCACATTTTATGCACTACAGTTCTAGTTAGCTGTAGCTTATGCTTTCAGTACTAGATTCAATCTCTGATCCTTTGATTGGGTGGACAACATGTCAGTTCTTGCTGCAAGAGCTCTGATAGGTTGGAGGACGTCCTTCGGAAGTTGTCATAATTACTGTAAGTCTATGTAAGGGGGTGAGAACCATGAGCCTCCTAGGTTTTGTATGGAAGTCAATGTACCCAGAGGAGGATGGAAGCTAGCTGTCCTCCGGCTACAACCCATGGTGCTAACCCTATAGAGTGCTGTTTTTTATTTTTTATTTTATTTTTTTAGCAGACGCTCTTATCCAGAGCGACTTACAGTTAATGAATGCATACATGTTTTTTGTTTGTTTGAACCCACATCCCTGCCGGCCAAACCCTCCCCTACCTTGGACGACTTGTGCGCCACCCATGGATCTCCCGGTCGAGGCCGGCTGCGACAGAGCCTGTACTCGAACCAGGATCTCTAGTGGCACAGCTAGCACTGCGAAGCAGTGCCTTAGACCACTGCGCCACTCGGGAGTCCATGAAAGGCTACTGTAAGCCCTTCATTGCAAAACAGTGTGTTTTAATCAATTATTTGGTGACGTGAACATATTTAGTATCGTTTTATCTAAAAGGATAACATTTTAAATGTTTTAAACTATTTTTATTTTTATGAAATTCACTGAGGAGGATGGTCCTCCCCTTCGTCCTCTGAGGAGCATCCACTGTTGACCTCACCCTACTTGTAGAGAAACGGCAATGCCATCCCCTCTTTCATGTTGTATGACTCTGTCATACACACTTTTTAGTTTTTGTTGTCCAAGAAACTGGCTAAAATGCTTGCTCGCTACCTAACTTCATTTCATGGGCAACGATGCTCCAGGCCAGGTAGTTAACATTAGCCTAACGTTACTACACATCTAGCTACATGTTGAACTTCCATCCTCTCAGGCAAGGGGCAACTATGTATGCATTTATGGTTGGATCAGAATCGACATTATAATCATTGGCCAGTACGGAGAATTAAGTAAAAACACAACTGCAAACCCTATCTCCATCCATGGCTAATTTAGGAAAGATTAAAAAAAACATTGGGTGCGCCAGGACCCATTCACACTAAGCTCACTCAGTTTAGCTCAACACTGATTGGATATTTTTTTATTTCCTTTTTTATAAAAGCCAAATGCTTGCTGGTTTCCCTTGTATTCAATGGTACGGGCAGCAACCATGTCATAACTCTTTTTTGACCAGACAGCATAGACGGGATACACATACAGAGACAGAGGGGGCGGCGTGTTTCGTTCGCTTGGATGCTTTCTCTGGTGAGATACATTCAGCCATCTTGCGAATTGAAGGGCATTTTATAAAACAACAGAGACACTGAAAGATACATTATTTTGTATGTTTTTTTTGGTTTGTTTGTTTTTGGTCATTTTTTGGAGGAAGGGCTGGCTTCCCTTGGCATCCACGAATAACACGCCCACTGCTGTTAAATGCACTTTAAAATAAATTGTGATTTGATTTCAACACACCACCAATTAATGGTTTGAAACTGGAGTGAAAACTACATTAATGGGAAAATTCAAGTCAAAGGACACAGCATTTTATTCATCTCTAACACCTTGCATGGATGTAAACAGCAAACTAGAATGGAAAATGTTCATCAGTTTGCTGAACTGTAGAAACTGTACTGTACTGAAATTAAACCGAGCTCTATATACCCAAGCAATCCAGTGGAACAAAGCAAAAAATATTGTTTCCATATTACTGATATAAGGATGGGGCCTCCCGAGTGACGCAGCGGTCCCAGGCTGTGTCGCAGCCGGGCCACGACCGGGAGACCCATGAGGCGGTGCACAATTGGCCCAACGTCGTCTGGGTTTGGCCAGCCGGGATGTCCTTGTCCGATTGCGCTCTAGCGACTCCTTGTGGGTGGGCCGAGCGCATGCGCACTGACTTCGGTCGCCAGTTGTACAATGTCTCCTACGACACATTGGTGCGGCTGGCTTCCAGGTTAAGCGAGTGTCAAGAAGCAATGCGGCTTGGCAGGGTCGTGTTTCGGAGGACGCATTGGCTCTCAACCTTCGCCTCTCTCGAGACCGTACGGAAGTTGCAGCGATGGGACAAGACTGTAACTACCAATTGGGGAAAAAATAAATAAAACAATACAAATCTACAAAAAACGAAAGATAAAAAGACCATACCCCGTGTATGGTTGCAATCGTTACGCAGGCTGTTGCACTGCATCGCATGTGGTGCTGTTCTGTATCGCAGCTGTGTTCCATTGTTCAGGCTGGTATTGCCCTGTTATGTATGTTCCGACATGTCCTGGGTTGTAAACGTGCCTGTCCGTATGGAGTCCAGTTGGTGTGTCGTGTATGCGTTGTTTTTTGGTACTGTACTTAATGTCTGTGGGCTGGATCATCTCTGTGGAGACGCGTTCCAGGCGGTTCCCTCCCCTGTCTCTGCCGGATAGACGGACACAGAACGGCACCCTGGGAACAGAGGCCATCCAGCCAACCAGCTCCTCTCCAGAGGACGAAGAGGAAGAGGACGAGTTTAGCCACACTTTCTGTAGGCTCTCCCCATTGGCTCCCAGCAGGGTCACGTGACTGAAAGAGACCTCCTCATTGGGCGATAGACCTGTGACAGCCAGCACTAGAAAGGTTGGGACACCTGGACGGACATGAAACACACCAAATGGATGAATAGATGTGATCATGATTATTTAGTTTTGAAGCGTATAGGCTAGACAAATGAAAGATAAATACATAGATACTGTATTCTAGCCAAAAACCACACACCCTCACCTGCGATTGGACTCCCTTCCACTCTAGCCAGGCCTGGATGCGTTCCATTGGCCTCCACAGCAAAGTAATACAGGAAGTCCACACTGCTGTCAGCTTGGGAGACAGGTATTGCTCTGTTATCAGTCGGCCTACTAGAGTTTTGCTAATGATTACCCTTCGGGAACAGATACTGTGTGTAGTAAGTCGCTCTGGATTAGTCTGCTAAATGACTAAAATGTAAATGTAAATGTAATGCAGTGACAGACGAGGTACCTATGGCATTAAAGGTGATGTGACCATCAGCAAGGGTGTTGAGGTGCCACTGGCCTGGCTCTATAGGGGACAGCAGGCTGATCCTGTACAGACCCTGAAACCGCTCCCACTCTGCCAGAGGACCCTGCTGACTCAACAGAGACTGAGTACGATCTGGGAGGGAGACGATGAGAGACGGAAGATGTCATACAGAAATGGCTGTCTTCCTGTCCATGTGTATATCTACACGTCAGTGTGTGTAATGTGTAGTCGTACCAGTTGGGCTGCTGAGGACACATTGTCTGAGTTCTCCAGTGAGGTGAAGGGTCACGCTCTTCACTGCACTGTCCACTCTGAAGGAGTGGGATAACGCAGAGTCACTGTCACTCTCTGCATGTAGCAAAGTCACCTGCAGAGGGAGACAGAGAGCAAGGCTTTGGAGCGAGGGCAGTGTTTCCCAAATGACAAAATCCCAGACCTAGGGCAACATGTGGGAGGCAACTCATCTGCCTAGGGAGAAAACCAATGACAGGTCTACTACCTGAAAAGAAAAAGTTGAAAAGTACCATTCTAAGACATTATTTTATTTAGCATTGGATCATATAGTAACAAAACCTATTCATTTCAGACAAATAGTGGATCAGTATGGGCAGCTGCACCTATGTAGATAATGAATGCACTCTACCATAGTGAGCATGTTGCCTTGTTGCAGTACCTTATCTGCAGCTGTGTTGTCCTCCACTATGGCAGAGACACGATGGATGTCTGAGTTGGTGGTGAAGACAGTCAGTCCCCCAGACACAGAGGACAGGGAGGAGTAGAGAGCGAAACGGTCAGGGGACAGGGTCTCCCTCCTCCTCTTCCTCCCCCTGCCCTTCATCTTGTGACTGGGGTCTTCAGTCAGGAGGAAGGTCACCTGGTGGAGCCAGATGGGATTGGATTATTTATCTGGGATCCTTTGTTACAAGTCTTTGCATATCATTAAATTGATCACACAAAAGAAAGTGTTACCTTGCATTGTTTCTCCAGTGTAAGGGCCCTCACAGTATTGTACAGGTGGGCATCTTTAGGGGAGGCATCAGTGAACACAAATATCTCTGACAGGGGCGGGCTATGAGTGAGGGCCAGCTGCAACACACAGGTACATAAGACTATCAACAAAGAGAGGGTAAAAAACGGCTAAAATGTCCAAATGAAATACTCTGAAAATGATGATTTCGCTGTTGCTATGTACAATTTACATTCTGTTTACTGTATGTTGTCCGATGCTGTTATTAAAAGGTAATCATTTGATGTCTAATCAGCTGTAGCTACTCTCTGTGTTACCTGTACAGCAGAAAGACACATCTCAGGTTCGTCTCCTCCACCCAGAGCCATCAGGTTCCCCATGTAGCTCATGAACTCCTCCGGGTTCTCTGTCTCATACACCGGCCCCACCCCTAGAGCACAGAGAACACAGGGAAACATGCTCACTTCAGCACTGCACACACTGTGTCAGTTACACTGGTAGGTCCGCTATAGAATTATATATACAGTGCGTTCGGAAATTATTCAGTCCCGTTGACTTTTTCCACATTTTGTTACATTACAGCCTTATTCTAAAATTGATGAAATTATTTTTTCCCCTCATCAATCTACACACAATACCCCATGTGACAAAGCAACAACTGTTTTTTAGATTTTTTTGCAAATCTATAAAAAATTAAAAACAGAAATGCCTTATTTACATAAGTATTCAGACCCTTTGCTATTAAACTCTAAATTGAGCTCAGGGGCATCCTGTTTCCATCGATCATCCTTGAGATGTTTCTACAACTTCATTGGAGTCCACCTGTGGTAAATTCAATTGATTGGACATGATTTGGAAAGGCACACACCTGTCTACATAAGGTCCCATAGTTGACAGTACGTGTCAGAGCAAAAAACAAGCCATGAGGTCGAAGGAATTGTCCGTAGAGCTCAGAGACAGGATTGTGTCGAGGCACAGATCTGGGGAAGGGTACCAAAACATTTCTGCAGCATTGAAGGTCCCCAAGAACACAGTGGTCTCCATCATTCTTAAATGGAAGAAGTTTGAACCACCAAGGCTCTTCCTAAAGCTTGCCGCCTGGCTAAACTGAGCAATCGGGGTAGAAGGGCCTTGGTCAGGGACGTGACCAAGAACCCGATGGTCACTCTGACAGAGCTCTAGAGTTTCTCTGTGGAGATGGGGGAACCTTCCAGAAGGACAACCATCTCTGCAGCACTCCACCAATCAGGCCTTTATGGTAGCTGCCAGATGGAAGCCACTGCTCAGTAAAAGGCACATGACAGCCCGCTTGGAGTTTGCCAAAAGGCACCTAAAGACTCTCAGACCATGAGAAACAAGATTCTCTGGGCTGATGAAACCAAGATTGAACTCTTGTCACGTCTGGAGGAAACCTGGCACCATCCCTACGGTGAAGCATGGTGGTGGCAGCATGTGGGGATCTTTTTCAGCAGCAGGGACTGGGAGACTAGTCAGGATCGCGGGAAAGATGAATGGAGCAAAGTACAGAGAGATCCTTGATGAAAACCTACTCCAGAGCGCTCAGGACCTCAGACTGGGGCGAAGGTTCACCTTCCAACAGGACAACGACCCTAAGCACACAGCCAAGACAACGCTGGAGTGGCTTCGGGACAAGTCTCTGAATGTCCTTGAGTGGCCCAGCCAGAGCCCGGACTTGAACCCGATCGAACATCTCTGGAGAGACCTGAAAATAGCTGTGCAACGATGCTCCCCATCCAACCTGACAGACCTTGAAAGGATCTGCAGAGAAGAATGGAAGAAACTCCCCAAATACAGGTGTGCCAAGCTTGTAGCGTCATACCCAAGAAGACTTGAGGCTGTAATCACGGCCAAAGGTCCTTCAACAAAGTACTGAGTAAAGGGTCTGAATACTTATGTAAATGTGATATTTCCGTTTTTTTGTTTTTTTATAAATTTGCAAAAATGTCTATAAACCTGTTTTTCCTTTGTCATTATGGGGTATTGTGTGTAGATTGATGAATAAAACGAAAAAAATGTAATCAATTTTATAATAAGGCCGTAACGTAACAAAATGTGGAAAAAGTCAAGGAGTCTGAATACTTTCCGAATGCACTGTATACATATATATATATTTTTTCATGGAATATCGTTTTATGTGGACCCCAGGAAGAGTAGCTTCTGCATGTGCAGTAGCTAATGGAGAACCTAATAAACTAAACTAATAACTTGTATAATGCAGTTATAACATTAACATAATGCCTGTCATATAGGTTTGACATTCTTGTAGACAATTACACGTAAAATGGTACCCCAAAACTGAAGAAAGGAGTTTTGTCTGTAACACACTTTCGGCACAGGTAACATTAAGGGCTCTATGGTTTGGCCCTGACCCTGACCTCCTGGCCCAGTCATGCCCTCGCCATTCACCTGGGTCGTGGAAGGGCACCAGCAGGAAAGTGCCAGGCTGCTCAGGAGTGTTGGCGCGGGCCTGGATGATGGAGTGGGCACGGAGGCGGGCAGCGGTGATCTCCTCAAACATGCTGCCTGTGGTGTCCATGACAAACACCAGCGCTGGAGGCTGCTTCACACTGAACAGTCTGCCCTCAGAATAGTACAGCCAACAGAAGGAAACAGTCTGCCCTCAGAATAGTACAGCCAACAGAAGGAAACAGTCTGCCCTCAGAATAGTACAGCCAACAGAAGGAAACAGTCTGCCCTCAGAATAGTACAGCCAACAGAAGGAAACCGTCTGCCCTCAGGATAGTACAGCCAACAGAAGGAAACAGTCTGCCCTCAGGATAGTACAGCCAACAGAAGGAAACAGTCTGCCCTCAGAATAGTACAGCCAAGAACAGAAAACACAGTGACACGAGTGGTTTCAACACATTATATGATAAGTTCTGTATTTGTACCATGTTCAGTATATCAGCACAAATATATATTGGATTGTCAATAGATGAAATTAAAATGTAATCATATCAAGCTTTATTTAAAAAAGTGTATTTAACATCATAATGAACGCTACATAGACCCCACCTGAGGAAGCTGGTATAGCCCACACTGTCTCGGAGGTCTCTGAGCACAGTAAGGGTTGCCGTGGTAGCGAGGCGGGCAGCCTCCACATGGAGGTAGTGATGGGGGGAGAAGAGGGAGGAGGTGCTGTCCTTATTGATGCCCCCCTTGGCCCCCTGGTGGCGACTGCTGTCCAGTACACCCCCGTGACTACACTTCCCTGAAAAACCCAACATTAGATTATTCGTCAAAGATAAAGTTATTATAAAGTGTGACAGAGATTTTCTCAAATGGATAACACACTCATGTTGAAGCTTGTAGACATTTGAACATAGGCCAACCGTATTTCAAGGTTTTTTGAAAGATTACAAATAACTGAATCAATATATCTGGCTCAGATGTTAGTTCTACAATCTACACAAGAATGAAAATAGCTAGGCTTCCGTACCTTGTGGTTTGGGTGGGTAGGTGCTGAAGTACCCGGTGGTGAGCAGTAGAGGGTACTGCTGACTCTGGGTCAGTCTGGGAAGGAGGTTGTCTCTGCAGGTAGCGCTGTGACACTCCATACAGGTAGGAGTGTCCTCTGTGGAGGACAGGTAGACAAAGAGAACTATGAACACAGATCTCGTTAATATCACCCAAAATGTGATTTAACTGTACCTGTGGCTACAGGGAAGGCTGGCTGCCCAGGCTGCAGCAGGTGGAGGTATATCGAGTGCTGACCCATCTCCACCCAGTTACTATGGCTGTAGAAATCCTGTTCACAGAGACAGACAGTCAGCGTCCTGCAGGTCAGACACTGGGGACCTCTCCTGTCATTCTCATGTAAAAGGCTCAATGCACATTCAAATTGCCGCAATGCAAAAAATTATTGGATGAGTGATTTTACATTTGACATGATGTGCTATCTTACAGAGTACCATGTGTTTGGCCTATAGTACCTGCAGTGAGTGTAGCAGCTGTCCCAGACTGTGTCTTGCCCCCTGGTACTCTTTGGCCTGTGCAGAGAGCAGGGTTTGGGCCCAGAACTGCCGTAGCATCGCCATAGCTTCCTCCACGCGCTCCGAGTCAAAGTGGTAGACTGGGTCGGACCGTGTGGAGCTCAGGAAGTCCATGGCCGCATTGGAACGCACCACCTCCCCCACTGCATGCCAGAAACCCCGACCCAGACCTGCCTATGAGACCGTCAACATCATCATCCTCATCATGATCATCATCATCCAGCAACTTAGTTTATTCATCATCATCATCATTGTCATCGTCATTATGGATTCCACTAATTCCGCTCCAGCCATTACCACAGGGCCTTCCTCCCCAATTAAGGTGCCACCAACCTCCTGTGATATCTGACTAATGACATATTCAAAACAACTGGAAACTCAGACTTCAGTGTGTTCAAACTGGGAACTCTGAAAAAACGAGCTCAGACTGGCAAAATTCGTTTTGAAAGGTCATCCAACTCGGAATCCAAAGTCGGAAAGTAGGGAATTCGGGCCTCTTTCTAGAGCTCCGACTTTCCGACCTTAAGATCACTGACGTCATGAAATGACCTCATTTTTTCCCCCTAACTCCCAGTTATCTTGAACGTACCATAAGATCATCATAACATGGTGTCAGATGTGCTTACACCTCGTCAAATATAAGACAGGAGAGATCATTTCAAAAACATTATTATGTACCTTGACAGAGTTTTGAGTGAGCAAAAGTAGCTAACAGCTAACTGCTCTCACGTCTCTTCATTAGTTAAGCAAAGCCAGAGATATTTTAAAAGAGATGGGAAACTCCATTGAAACCGTATTAACGCCCATTGTGTACGTTGCCCATGCTACCTCAATGGGCCGCGCGGTGCAACCTGGGCGATTCTGGGACAAGGAGCGCTTTCCTTCAAGGAGTGAATGGGAGTCAATTGGGCGCTAGCTCAAAAACACAACATTAGCATGACTTTCATCAACAAGAAGTACAACATTACAAATATTTTCCGAGATGTGAGATAATTAATTTGCTATCTGTAATATTGTATAGTTTTGGAATCGTGACATTAAATACATTCGAGGAAAATAGGCACGTTTCTCGACTCATACCCTGACTTTGAGAAGGGATTGCTTGACGATTAACTTAGTAACCGCTTGACGCAGCATGACAACGTGAACACGATTGGTCGACAGTCTGCTGGGTGGAGCGTTATAGGTTCCTCCTTTCATTTTCAATGTGATTCCTATCTCCTTCTTTCTCATACATCTCTGGAGCAGCCCAAGCGGAGCCGTTGCTATAGATACACAGACTCACAGCCGCCATGAGCAGAGCGTGAGCAGAGTGTATGCAGATCCAGAAAAGACAGAGGAGCAGCTAATAGATTGTCACGGTTTCGGCCGAGGCTGCTCCTCCTCCTTGTTCGGGCAGGCTTCGGCGGTCGTCGTCCCCGGAGTACTAGCTACCACCGTTCGATGTTTCATGTTTGTTTGGTTTTGTCTGTTTGTACACCTGTCCCTTGTTAGTGTTTGATTTGGTTTCCTATTTAGTTATCGTGTGTTGGGTCAGGTGTTATGTGTGATTGGTTATTGTCTAGCTGTTGCTCTCGTTATTACTCTCGTGTTTTGTTGTTTTCGAGAGTCCGCACTGTGTGCGCTATTGTCCTTTTACGCACGTTGTTGTTTGTGCGTAATTTGTATTTTGCCTCCCGGTTGGGTTGGCTGTTCGCCTGTTTGGTGCTGCCTTTATTTTACTAAAGTCTGTTCACGAACGCCCGTGTTTCCTGCGCTTGATTTCCACACCGCATCTACACTCAGCTACTGACAGAATCACACATCCACCCATGGAATCAGCAGGAGCAACCGCGCCAACGGACATCATGGAGGACCGTCTGCGTGGGCAGGAGGATAGGATCAACCAGATCGGTCACGCCCTGGATCGGGTGATGAACACTCTCCACCGATGGGAAAGCAGCGGGGTACCCACGCCCCCACCTACCGGACCATCCCCATCGGTCAGTCCTCCTGTCCCCCTTCCGGAACCCAGCGGGATTCGGCTCTCGCTCCCGAGGGCGTACGACGGCTCTGCTGCCGGGTGTCAAGGGTTCCTGCTGCAAGTGGAGCTCTACCTCGCCACCGTACACCCGGCGCCCTCGGGACACGAGAGCGTCTCCGCCCTCATCTCCTGTCTCACCGGCAAGGCGTTGGAGTGGGCCAACGCCGAATGGAGGAGAATAGATGCCGCTACTATTACCTACGCGGAGTTCTCCCGCCGCTTCCGTGCCGTGTTTGACCATCCACCAGAAGGGAAGGTGGCGGGGGAGCGTCTATTCTACCTCCGACAGGGGATGAGGAGCGCACAGGATTTTGCTTTGGAGTTCCGGACTCTAGCGGCAGATGCAGGGTGGAATGAGCGGGCCCTCATAGACCACTTCCGCTGCAGCCTCCGGGAGGACGTCCAGAGAGAGTTGGCGTGCAGGGATACCACGTTGTCGTTTGACCAACTGGTCGACATGGCCATTCGGCTGGACACCCTGCTCGCCACCCGTGGACGTCCCGGGTGGGGGTTGCCCATTCCACCTTCCGGCACCTCCGAGCCGAGCCCTATGGAGCTCGGAGGTGCTGGCGCTAGAGAACGGAGGAGTAGGAACCCGAGGGGGGCCGTTCCCTGCACCAACTGTGGCCGTGGAGGGCACACCGCGGCTAGGTGTTGGGGAAGGTCCCCCGGTGGAGGTGAAGGCAGGCCACGCATTGGGGAGTCCTCCCAGGTGAGTAGGCGCCCTACTTACCCAGAGCTTTCTGTCGTTCACATAACCTTGCCTGTTTGTTTTCCACAGGTTGCACCTCGTTCCCAGCATAAGGCGCTAGTAGATTCAGGCGCAGCTGGGAATTTTGTAGATCGCCAGTTCTGTGTAGAGTTAGGGATTCCTCTCCTTCCCGTTGATAAGCCTTTCCCTGTACATGCCCTAGATAGCCGTCCGTTAGGATCTGGGTTAATTAGGGAGGTCACAGCGCCCCTTAGGATGAAGACGCAGGGGGGTCATGAGGAGACGATTCAGCTCTATCTGATTGACTCTCCTGCGTATCCGGTGGTGCTGGGACTTCCCTGGTTGATTACCCATGATCCTACTATTTCGTGGCGAGAGAAAGCTCTTAAAGGGTGGTCTGTTCAGTGTGAGGGGCTATGTCTGGGTGTTTCCATAGGGGCGACCTCGGTGGAGAGTCCAAATCAAATGCCCGCACTGCATATTCCCCCCGAGTATGAGGATTTGACACTGGTGTTTAGTAAGACAAGGGTGGCGCAGCTGCCGCCTCATAGACAGGGGGATTGTGCGATAGATCTCCAGTTAGGAGCAGCACTCCCGCGGAGCCATGTGTATCCCTTGTCTCAAGAGGAGAGGAAGGCGATGGAAACTTACATCGCTGAGTCTCTGAGACAGGGATACATACGGGCCTCCACTTCACCCGCTTCCTCAAGCTTCTTTTTTGTGAAGAAAAAAGATGGAGGTTTGCGCCTGTGTATTGATTACCGCGGTCTCAATCAGATTACGGTGAAGTACAGTTATCCACTTCCTCTGATTACGACTATGACGGAGTCATTACACGGTGCTCAGTTCTTCACAAAATTGGATCTCAGGAGCGCATATAACTTGGTGCGCATTAGAGAGGGCGATGAATGGAAGACAGCATTTAGCACGACCTCCGGTCATTATGAGTATCTCGTCATGCCATATGGGTTAATGAATGCTCCCTCAGTCTTCCAATCCTTTGTAGATGAGATTTTCCGGGACATGCAGGGGCAGGGAGTAGTCGTGTACATAGACGATATTCTGGTGTACAGTTCTACCCGAGCTGAGCATGTAGCCCTGGTGCGCCGAGTGTTGAGGAGACTGTTGGAGCATGACCTATATGTCAAGGCAGAGAAATGTCTGTTCTTTCAGAAGTCGGTCTCCTTTTTGGGTTATCAGTTGTCTGCGTCAGGGGTGAAGATGGAGGTTGACCGGGTGTCAGCTGTGCGTAATTGGCAAACCCCAACCACTGTGAAAGAGGTGCAACAGTTCTTGGGTTTTGCGAATTATTACCGGAGGTTTATCCGGGGTTTTGGACAGGTGGCAGCTCCCATAACGTCTCTGTTGAAGGGGGGTCCGGTGCGCTTGCGGTGGTCAGCTGAGGCGGACAGGGCTTTTGGGAGACTGAAGGACCTGTTTACCTCGGCGCCGGTGTTGGCGCATCCGGATCCCGCTTTACCATTCCAGGTAGAGGTAGACGCGTCCGAGGCCGGTATTGGGGCCGTCCTCTCACAACGGTCTGGCACACCACCTAAGCTCCGCCCCTGTGCTTTTTATTCTAAGAAGCTCAGTCCGGCGGAGCGGAATTATGATGTAGGGGACAGGGAGCTGTTAGCCGTGGTACAGGCCCTAAAGGTGTGGAGGCATTGGCTTGAGGGGGCTCAACACCCTTTCCTCATTTTGACGGACCACCGTAACCTGGAGTACATCCGGGCAGCTAGGAGACTGAATCCTCGCCAGGCCCGCTGGACTATGTTTCTAGCCCGGTTTGTGTTTAAAATCACTTACATCCCTGGGTCCCAGAACGGGAAGGCAGATGCCCTGTCTCGGCGGTATGACACGGAGGAGAGGTCCGTTGAGCCCACTCCCATACTACCAAAGTCTTGTCTGGTGGCACCGGTGGTATGGGAGGTCGATGCAGAGATCGAGCGGGCGTTACGCACCGACCCAAGTCCTCCACAGTGTCCAGTGGGTCGGAAGTACGTTCCGCTCAAGGTACGCGATCGCCTCATTTATTGGGCTCATACGTCCCCCTCCTCTGGACATCCAGGTATCGGCCGGACAGTTCACTGCCTTAGCACTAAGTACTGGTGGCCAACGTTAGCCAGGGATGTGAGGGTTTATGTCTCCTCCTGTTCGGTGTGTGCACAGTGTAAGGCGCCCAGACATTTGCCCAGGGGTAAGCTACAACCCCTGCCCGTTCCACAACGACCCTGGTCCCACCTCTCGGTGGACTTTGTTACAGACCTTCCCCCCTCACAGGGGAATACTACCATCCTGGTCGTTGTGGATTGGTTCTCGAAGGCCTGTCGTCTCCTTCCCATGCCGGGTCTCCCTACTGCCCTACAGACCGCTGAGGCTCTGTTTACCCATGTCTTCCGGCATTACGGGGTACCCGAGGATATAGTGTCTGATCGAGGCCCCCAGTTCACCTCCAGAGTGTGGAGAGCCTTTATGGAACGGTTGGGGGTTTCGGTGAGCCTTACCTCGGGTTACCACCCGGAGAGTAATGGGCAGGTTGAACGTGTCAACCAGGATGTGGGTAGGTTTCTGAGGGCTTATTGCCAGGGCCGGCCGGAGGAGTGGGCGAGATACGTTCCGTGGGCCGAGATGGCACAGAACTCTCTCCGCCACTCCTCCACCCAACTAACCCCTTTCCAGTGTGTGTTAGGGTACCAGCCGGTTCTGGCACCTTGGCACGAGAGCCAGATCGAGGCCCCTGCGGTGGATGAGTGGGTGCGGCGCTCGGAGGAGACATGGAACGCTGCCCACGTTCATCTGCAGCGGGCCATCCGTCGGCATAAGACGAGCGCCGATCTCCACCGCAGTGAGGGGCCTGTATACGCACCTGGAGATCGAGTCTGGCTCTCGACCAGAAACATGCCCCTCCGCCTGCCCTGCCGGAAGCTGGGTCGGCGGTTTGTGGGGCCATTCAAAGTCCTGAGGAGGTTGAACGAGGTGTGTTACAGGTTAGAACTGCCTATTGATTACAGAAATATTAACCCCTCGTTCCATGTGTCTCTCCTCAGGCCGGTGGTGGCTGGTCCACTCCAGGACTATGAGATAGAGGAGACTCCTCCGCCCCCATTGGACATCGAGGGGGCTCCGGCGTACACTGTGAGGTCCATCCTTGATTCGAGACGCCGGATGGGGGGTCTCCAATATCTCGTGGAGTGGGAGGGGTACGGCCCGGAGGAGCGGTGCTGGGTGCCGAGGAGGGACATATTAGACCTGTCCCTGCTGACCGAGTTCCATCGGGGTCATCCTACGCGCCCTGCTCCGCGTCGTCCTGGTCGTCCCCGAGGCCGGGATCGGCGCACGGCTGGAGCCGCGCGTCAAGGGGGGGGGTACTGTCACGGTTTCGGCCGAGGCTGCTCCTCCTCCTTGTTCGGGCAGGCTTCGGCGGTCGTCGTCCCCGGAGTACTAGCTACCACCGTTCGATGTTTCATGTTTGTTTGGTTTTGTCTGTTTGTACACCTGTCCCTTGTTAGTGTTTGATTTGGTTTCCTATTTAGTTATCGTGTGTTGGGTCAGGTGTTATGTGTGATTGGTTATTGTCTAGCTGTTGCTCTCGTTATTACTCTCGTGTTTTGTTGTTTTCGAGAGTCCGCACTGTGTGCGCTATTGTCCTTTTACGCACGTTGTTGTTTGTGCGTAATTTGTATTTTGCCTCCCGGTTGGGTTGGCTGTTCGCCTGTTTGGTGCTGCCTTTATTTTACTAAAGTCTGTTCACGAACGCCCGTGTTTCCTGCGCTTGATTTCCACACCGCATCTACACTCAGCTACTGACATAGATTTACTAATGGAGGAAGTTATTTCTGATTTCGGCCGGGCCTTAAATTTGGCACAAACAATCGGACCTGGGTAGGGCAGGGCCTGAATTTCGCCTGCATTGGTAGGGCTCAGGCTTAAAAATTCATGCCCATGCAGAGCCCCATTAATCTAATTAAAAAATCCCTATCAAAATGTGTCTGTTTAAACTAGATATGTCTGTTTTTTTGCATGGGCTGCATCTCAATCCACCACATCCACGGATGTCAGCCATCTGCATATGTGGTGAAAGGTGGCAGAGCTACAGTGGCGTTTGTCAGACCATGAGACATCTCGAAAATCGGTCGGTATGTATGGAAAGTAGTCTAGTGCCTAAAAAAAAGAGGGTTAAATATGTGTTAAAGAAAACTAGAAATAATTTCCTGATCTCTCTTATATATCTCAGATACAGGACAGAGTACAGACACTTTAAAACAAACTCTCCCCAAGAACTGCAATGTGTGTCAAGAATGGTCCACCACCCAAAGGACATCCAGCCAACTTGGCAAAACTGTGGGAAGCATTGGAGTCAACATGGGTCAGCATCCCTGTGGAACGCTTTCGACACCTTGTAGAGTCCATGCCCGATGAATTGAGGCTGTTCTGAGGGCAAAAGTAATTTGTACACTCAGTGTATATCCATTGTTTAGCTGGAATGGAATGTTCATATCCTGTATGTTTGAGATATGTGATATGTGGTTGGCTTACCTACTGTATCTTAAGATGAATGTGCTTCCTGTAAGAAGAGCATCTGCTAAATGACAAAAATGTCAAATGTAAAAGTTTTACATACAGATCTCATATTACTGTATTGAATAATTTATTTTAAACATGTTTTAAATATTGATGTCACAAATGTATAATTTGTACAGTTCTTTATTAAAAAATGTAGTTATTTGTTACATTTGACTGTGTAAAACCTAGTAGTACTACTTATTACTCTGAGAGTGAGGTGGATATATAGCATTTTGCAAAAAAACATGATCATTTGTCTCTCTGTAATTAAACCATCAAATTATAGATTTTAAACAAATACATGTCTGTCATAGATCCCCACAGTGGAGGTGTCATAATACCGATAAAACTTAGCTGTCAAACAGGGAAATGTTCCAATCGTTTTTCCACCATTCATTTTCACCATAGGCAATTTTAGAAACACTTAAAATAAGGGCTGTGTTTCATGTAGGCGTACCATGGTGCAATGCTTTGATAGCCATGTAAGTCTCTCTCGGACAAGGTGACTTTTATCAATATATTCGTCTCTATTTACTCTCAGATTCGAAAATGCTAATTAGCATCAAAGTAGACATCATGCAAGACTACAAATCCCTGCAAGCTCCTGCACGCCATCTCTAGCTGGTACCTTTGCTAGCAGGTATTGTGTCAATTTAAAACTTGCACAAGACAGTTAATAGAATTGTCAATTTAAAAGAAATGTTGCCAATGTATTAATTGCTACATTTAGCTAATATTAGATAGATAAAATCCAGAGATTCTTACCTTTGCCAGATCATCATGGCGTTTGTAGTACTTTATGATACCCACATTAGCAGCTAATTAGCGTTTCATTTTTGGGGAATAAATACAGGCGAATATATTGATAAAAGTCACCTTGTCTTAGAGAGATTTACACGGTTATCAAAACGTCACGCCAGGGTAAACCTACATGAAACACAGCCCTTATTTTAAGTGTTTCTAAAATTCACTATGGGAAAAATGAATGGTGGATAAATGATTGGAACCATTTCCCTGGTTTTATGGGTATTATGACTCATACTGTGGTACGCTATTGAACAACCCCATGCCATGATTAGATAGTGAAAAACACACCAATTTCTTTCATAATTTCTTTAAACAATAAAAGCAAATTTACCAACATTTCTGAAAATGGATATATAGCGTTTTGGAATTAAACTCTTCAGCTCATTCTTTGCATATGTAACCCTAATGCTCAAAATCATCTTCTCCTAATGAACCATACGTCAGATTCACTCCAGATTTTGTACATAAAGGAATATAGTTACTACAGTGGGGAGAACAAGTATTTGATACACTGCCGGTTTTGCAGGTTTTCCTACTTACGAAGTATGTAGAGGTCTGTAATTTTTATCATAGGTACACTTCAACTGTGAGAGACGGAATCTAAAACAAAAATCCAGAAAACCACATTGTATGATTTTTAAGTAATTAATTTGCATTTTATTGCATGACATAAGTTTTTGATACATCAGAAAAGCAGAGCTTAATATTTGGTACAGAAACCTTTGTTTGCAATTACAGAGATCATACGTTTCCTGTAGGTCTTGACCAGGTTTGCACACACTGCAGCAGGGATTTTGGCCCACTCCTCCATACAGACCTTCTCCAGATCCTTCAGGTTTCGGGGCTGTCGCTGGGCAATACAGACTTTCAGCTCCCTCCAAAGATTTTCTATTGGGTTCAGGTCTGGAGACTGGCTAGGCCACTCCAGGACCTTGAGATGCTTCTTACGGAGCCACTCCTTAGTTGCCCTGGCTGTGTGTTTCGGGTCGTTGTCATGCTGGAAGACCCAGCCACGACCCATCTTCAATGCTCTTACTGAGGGAAGGAGGTTGTTGGCCAAGATCTCGCGATACATGACCCCATCCATCCTCCCCTCAATACGGTGCAGTCGTCCTGTCCCCTTTGCAGAAAAGCATCCCCAAAGAATGATGTTTCCACCTCCATGCTTCACGGTTGGGATGGTGTTTTTGGGGTTGTACTCATCCTTCTTCTTCCTCCAAACACGGCGAGTGGAATTTAGACCAAAAAGCTATTTTTTTGTCTCATCAGACCACATGACCTTCTCCCATTCCTCCTCTGGATCATCCAGATGGTCATTGGCAAACTTCAGACGGGCCTGGATATGCGCTGGCTTGAGTAGGGGGACCTAGCGTGCGCTGCAGGATTTTAATCCATGACGGCGTAGTGTGTTACTCATGGTTTTCTTTGAGACTGTGGTCCCAGCTCTCTTCTGGTCAGCAGGTCCTGCCGTGTAGTTCTGGGCTGATCCCTCACCTTCCTCATGATCATTGATGCCCCACGAGGTGAGATCTTGCATGGAGGGTGATTGACCGTCATCTTGAACTTCTTCAATTTTCGAATAATTGCGCCAACAGTTGTTGCCTTCTCACCAAGCTTCTTGCCTATTGTCCTGTAGCCCATCCCAGCCTTGTGCAGGTCTACAATTTTATCCCTGATGTCCTTACACAGCTCTCTGGTCTTGGCCATTGTGGAGAGGTTGGAGTCTGTTTGATTGAGTGTGTCGACAGGTGTCTTTTATACAGGTAACGAGTTCAAACAGGTGCAGTTAATACAGGTAATGAGTGGAGAACAGGAGGGCTTCTTAAAGAAAAACTAACAGGTCTGTGAGAGCCGGAATTCTTACTGGTTGATAGGTGATCAAATACTTATGTCATGCAATAAAATGCAAATTCATTACTTAAAAATCAAACAATGTGATTTTCTGGATTTTTGTTTTAGATTCCGTCTCTCACAGTTGAAGTGTACCTATGATAAAAATGACAGACCTCTACATGCTTTGTAAGTAGGAAAACCTGCAAAATCGGCAGTGTATCAAATACTTTTTGGTGGCTGACTAAAAAAAGTATTTAGTCAGCCACCAATTGTGCAAGTTCTCCCACTTAAAAAGATGAGAGAGGCCTGTAATTTGCATCATAGGTACACGTCAACTATGACAGACAAATTGAGAAAAGAAAATCCAGAAAATCACATTGTAGGATTTTTTATGAATTTATTTGCAAATTATGGTGGAAAATAAGTATTTGGTCAATAACAAAAGTTTCTCAATACTTTGTTATATACCGTTTGTTGACAATGTCACAGGTCAAACGTTTTCTGTAAGTCTTCACAAGGTTTTCACACACTGTTGCTGGTATTTTGGCCCATTCCTCCATGCAGATCTCCTCTAGAGCAGTGATGTTTTGGGGCTGTCGCTGGGAAACACAGACTTTCAACTCCCTCCAAAGATTTTCTATGGGGTTGAGATCTGGAGACTGGCTAGGCCACTCCAGGAACTTGAAATGCTTCTTACGAAGCCACTCCTTCGTTGCCCGGGCGGTGTGTTTGGGATCATTGTCATGCTGAAAGACCCAGCCACGTTTCATCTTCAATGCCCTTGCTGATAGAAGGAGGTTTTCACTCAAAATCTCACGATACATGGCCCCATTCATTCTTTCCTTTACACGGATCAGTCGTCCTGGTCCCTTTGCAGAAAAACAGCCACAAAGCATGATGTTTCCACCCCCATGCTTCACAGTAGGTATGGTGTTCTTTGGATGCAACTCAGCATTCTTTGTCCTCCAAACACGACGAGTTGAGTTTTTACCAAAAAGTTATATTTTGGTTTCATCTGACCATATGACATTCACCCAATCCTCTTCTGGATCATCCAAATGCACTCTAGCAAACTTCAGACGGGCCTAGACATGTACTGGCTTAAGCAGGGGGACACGTCTCGCACTGCAGGATTTGAGTCCCTGGCGGCGTAGTGTGTTACTGATGGTAGGCTTTGTTACTTTGGTCCCAGCTCTCTGCAGGTCATTCACTAGGTCCCCCCGTGTGGTTCTGGGATTTTTGCTCACCGTTCTTGTGATCATTTTGACCCCACGGGGTGAGATCTTGCGTGGAGCCCCAGATCGAGGGAGATTATCAGTGGTCTTGTATGTCTTCCATTTCCTAATAATTGCTCCCACAGTTGATTTCTTCAAACCAAGCTGCTTACCTATTGCAGATTCAGTCTTCCCAGCCTGGTGCAGGTCTACAATTTTGTTTCTGGTGTCCTTTGACAGCTCTTTGGTCTTGGCCATAGTGGAGTTTGGAGTGTGACTGTTTGAGGTTGTGGACAGGTGTCTTTTATACTGATAACAAGTTCAAACAGGTGCCATTAATACAGGTAACGAGTGGAGGACAGAGGAGCCTCTTAAAGAAGAAGTTACAGGTCTGTGAGAGCCAGAAATCTTGCTTGTTTGTAGGTGAACAAATACTTATTTTCCACCATAATTTGCAAATAAATTCATTAACAATCCTACAATGTGATTTTCTGGATTTTCTTTTCTCAATTTGTCTGTCATAGTTGACGTGTACCTATGATGAAAATTACAGGCCTCTCTCATCTTTTTAAGTGGGAGAACTTGCACAATTGGTGGCTGACTAAATACTTTTTTCCCCCACTGTATGATAGAGTGCTTGCTTTGTTATCCAACTGATGTTGTGTCCTGTTCATTGCTGCTCGCAGCAATATTTTTAATTCTGTTTTGTTTTCAGCAATCATTTTAATAGGTTCTGTATACAGCCAAAACAACATTGCCCAAAAGCAGTGATAACACAATAATGCTGATAGTGATACTGACAGCAGTCATCACCACCACCACCATCATCATCATCACCATCATCATCATAATTATGTTATTTTCATGTTTGTGTCTATAGACAGCCTTCCATGCATCCTCAATTACCTGGAGCTGAGTTAAACGCTTTAAAGATGGAACACACTACTGCAATGTGATTGTGTGTGTGTGTGTGTGTGTTCACACACACCACAGCCTCACCTGCTCCTGTGTGTGTCGGTGCTGGTGTGTGTTGGCCATGCTCAGTGTCTCCAGAGTGACGTTGAGGACACCCTGCTCGGTGATGAACTGGTGTGTGTAGGAGTCCAAGGACAGGGTTAACACACGGGACCAGAAGTTTGGGAGGAAGGCTCTGCAGCCTGGTAGAGCCAGTACCACACACAGCAGAACATACAGCCCTCTCATCCGAACCCCTGACCCACCGTGACCCATACTCTGTGACATCATCACTTCCTGGGGAATAGGGTGTGGAGAAGAAGATATTACACCTGAAACATAACATTATTTCCATTAGACTTTGGTCTTAGGTATGTTGGTACTGGTAGACTTTCAAGGTTTTTGATAATTGTATCTTTACACGAAAGGCAAACCAGTGTGTTACGTGTGTTATATGCCCATGTGTGTTGTGTTAGTTGTGAGAACAGGAGGATGTGTGTCTTGAACCTTGTGGCCACATAAACATTTGTGGGGCGGCAGGTAGCTTAGTGGTTAAGAGCGTTGTGCCAGTAACCGAAAGGTTGCTGGTTCTAATCCCCGAGCCGACTAGGTGAAATATCTGTCGATGTGCCCTTGAGCAAGGCCCTTAACCCTAATTTACGTCTGGTAAATGTGGTGACAGAGATTTTCCTAGTAGAGCAAAATAGGCCATGAACCCTTTTGTATTTAGCCACCATGTTTATGGGGCATTGATCAGTGAAGTCCCCTAAATACCCCACACCAAATGTGTTCCAGAATCTCTGAAGCCTTCTAGCACATTCTCTGTTGTGCATACTATCAATTTCATGTCTCTAACCTCAACCACTTTTGCTGCATGTCCTATCGATTCTGAAAACATGTGTGTCTTGAACCTTGTGGCCACATAAACATTTGTTTGTGGTCACAGAGATTTTCCAAGTAGAGCAAAATAGGCCATGAACCCTTTTGTATTTAGCCACCATGTTTATGGGGCATTGATCAGTGAAATCCCCTAAATACCCCACACCAAATGTGTTCCGGAATCTCTGAAGCCTTCTAGCACATTCTCTGTTGTGCATACTCACCACAGTGACTATCAGTTTCATGTCTCTAACCTCAACCACTTTTGCTGCATGTCCTATCGATTCCGAAAACATGTGTGTCTTGAACCTTGTGGCCACATAAACATTTGTTTGTGGTCACAGAGATTTTCCAAGTAGAGCAAAATAGGCCATGAACCCTTTTGTATTTAGCCACCATGTTTATGGGGCATTGATCAGTGAAATCCCCTAAATACCCCACACCAAATGTGTTCCGGAATCTCTGAAGCCTTCTAGCACATTCTCTGTTGTGCATACTCACCACAGTGACTATCAGTTTCATGTCTCTAACCTCAACCACTTTTGCTGCATGTCCCATCAATTCCGAAAACATATTTTTTTCTATCTCTCTCTCTGCTTATCTAACTAGTGTATGCTGTAGGAATTTGTTAAAATGTTTAGCACAGTGGAGCCTAATTGAACTTTGAAGTATGTGCTCACCAAAAATGACACAGTGAAGAGTCACATTTGTACACTTTACTGAAATAATGATGCTTACCTGACATAACATGTCTTGATGACTAGATTAACTGGATTGTGGGTGGTCCCCATCATTGGGATGTTTTCTTAACTTCTTTTTTTTTTTGTCATTTAGCAGACGCTTTTATCCAGAGCGACTTACAGGAGCAATTAGGGTTAAGTGCCTTGCTCAAGGGCACATCGACAGATTTTTCACCTAGTTGGCTCGGGGCATTAGAACCAGCAACCTTTCAGTTACTGGCACAACGCTCTTTACCACTAAGCTACCTGCCTTAAAGGGTGCGTTCATAAATTGCCTCCAGTGTGTCAGAGTGCGCTCTGGGCTATTCGTAAATACAGAGCGTTGTCAGATTGTCCGTTCATAGCATTCAGCGCACACACTGAACACTCTGGCTGAGGAGTAGGGTTGAGCCGAGCGTTCTGACCTCACAACTGCAGTCAAGCGCCCAAGCTAACTGGCTAAAGTTGGCTAGCTTGCTAGCTACTTCCAGACACAAATGAGAGAACACCTCACTCTGACCATTTTACTCACCCTAGCAAAGCTAGTTAGGCTGTTTTCATGTTATCCAGAGCGTTAGTAACTTTAACTGTGCTGCTAGCAAGAATTTAATTCAGTTTTTTGCCAACCTTTACTGACACCTGTCATATTCAACGGGTGTTGTGCTTTCGTAAATTCATCAGTTATTCTGTGCTCTGGCACACTCAAAGGAGAGTGCTCTGAAATCGGAGTAGATAGATAAAAATGTATTTACGAACTTACCCAAAGTTAACTAATCATGTCCATGATCATCGCCATAGTAATAAAGTAAACAAAGTTGTACGTACATGTATTATATCATATTGTGTTAGGTAAACAATTTTAGTGCCATGTGCTGACTTGCAACCATGGATTTGGCATTGCATTTCATAAGCAGTTGTTACATATAATTACTATAGTTACTATAATTTCTTAGTGTATATCAGATGAGGAAAGGCTTCATCTTCAACTTGATAATATAACATATTGCTGTACGTATGTATGACACATAGTAATTTTTTCACCTTTGTTCATGACCTGTCTTGGTTCTTGGTCCTGTTCCTTCTACTTCCTGCTTGATAAGTAAGTTGGATATATCTCCTGAGTTCAGAAACTATTGGCGTACGTGTCAGACGTTGTGTGTCAAGTGTCTGTAGAGGAAATCCACATGTGAGTTCCGCTGAGCCTTCAACCACAGTCTGTAACCAGAGAAAAGTTGCTGATGATATCACACCATTATTGAGTCTTCCAGTCCATTGTCCTTGGGCCTTGTCTCAAGATGTCCTCTCTGGAGTGAAAATACATAAATAAGTAATGGATGGGATGGGCGCCGCTGTTGCAGCTTGCATGAGAGTCTGGTTGACACTGAGTCTTTCTGAGGGGCTAAACGGAAGGCTGAAGGCATTCCCCTGTCCCCCCCATTACTGCACGGTGCATTGACTCTCCACAATAAGGCTGCATATATTACCAGCCATAGTGAAGGCCCCCCTCCCCCTTCTCTCAATCCCTCCCAGGAAGAAAAGCGTTGTGGCGGCCTCTCCGATGAAAAACACCCTCTCCACACCCTCTCCCTCCTAGTAGATCCTTTCTTATGACTTTATAAAGAGGTCAGTTGCTAACCAACGAGAGACTCAGCATTGCACTTCAGCTCGTTGGCCTGTTTGTTCTAAGAAGAGATGGGGCACAGAGAGGGTTTGGGCCGGACCCCCAGAGGAAGCAGAGCTGCTCTATAACTTAAACCCGTATATTTCTACAGGAGAAGGGAATTGTGAATGAGACTGAGAAGAGTGTGTGAGCTAGAGAGGGAGTGTCAGAGAAAAGGGGGGAAATTATTTAGTATTGTTTATTTCCATGCATCAATATAAACATGAAAATGAGAGACATGGGAGCAGATGAGTTAGAGAATGAACCAGAGCTTGGGTGAATGACTCAACAGATGATTGACAATGAAACAGTAAGCAACAGTGAGAGTGAATTAATTGGAATCTGAGTCAGGCTTTGAGGTGACATGGAGGAAATATGGTGAGAGAGAGAGATCGTGAAAGTGAATATTGTGAAACCATGCACAGTCCACCCTAGCTGCACCATATCCAGAAAAGTGAGGGGGGGCCTTCTGCTGCTTACCTGAATTGTATAGATAGTATTCCATTCCAGCCATGCTCTCGCTGCGTGTCTCTAGTAACTCAGCCCAGGCAGTTAATCATATGATCCTGTTCAAGCAGCCAGGCGCCAGCTGACAGACTGGATATCCACAGACCAGTGGCGATTTTAGCATGTAAATCTTGGTGGGGCAAGCACATTTTTTTTGGGGGGGATGCATGCCAGCAAAGTCACTACACAACACAACACAACACTAAACAATACATTAATTGCACTATAACGGTGACAAACGGTGCCCATAAAGCTGTCCCAACAGCAGAGTCCCAACACCTTACCACTGTTACACCTGGCTATCAGCGGAGCCTTGTCTGGCAGTGAAACAGTTCATTCAGCCTCATTTACTGCCTTTTAAAAAAACATAGCTGATATGGCTGACTTGCTTAAACAAATGTGGTTTCCACTGACAATTGAGATGTACAAACTATTGCATAAGTGGACGACAAGCAGATAAGCGGCAATCCGTAATTTCGATTAAGACATTAATGAGCGAGCTAGGACGGACGTAGTCAATATAATTATTTGTTCAGCACTTTTGAAATGTACAGCAACAGAATTCAGAACCTGGGCCGTTCTTACCTTGTTCTCCCTGTACACCAAGTCAGAACCGTAGGATAAATAAAGGGGGCATATAAGCAGACAATGAAAGCTCTTACAATATTTGATGATTACATTTCTCTAAAATAGGTTATAGGCTACAAGTGCACCACCAAATTAGAACAGTAGGTGAAATTAAGAGGGGAAAATAGACCACATTTTTAGGGTGAGGCACATGGGCTACTAACAGCTTACTACACAACATACACTTAGTATTATTTCTTAGCTACAGTATACATATCTCCCTGGCATATTACATAATTTATGCAGCAGCGTACAATATATTTTTGGGCTCACCTTCTTGTGCTGTGCTCACTTGAACAGGAAGGTGGCGTGGCGGTCCTTCATGGACAAATTTTGTCATCAAACTTTGTAATCAAAGTCTGGCATTCTCTGGATTTATGGTGCTTTCAAGACAACTGGGAACTCTGAAAAAAACAAGGTAGAATCATGATGACGTCAGTGATCTTCAGGTCTTAGCTCTAGAAAGAGGCCTAAGTTACTGACTTACAATTCCAAGTTGGATGACCGTTCAAAATGTATTTTTGCCAGTCGGAGCTAGTTATTTCCTGAGTTCCCAGTTGTCTTGAACTCACTGAAGTCAGATTTCCCAGTTCCGAGTTAATAGTTGTTTTGAGCGCCGCAGAAATCATGCTGGATTGACAGCATGGCCAATGTTGAGTGTTTATCATTTTAAGCTTGGAAAAGAGACCCTTAAACCCAGACTTGGGACCACACACCCACTCCACTGAATAGCAGGCTAGTGATTGATTTGCAATGCTTGCAGGTAGCCACTGATTCCTTCCAAACCACTCATCGTTGAATTTGCAATTTCCAACTTGTTGTGTAATGTTTATGTCCACTGGCTGATGAGCACCGATACATTTTATCTATAATTTCTGTTCATTATTTCTCTTGATATGCCAGTA